CGGCTCCAATCATTATTGTTGAGCGTTTTCGATTTCATAGGTGAAATCAAACATCTGGAGAATCTGTTTCTCAATACCTAGTCGAGTTAAGAAGACTGGCTTCCACATGTGATTTTGGTGCGTTTCTTGATGAAGCATTGCGAGATCGCTTCGTATGTGGACTGTGCAACGAAAACATTCAAAAGAGACTTTTAGCTAAAAAGGACCTAAAATTAAATGAGGCAATGGAAATAGCTACTGCTATTGAAATAGCTGAAAGTGATGCAGCTAATATGAAGACTGTTATATATCTTTCATACAACTGGCAACGTACAGTGAGAACTGAACTGAATAACTCAGTAATAAATAATCAATGGACTCCAACGTTGTGAGAACACGGCGTTAGTTTGAACATGTATAACTTGTCTTTCTTCTATCTAAATAAATAATTAAATTGATAATGCACTCTTTATTTCATTTTCCATTCTTTAAATAATATTGTCTGATCTGCTGGCTTCCTGATTATGACAATGGCGACGAGGAAATTGGAATTAAGTTAATTTGCTGTAGCAGTGAATAATCAGCGTACTTCCAAAATTACGAACGTTAGTGCTGGACATTTACAAAGCTTTGTGGAAGGGGATAATTTTGAAGAGTATTTACTACAAGCCGATTTCTTTTTTGAAGCCAATAATATTACCTCGGATGATGAAACGCGAGCTTTACTCTTATCAGCTATCGGTAAGAAAACATTTTCACCTCTTCGAAACTTACTCCAGCAACGTGATATGAAAACGGTTGAATATAATGAAATTTTACAAGTACTAGCTGATTATTACTTTCCCACTTCATCTACTATTACAGAACGTTTCCGTTTTTATAATTTACATCAGGGAAACGAGGACATAGCTACTTTTATTGTAAAGATAAAAGAGCTGGCGAGCAGATGTGATTTTGGTGCATTTTTGAATGATGCTCTTAGAGACAAGCTTGTTTGTGGATTGCAGTCTGAACAGATTCAAAATAAATTGCTTAGTGAAAAAGATATAAATTTCATCAAAGCTTCTGAACTAGCACTTGCCATGGAAACAGCTTCCACAGAAACAAAATCCTTAAAAGGAGGGGGGATACTAATGTGTTGAAAATCTCTAATCAAAAGTACAAGAAGCATCCTTCTCAAAAGAAAGGTTGAAGTTATTCTATGAAGAGAAACACTCCTCAAGTCCAAGGTTCAAAAGGAGCAAAACCCTGCAAGCACTGTGCAAAATCTCACCAAGGGGATTGCAATTTTGAGAAAGCAAGGTGTTACAAGTGTGGTGTTAAGGGTCATATCAGGCCTGCGTGTAAAGTTCCCTCCACAAATTTTGTTGCAGCTAGTGAAAGTGTTGGGGATTCTTCAGAATTTTATCTGAACAATGTGCATAATATTGATAATCCTTCAAAACCATACACTATTAATGTACAGATAAATGGTGTTAAAGTCAATATGTAAATTGACTCAGGAAGTGCTTTTTCAATTATGTCTGTTACAAAATTTCAACACCTTAATTTGAATAGTTTATCTTTACAAATTCCAACTTTGAAATCATATACTGGGGAAGTTTTTAAGATTTTGGGTAATTATGAGGTTCCTGTTACTTATAAGGATAAATATTATACTCTTCCACTAATTGTTGTTGATTGTATTGACAAACCAACTTTGTTGGGTAGAGAGTGGATTGAAAAGTTGAATATAAGGTTTGATAATTTTATTAATGCTGTGTCTAATGCTAGTAATAGTAATGTTGATAATAGTAATCTTGCTTTCAGTATTTCTTCCATTATTCAATATTTAAACACTAAATTTCCAAATTGTTTTAATTTAGATGTCAAATCTGGTATATTGGGATATCCAATAAACATAGCTATGAAACAGGAAACAATCCCTATATTTTGCAAGAGTAGACCAATTCCTTATGCCCTAAGAAATTTGGTTGATAAGGAGTTGGACACTCTTATCAATAATGGTGTTTTGCATGCTGTAAGTCATTCGAAGTGGGCAACACCTATTGTTGCTGTTCCAAAACTCAATGGAGATGGTAAAGAAGCTGTTAGAATTTGTGGAGATTTTTCGGCAACGGTAAATAAATTTTGTGAAACGCAATTTTATCCTTTGCCTTCTCAAGAAGAAATATTAACAAGTATTAGTAAGCAAAATTTATTTATCTAAGGCTTTTCATCAGCTTCCTATTAGCCCAGAATCTCAGGAATTATTAACATTGAATAATCCCAGAGGATTACTTAGATACTGCAAACTTCCTTTTGGGATTAAATCAGCTTCTTTCCTTTTCCAACAAAAGATGGATGAAATCTTGAAAGATTTATTTTTTACTAATTGTTATATTGATGATTTGATTGTTAGGGCTAATACAAAAGAAGAGTCTATAAATAGGACTGAAATTGTTATGGATAGGTAAAATTCTTAAAATGTTAAGATTAATCTTTCTAAATGTGAATTCTTTAAAGATAATATTCAAATCTTAGGTCATAAAAAAGATGTTAATGGTGTTCATCCATTAGATGACAAGTGTAATACAATTTACCAAACATCTATGCCTACAAATGTTACTGAGTTAAAAAGTTATATTGGTTTACTTAGTTATTATTCACATTTTATTCCTAACTTGTCAACTACTTTGAGTCCTCTTTATAAATTATTAGAAAGAGATGTTAAATGGAAATTTGATAAAAAATGTGTTGAAGTTTTTGAAAATAGCAAAACTCTTTTAAAAAAACAATGTTTTGGTTCATTTTGAAATGTCTAGGCCTATAGTATTGCAATGTGATGCATCATACTATGGTGTTGGAGCTGTTTTATGTCATGAATTTCTCAATGGTGAACTTCGACCTATATTCTTTGCTTCTAAAACGTTAAGTAAAGCTGAGAAAAATTATGCTCAAGTCGTAAGGAGGCTTTAGCTGTAATTTTTGGCATAAAGAAATTTTTACAAGGTCGAAATTTCACTATCGAAACAGATTCTAAACCATTGCTGACTCTGTTGGTCATAATAAATCTGTTCCAATCATGGTTAATGCTAGAATGCAAAAATGGTCTATTATTCTCTCAAATTATGATTATGTAATGAGATATAAAAAGGGTACAGAGTTTTTGCTTGCTGATGCTATGTCAAGGCTACCATCTAAAGATGATGTCCCCATTGATGATTTTATACATTTTGTATGTTTCTTTTCTGATTTTAAAACTCTAAAAGAGGATTTCAGAAAGCGACATCTCTTGATCCTTGTCTGTCTTGAGTGTTAAATTATACAAAATTTGGTTGTCCATTTGATGTTGATGAAAATTTAAAGGAATTTAAAAAAGTTAAAGATGAACTGGATATTGAAATTAATTGTTTGTTACGTGCAAATAGGTTAGTCATCCCTGAAATTTTGCAAAAAAAAAAATTCTTGAACTTTTGCGTAATGAGTACCCAGGTATTTTCCGAATGAAAAGCTTGCTCGAGCGTATTTTTGGTTTCCGGGTGTTGATCAAATAATTGAAAATTTTGTAAACAAATGTATTCCTTGCCAACTTACTAGACCTTTAGCTCCTAAAGTTAAATCTAATTTTTGGCCTTTAAATGGTAAACCATTTGAAAGGATACACATAGATTTTGCTAAATATGAGAGTAAAAATCTTTTAATCGTAAAAGACTCCTATTCTAAATGGATAGATGCGTCAGTTGCAAGTAATATTGACTCAAAAACAACATCATGTTTGCGCACTTTATTTGCTTGTTTTGTCAACCAAATGAAATTGTTTCTGATAATGCCGCACAGTTCAAATCTGAACTTTTCTTGAAATTTTTTAAATCCAATGGGATTAATACGATAAATTATCCACCTTATCATTCAAATTTTAATGGAGCGGCGGAAAATTCTGTGTCTATCGTGAAAAACATGCTTAAACGGCAAACCTTTTCTAATCGCAAATATGATAATTTTCAGCATAGGCTAGATTCAGCTCTTTTTGCCTATAGGAATACTCCTTCTTCAGTTACGCTTAAAACTCCTGCTGAGTTACTCTTTAGGTATTTACCTCAAACTACAATCACAAAAGTTAGAAGTGATCATTTACCTAAAGAAAAGCAATATCAAAGATCTTATTTTAACCGTCGTGCTTCTAAAAGAAATTTTGATATAGATGAAAGGGTATGGGTTAAGTTCACTAGAAATGATTCAATTAAATGGTTTCCAGGGAAAATCATAAAAGTCATAAGTATTAATACATTTTTAGTAAGTGTAAACAACAAAACTCGCTATGTCCACGCTGATCATTTAAAAAAATCTGAGTTAGAAAACTGATGTCAACTCTCCAATTATACAAACATCACCTGATGATAACGTTAGTACACCATCGATTAGGAATGCTATTCTTCCTGCCTTGGGTATTGCTTCCAGGTTGAACAAAGAAAATACCCAAGATAATACTGACATTGAAACTTATTCAAATACTAATTTACCACCATCAAATTCTACTGAAAGCGTTTCAAATTAAAACTCTGTCAAGTCACCCTTAAGATCCTTCAGACCAATAAGAAATATAAAACCACCAAAAAGATATATTGATGAGGCTTAGTAATTTATAAGTTTGTCAATTGATTATTTTTATATTGTCATGTCCTTTATTTTTATATATTAAAAAAGTATTAGGAGGAGAGTGTCATATATCTTTAACGTACAGTGAGGTGAGACCTGAACTGAATAACTCAGTAATCAATCGACTCTAACGTTGTGAGAACACGTTGTGGGTTTGAGCATATATAACTTGTCTTTCTTCTATCTAAATAAATAATTTAATTGATAATGCACTCTTTATTTCATTTTCCATTCATTAAATAATATTAGCTTCCTGATTATGACACTGACAAAAATTTAGCAAAACCTACTCAGCTCGATGAACACTTGGGATTTCTTTTTAATTACAATATGGAGGTCAATTAGAAGGGAAGGAAGAATATACCTCACAGGATGGGTGTATTATGTATGGGCAACGAGTGTGCATTCCAGACTGCTACAGAGCAAAAATATTAGACGAGTTGCATCATGAGCATCTTGGTGTAGTTAAAATGAAAGCAGTTGTCCGATCTTTCGTGTTTTGGCAAGACACCGACCAAGACATAGAAAACTCTGATAGAAACTCTTTGAACTATGCAAGGTTCAAAACGGACCCAGGAAAAGTTCATCATGGGGAATATCCCAGTGCACCATGGGAAAGAGTGCAAGTTGATTTCGCAGGCCCTATATTTGAACGAATGTTTCTACTCATTGTTGACGCCAATTCAAAATGACTTGAAGTTTACCCCATGAAGACAGCCAACTCGTTCAAGAGAATTGAATGTCTCCGAGATTGTTTTTCACGTTTTGGACTACCTGTAGCTTTAGTTTTCGACAACGGCACACAGTTTACTTCTCAAGAGTTTGAAACATCTATACCAAGCAATGGCATTAAGCGCTCTTTTCAAACCATCCAGCAATGGACAAGCAGAGCGCTACGTGCACACATTAAAGCAATCTTTCCGTGCTATGCAGAATTTTGCAGAGGATATCCAGCAAAAGGTTAGCACATTCCTCATGCGATATCGCAAAGCTACTAATACGACAACCATGATTAGTCCGGCTATGCTTTTTCATCAGAGAGATATTATGACTAGAATAGATCTTATCTTGTTCTCCCCGACTTGATCGGAAGAGTCAACGAGAAGATCAGGAATAACACGCATACTTTCCAAGATCGCATTTTTCACGAAGGTGATAAGGTGGCTATTTAAAACTATCGTTCACCCAAGGCAAAGTGGAAATTTGGAACAGTTATGAGCAAAGATGGAGCTCATCATTACACAGTTAATGTGCAAGGTACATTGTATGGACGCCACGTAGATCAAATGCGACCAATAGGTGACCAGATCTTGGATAAGACTGTTCACGTTCCACGAATTAGTTTTAGAAGTGAAACCATACACATCAGCACTGCTGATAATTCTCCTACATCCACTAATCATGGGGGAAATATCCAAAAACACTCTGGATCTGTCAAATCATTACCGGAAACTCGCCAACCAAGAACCCAAGTTCAGCTGTTTTGCCGAGAAGTACTCCATCTTCAACTTCTTAACAAATTCCATTTCAGCCTAGGAGATCACAAAGGATTAGACGGTGTCCTAAGAGACTTGACCTTTGAATTTTCATTTTAAAGGGCGAGATGCCGTGTATTTAGCCTTTCGAGGCTATGTTTACGAACTATCATATCACGCATACGCAATGAAATCGTGACTTTCCCTCTAAGTTTCAGTTCAGATTCCTCACTTGCTTGTGTTACGTTAAGAAACATCTTCTGTATTCTAAATGTTGCAAATTATTAATAAATAGTACTTGTTATACTTAAGAGTGTTTATTCCTAAAACCTCACGCTATGGAACAGCACATGGTATAATTAGAATGCAAGAGCAAAAAATTGACCCCTTTCTTCAGACGATATTAAACATATTAAAAATGTTTGCTCTAACTATAATGAAGTAAAACCTCGCTTTTACAAGAACAAAGGAAAACTTATGAAAGCAATTACAGTAGAAGTCCATAAGTCCGGCATCGCTCCGGAAAATTGTAAAAATTTTGGTTTTCTCCAAAAGTGTGTCTATAAAGCAAATTAAAATGCTCTAGAGCTATTCGGAAGTTTTCGGGGTAGTTCGGGATCATCCGGAAGAGCACGGTATTGTTCGGAAACAACAGGTGCAGTGCAGCTCCGTTAATCAATCACGAAGCGTCTTCGCCATTTTTTTGTGCGTTGTTGTTTTGCGTCCTTTCGCATCGCAGTAAACGTAACTTTTGAAACTGTTTATAGAAAAAGTGATTTTTGTTCTAACTGTGCAGTGACCATGTTTTCAAAACCTAAGCCTTCGAGTTCAAAAGGAGAGAAACGAAAACACGTAACACTGACTCTCAATCAGAAACTAGAAATCATCAAACGGCTAGAAAAAGGCGAGAATAGAAATGTTTTAATGAATGAGTTTAATATTGGCTCATCAACTATTTATGACATTAAAAAACAAAAAGATGAACTAATGAAGTTTGCTTCTCAATCGGTAACAATTGAAAAATTGGCTTCCAGACAAACATTAAAAATTTTTTTAAAAAACTTGAACAGCTAGATAGTGTATTGTTCAAATGGTTTAGTGTAGTACGTTCTGAAGGAAAGCCGGTAACAGGGCCAATGATTGTTGAAAAGGCAAAGAAATTCGGCCAAGATTTAGGAGTTGCTGAAAGTGAATGTAATTATTCTGATGGTTGGCTCAGAAACTTTAAGTTTCGGCATGGAATTCGAAGACTTGGTGTAACTGGAGAAACAACCAAAACTCTGCAGAAAAAATACAAAGACGAGTTTGAGAAAATCGTGGCTGATAATGATTTAACACCTGAACAGATTTACAATGCTGATGAAACAGGGCTATTGTGGCGATGTTTACCAACATCTACACTAGCTGGGGGAGGAGAAAAAGCAGCCAACGGTTTTAAAAAAAACGAAGACAGATTAACCGTTTTGCTATGTGCTAATGCGTCTGGAAAGCACCGAGTGACCCCTTTTGTGATAGGTAAATCTACAAAACCCGGGGTTTTTAAGAATGTTACACACTTGCCTGTCCAATACGATGCTCAATCAAATGCGTGAATGACTGCCGCTCTCTTTAAAGACTGGTTTTTTTCACCACTTTGTGCCTGAGGTTAAGGAATCCTTCAAAAGCCTTGGTCTACCAGAAGATGCTAAAGCCATCCTTCTTTTGGACAATTGCTAAGCCCACTCGCCAGTAGACGAGTTAGTTTCTGGAAATATTGTTGCTACTCTGCTCCCACCTAACGTAACATCTTTGATTCAACCCATGGGTTATTCAAAATTTTAAATGCTTTTATAGAAGGTCTTTTATTCAAGGCCTGTTAAATGCCGACTGTGACGTGACTGATATTCAAAAAAAAGTTTAGAGTAAAAGATGCCGTCTATGCTATTGCACTGTCTTGGAATCAGGTAAAAAATACAACACTCCAAAAATGCCGGAGAAAACTTTGGCCAGCTCCAAACCCAGCATCTGACCTAACTCTACAGACTGATGAGGAAGAAAACCATCAAGACGCTCTAAACAAAGTTTTGGATGTCGTTAGAAGTGCTGACAATCCCTTGAAAAACCTGCCTGAAAATGAGGTAGAGGAGTGGCTTCTAATCGACGAGAATGAACCTGTTAAACAAGAACTAACCGATGAGGACATTATCAACATTGTAGTAAACCCTCAGCCTACTCAAAATCTTGAAGAAAGTGCCTCAGATGCCGAAACTGAAGAAAAGGAAAATATCAGCTGGGCAGAAGCTGCAGAATTACTAAATAAGTTTATCTCTTTTGCTGAGGCTAGTACTAGCTACAGTGCATCAGAAATTATTGATTTCCATATCATTAGAAATAAATTTCATACTAAACGCCAAAAGTAAAAAAAACAAAGACATTCGTGACTTTTTTAAATCTAAGTGAAATATGTTTTACAGTATGTGTACATACATTATATGAAATGTAAAATAAACTTTGTTGTATGTATTTGCATACTGTATTTGTAGTTTAATTATTAACCTAATTGTTCTTATAATTGCCGCCCGATAGATCGGAATTTTCGGTAGTCCGGCATCCAGCCGGTCCCGAACGTGCCGGATTATCGGACTTCTACTGTACACCGTTTGAGAGGCTCAACAATGATTTTAAGGAACCACTACCTTCTACTAAAAATCATTTTCTCTTGACTATAATTGATGAATATTCTAGACCCTGTGCAGATATTTCTGCTTCTACTGTCAATAAGGTTTTAAGTAATGTGTTTTCTCCTTTTGGCACACAAACATTCAGATAGATGTGCATCATTCATGTTCAGTTTTTTTTCATTTTTGAATGAATTCTAATAATTAAAAGTATTTAATTTTAAGAAAATATATTATCTTTTTTCATAAAAATTTAATTCTTAGAACACAATAGTTTACATAAAAATTATCATATTTGCCGCCAACATGACTAAATATGTGTGTGAACTTTCGTTAGTCAATCTGATGTGCAAGTGGCCCTTCATCCAAAAAAGTTGTGTGCATCCTTAGGCTAGACAAACTAAGCGTTTACTGTCAAAAAAATTCATTACTGGATATAAATTAGTCAAACTGAGTGAACCTTTAAATACTTTCACTTAGGTTCAATAATTTTAATAGATAATAAATAGAATATAATTTAATAGTTAATAGAGTTAAGGATTTACACTTGGTAAATTATCAATAATATTAACACAAAAACCTAGAGATATTTCTCTTAAATAGAGTAAAAAGGTCACTAGGGCACCTCGGGAGTGTGAGACCCCGTGTTTACCTGAAAAAAGGCAAACCCCATGAGGAAATTTTCAAAAATCAGTTTATATAAAATAAATTTTAAATTTAAATCAGTAGAATTTTTCTGCAGTTGCATCTTTAAATTTACTGATATAAAATTATGAATTTTCTAAACAGAGATTTTTTTGGTTTATAAAATCAGACCAATTTAAAGAGAGAATATCACCAGAATGCATTTATAACCAAAATAAATTGAATAAAAAAAAGAAATTTTTTAGAAAAAAAGAAGAAAAAAACGTTGGGGAAATTACTAGGAACTTAGTCATTTCGTCTCTTTACTGTTTTACTTCAAAATACAACTATTATATCAAGTTATATATTGGTTATTAAGGTAACTTCAGAAATTATGTATTTATTTCCTACTACTAATCAAAACATAATCCTGAAAAGGCTGTGCAAAACATAAAATACTTTTTAAAAAAATGACATTAAACCATGTACATTTAAGTTACTTGTTTAAATTGAGAGAATTAGTTGAAATTTACTGAAACTTACACGAAGAAGACTTTAAACGATTTAAATGTTAAAAAGCATAAATACTACGTAATTTAGCAACAAAAATAATTAGCATTAATGTGCAGGATATAGATATTATATAAAATGAAATTGTCTTATTAATTTTGGAGATATCTAATCATACATAATGTATATAAAAAAAATATCATACAACAGGAAAATAATTATATTTTTCCTTCAAAAATCTCTTTATTAAAATTTTGAGTGATATAAAAATGATATAATAAAATATGGTACATTAAAGTTGGTTTGCAATCATAGGGAAAAATAAGGTTTTGTAGATAATAATTACTACTGCACATAGTGATAAAAAATGTGTAAATTTAAATTTAGCTTATTTTAATATTAATTGAATTGAAAATAAAATAATTTTAGTTCTCAAAAATGAAAGCAAAACTGAAAATAAATGCAAATTATAATCATGTGATATTTTTATTGTAAACAGAATCTAAATGGTACAAAGAGGGACCTCTAAATAGAATCCTTGCACTTCCAAGACATTCATCACCTTGATAAAATACTGCATATTGTCCAGGTGTAAGGGCACGTAACGGTTTTTGTAAAAATATCTGAAGTCTCTTTTTATTATCTTGCCACAAAAGACACTTAACTAAAGGCTCCCTGTGTTGAAAACGAAAATCACAAGGGAATAAGTCACCCTTTTCAAGTTCTACTGGAGGCTCATTTATCCAATAAGGTATTTCAGTGACTAAAGTTTGATGAAAGAGAGATAGATGCTTTCTTCCAGGCGCCTGAAATAGAATAAATAAACATTTTGTACAAGAAATACCTCACAATGCAAAAATATTTTTAATCATTATTAAAATAAACAATAAATTATTAAAAATTAATTTTCTTGCATAAAATTATTTTTAGTTTGATCAAATTAACAATTGGTAAAAAAGGCTTTTCATTCACACAATTTTCAAAGATACGAGAAAAGAAAAAAAAATGCAATTTAAAATAGCATCAAACTTTTTACTTTTATTTAACATCAAGAATATAACTATATTCCTGACCAAACTATTTGAACCATATTTTTAAAATTGCAATTATTCCCTACACTTTAAGTTTCAAGAATACAAATACATAAAAATGTTAATTAAGAAAAAGTACTTTGTGTCTGATTTTATTAACTGGAAATTAACTATCTATGCTAATTAATCTGCCTATCAAACTCTTCAAACAATGTGTCTTTTCAAGCCATGAATATTGCAGCTTAGTAGAGGAAAATCAGAGCATGAGACAAAAAGTTATTCAGAGCTGAGCTCAGCATGTGTGTATATAGATTCAACACAAGATTCAACAGTGTAAAACATGCTCAGGAGTTATGCTGTTAAAACTCTAAGAACATTTTTTTCAGGCTCAAAATATCAACAATAATAATAAATAAATAGATAAAAAAAAGAAAAGGAAATTTAAAGAAATGAAAAGAATGTGATTGAAAAATAACTAAGATCATTTTTGACATGTTGCACATTTATCAACTATTATTTTTGGTTTAACACGTTTCATAAGATGAAAAGTACTAATACTACATAATGTTAATTATAAATACTCTTCTTAAACTTTTAAAAACATAATTAACAAATTCCAGATAGAGAAATAGGTAAAAATATAACAATTAAAAAATTTTTTCAACAATTATTTTAAAATATATTATTAGTTATAAAATTTCAATTTAAACTTAATAACAAGATAATAAAACTATTAATGTAAACATGACATACTTTGGCAGCAAAATTAACCAGTTAAATTGACAAAATTTATTTAAAAAAATAAATGAGTAAATTATCCTAATTTATATTGTTAATAATGTGCTACTTAGAAAAATTAAATTTGCTAGCACTAGGACTGCGCGATATAAGAAATTTTATATTGTTATGCATCGTCAGTTTTGCAGCGCGATATATAGTAATTTTGAAATTCATTTACTTGTAAGGCACAGAAAGTCGAATTTCTATCAAAACTTCATACTCAGATTGATTTAAATCAATTTATGAATTTGAAGATATATGTTTTGATATAATAAATTTTGATATAATAAAGAAAAAGAATAAGAAGTAATAAAGAATAAGAAAAGATTGCTTAAGAAAGATATTAATGTTATATTTTCTAAAAATGATCGCGCAAATAACGAAAGATTTCTTACTTTAAAAATAAATAATAAAAAAATAAATAATAAAAAAATAAATAAATTGAAATTTATCAATATATTTACCTAACAATATAGAAAGAAAATTTACAAAATAAGTACGTTAAAAATTATTTGCATGCTTAAAACGAAGTGCTAAATAAATTTAAAAAAAAAAAAAAAATAACAACACCTTTAAAACAACACTATTTTTTATCATTATTATTTCACATAAATAATAAAGTTAAATTGAATAATTACCAAATTCTGAACGAAAAAACAAAGTAAGGTTTAATTTCTTAAAAATAAAAAAAGAATTATGATATTTGATAATATATTTAACTGACAATATTGAAAGAAAATTAAAAAAACACGATTATACTCGTTAATAAAACGAAGTGTTAAATGATAAAAAAATTAATAAAAAAAGAAGTCGCAAACTTTACTAATTTCTTTGAATAAACAAAGTTAATTGACTTATGCCCAAATCCAAAAGAGGAAAAATAAGTTTTGTCATAATTTTATTTATAAAAATAAAAACAACTAAGGATTTATAAATTTTAAATCAGTAATAAAAACCCATTAAATTATTAGAAGTTTTATCCAAAAAGTTTTTAATAAATTAAAATAAAGTAAAAAATAGTCTAACAAATTTAATTACTTTGTAATTTAATTCTTTATGGGCACCATAAATTAGATTTCCGATTGTAATAAATTCAATAATGTAAAAAATTACTTAAATATATAATATCAAAATTAAATTTCACAATTAAAAATTAAAAAAAAGTTTTGTTTTAAAAAATATTTTACTTAATTAATTAAGAAACACTTCTTTATATATTCTTTTCAATAATAGATTACGTTCAGAACAAGGTAACGATAGTGATCACAAAGTCAGTCCCACTGAAAATAATCTACAAGAAACGATATCAAGTCGCGACAAAGAAAAACTATGAGGCGCGAAAACGAACATGCGAGATCACGATATATATTCTCAAAACTATGGTTCTGATTCTACCACTCATCAATCAAGGCCATTTCAACATAACGAAATGAATACCGTCTTCCACAGCGCGAGTCGGGATCAGTTGGAAGAAGATCCTTGCGTGTCTTATATCGATACATCGTTTTGCGCTCGTCGTCTTTAGCAATCTGATGCATCGCCTGTAACGAAAGTTGTGTATCGGCTTGCTGATATATGCGTTGAATGGAAATGTCGCGATACAACGATTTATAGCACAGTCCAAGTTAGTGCTAATACCTAACATTTATTCATCAGGGATGAGATTAGCCAAAATGCAAAAAAGCTGAATTTCCACGTTAGTAAATTTTACGCAAGCGCAACCCTTTAATAATAAATTCCAGACAGTTTAANACAAAATACCTCACAATGCAAAAATATTTTCAATCATTATTAAAATAAACAATAAATTATTAAAACTTAATTTTCTTGCATAAAATTATTTTTAGTTTGATCCAATTTACAATAGGTAAAAAAGGATTTTCATTCACACAATTTACAAAGATACAAGAAAAGAAAAAAAATTGCAATTCAAAATAGCATCAAACTTTTTACTTTTATTTAACATCAGTAACTGTTTTCCTGACCAAATTATTTGAACCATATTTTTAAGATTGCAATTATTCCTCGCACTTTAAGTTTCAAGAATACAATACATAAAAATGTTTATACAGAAAAAGTACTTTGCGCCTGATTTTATTAACTAGCAATTAACTTTCTGTGCTAATTAATCTGCATATCAATCTCTTCAAACAATGGGTCTTTTTAAGCTATGAATATTGCAGCTTAGTAGAGGAAAATTTGAGCATGAGACAAAAAGTTATTCAGAGCTGAGTTCAGCATGTGTGTGTATAGATTAAATACAAGTGGTTGGAACAGCGTAAAACATGCTCAGGACTTATGATGCTAAAACTCCAAGAACATTTTTTTCAGGCTCAAAATATCAATAATAATGAGAAAGAAAGAAAAAGAAATTTTAAAAAACGAAAAGAATGTGCTTGAAAAACAACGAAGATTATTTTTGGCGTGGTACATACTTATCAACTATCATTTTTTGTTTAACACTGCTTCATAAAATTAAAAATACTAATACTACAAAATGTTAGTTATAAATACTCTTTTTAAACTTTTAAAAACAGAATTAACTAATCCGAAATAGAGCAATAGGTAAAAATATAGCTATTAAAAAATATTAAAAAAATTATTTTCGAACACAATATTTGTCATAAAATTTCAATTTTAACTTAAAAATAAAATAATAAAACTATTAACTTAAACTTGAAATACTTTGGCAGCAAAAGCAACCAGAGAAACTTTAGTTCAGTGTTTCTTAACCTTTTTGGTATAATGGACCCCTTTTAAAAAATTTTAAGAAGTCACGGACCACCCCCTGTGAAATAAATTATTGCAAAAAACATCAATTACTAGAAAACATTTAATTTTATTATTTTAATAGTATTCAAAATTTTTAAAATTTAAATTTTTGATGTGAAGGTTGCTGCTGCTTTTCCTCAATTAATAAATTGGATTGGGGGATGGTATTCGGCAAAGCAACGCGCATATCATGTTCGACATTCAATCAATTTCGATATTTTGATTTTATTGTCACAAGTGTGGAAAATCCCGATTCACAAAGATTCACTGTAGCAAATGGAATTATAGCTGCCATAGCTCGCTTAACAAGCAATGGGTAGGCTTCCAAACATTTTAAAAATTAGGAGCAGTCAGCGAACCCCCAAAATATGACTCATGGACCCCTTAGGGGTCCATGAACCACAGGTTAAGAAACCCTGCTTTAGTTAAATTGACAAAACTTTTTTAAAAAATAAATTAGTAAATAATCTTAATTTGTATTGTTAATAATGTGCTGCTTTGAAAAATTCAATTTGTTAGCACTAATACTTAACATTTATTAATTGATAGCTTTAATATTTTATTTAATTGGTTTTCATACAATTTGAAAAGTTAACAATTCTTGTGTGGTTATTTCTCAACATTCTAAAGAAGATAATGAAAGTAAGGATGTGCAAGTAAAGAACAAGGAAAACTGAGGATCTGTGGAACCTCAAACCAATCTTCAATCCAAAATTATTTTTTTTAAGAAATATAATATATATTTAGACATTAATTCATATAAAAGTTAGTCTTTGCATACTGACTCTTCTATTAGTATGAGGAAGCATGATATGATTTAAACTGTGAGACTGAATGATTTAAAGGAAAATCTGTTTTTTAAAAAATTGCCTTCTTTTGGTAGCGAAAAATGCAAAGGAAGTATGATTTTACTTATATCTTCAATTATAAATCAGTAAATGTGCATTTTCTCTGCCCAAAGTTGGCACAGCAGATGTACAAGAATTACAAGCAAATTAAAAGGCACTATAACCAAAAGATTGCAAAAACCTTTTTTTTTTCTTCCTTTATAATTAAACAGCATTTAGTTTAGAGTCATTTAGCCCACTAATTTATTTTAAATTAGTCGTAAGATAAATTATATTATTATAATTTGACTTCAAATATATAATTCTATGAATAAAACACAAAAATTATTTATTACAAATTTAAAACTTACAACAAATATATCTTGAGTTTCAGCATTTCTTTCAACAACATAAAATGCACTAGAATTATCTGTAACAGCACATCTTTGACCGATTGTCCAACAGTGAACCCCTAAGTAGTAATAAAAACATTTTTATTAACTTCAAAGGAAAATAACTTTTATTAAACAGTTTTAATAAATAGTAAAATAAGCAGAGATTTACACAAGAAATATAACAAGCTTATTTGCTATTTTATTTGCTTTTATTTTAGTTGCTAGTGCCATTCCTTCCAAAATGAAAATAAAATAATGCAGTTAATTCCACAGTTCTAAATAAATTATACAGAAGAAACAGAATTTTTTTTAACTCAAGAATGTATGCAAATTTTTATATTTTACACTCACAGGAAAAGTAGTCGAAACTAGCATGCTACAAGTAGAGAAACTACAGTTGTAGCCTTAAATAAATAATCCCCAGAAACTGAAGCAATAAGATATTACTTGATTATAAAGCTTAATTTGTCTCAAAAATATATAAATAGGTAATAATAGTTAACATGTTTCAAACCCCCAAAACAAGCGGTAATTTTCAAGACTTGCCACTTGAAACGTGAATAAAAATAAACAAAAATAACATGAGATATGAAACATGAAATTAACAAGGAAAAACGGAAAAAATAAAAGTGAGAAACAAAACTAGAAAAAAACCACAGTAGCCAAATCAGAAAAACGAACAAACAGAACAACAACAAAAAATTACAGTGGCCATGAGGAGCAAACCAGGGTAAAATGCATTTCCACACGCCATGGAGAGGTAGTGAAGAACTAATGTTGTTAATAAGGGAATTTGCATTATATGAATAAAACAAAATTCCAGTCTTCAACATTTTTTAATTTTGAACATAAGTGTAAATCAAATCTTCTAGTAAAATTAGTCGTTTAAATGTAATTAAGTAGTGTCTACATTTCAAAAGTAGTTAGTAATAACTACTTCTACAAAAAAATTAGTTGTAGTTAACGACATTTTTAGCAATGTTGTTAAAGTTAGCAACAAGAAAATTTAATTTTCCCGACCATTGCACATGCGAGACAAAACATTTAAATAATGATTATATTAAGCCTTATCTTTAATCAAAATTACCTTTAATGAGAAAAATCTGAAAATTCTCTGAGTTTTAATTGCAATTTAGTGACCATTAGAAGTTTGTAAAAGTTTATATGTTGCATTCACAAAGTTATGGCTATCTCTAATGGTGAACAACTGTTTTGATTAAAATAGGATTTACAAAGAATTTATAAAATATCATAATTCATTTTACACATTTGGCAACCATTTTTTTTTTTTTTTTTTNATTTTTTTTTTTTTTTTTTTTTTTTTTTTTTTGATTGAGACAAGCTCATTAAATCCAGTAAATGGGAAACAAATATTAATATATTACAGAGCTTCAAAATAATAGCTATAATCCCTTTAACTAATGGTCCCTCATGACTAATTTACACGGCAGAGCTGTGTGCTGGTATCCATGTCCATCTGATTTACTCTTAAGGTTGTTCAAAAGTTATGCTCATCTACTGTATCATATGATATAAATATTTCTGGAAGAAATTTGAATGTAATAACTAATTAATACTTTTCATTCGTTGTCTATATTCAAGAAGAAAAAAAAACATGAACAAACCTTTATGCTGTCCAATTATTTTGTTATTTTCTATATTTCTAAAGTAGCCTTTCTGGGGTTCAATATATTCATCTATGAAAGACTGAAAATTTCGAGGACCAATGAAGCACATACCCATGCTCTGTAAAGATATTAATTACAATTATTAATAAGGTACTTACATTCTATGAAAAATAAATAATGTTGTTAACACTTTAAGAGTACATTATTGACTAATTACATAAAAATTCCAAAGCAATAAAACATTAATTTTAAAATTGCAATAAATGTTTTAGTAAATGTTAATTTTAATGTAAATACAAAATTTTTTAAACAATTAAAAAAATCTAAAAATAATGTGAAAAAATCAAAAAATAATGTAAAAATCCCTATCTACAGAAATATTGCAAAGTAATCACAAATATAGCATTGGACTTTTAACGATTGTAACAAGATATAAATATGAAATTCATAAATTTTCTCCTCTCCATTCTATTATATGGAAATAAAACTTCAAATGAACATCACAAATTTTATTTTAAGTTTCATAAAGTAAATAAATAAATAAATGGTACTTACATATTATCTTGTTGGCCATTTTTGCCAAATCTGAAAATAAAGTTGGAAATGGTTCAAATTTAAATATCTAATTTTTTGCAAGAAGTCTCATTTGTATTTTATCAATTTTTTATAATCAATTTCTAAATTAAAATAAATTAGAAAATACCAAAATGACTCTGGCGCATTATTGGCAAAAATTGTCAACAGTATAACACGTAAGTACCAAATAAATAAAAAGGGTAATCAGCTTTTTATATAAAAGAAAATTTCAAATTCTTACAAAAAGTAAAGTTTTTTAATGTTTGTTACTCTGAACAAATTTTTTAAAAAAATTACATAATTGATGCAAGATTTTATACAAACTTACATTCAGATTAAATTAAATTTAATAATTTTTTTAAAAATTCTACAATAATTTATACAATTCAAAAGCTTAAAATTAAATAGTTCTTCCATTCAGAATAAATTTGTAAAATGAAAAACATCAAAAATAACACAATTATAGAACAATTATTTGTTTAAGTTTGTCAATATCAACACAACTTTTAACAATTTTTTAACAAGTTTATAATAGCTTTTAACAAGTTTAGAATAATATAATAGCATTTATAAACTGTAAGAAAAAAGAATACAAAAAATTTTAATGAAATTAAGACCTCTTTCTTCTTCACAATACGATTTAATCCAGCAGATAAAGCTATACTTTTTACTTTGTCTTTTGTCATTTCTCCTAAAGGAAAAAGACACTTTTCAAGAGCTAATCTAGGAATTTGAGATAAGAAGAAAGTTTGATCCTTCCGTTCGTCCACACCTTTAAATAGCTTATATTCTAAAAAAATATAAAAAATTCTTTCAGTTTTTTTTTCTAACATTGTAATCACTATCCTAAAAAAATGATTGGTTTTCATACTTTTTTTAGAACTGTCAGAAGATGATAATATTCTGGCATAATGACCGGTTGCTATGGCTTGTGCTTGAAATCGATGCAGAACATGTTTGAAAAAAGCATCAAATTTGATGTTCTTGTTACAAAGTATGTCAGGATTAGGAGTAAATCCTCTTTTATAATCATGAATGAGTGAGCTAAAAAGGTTTTATATGTTATTCATATCTAAGAAATAAATTAAGAAGAAAAAAAAAGAGCAACATTTGGGCAAATATCTGAACAACTACAAATACATTCTTGAAATCACATAGTTAATGTACATTGCATCTTTCTGCATTCACACTCCGAAATTATAAAACATTTTCACAATATGAAGTAAAATAAATCAATATTAAGAAAGGATATAATTTTTCCTATCAAATAATAATTTAAATTTTTTTTTTATAGTTTTGTATTGACTAGAGTTATATACAGACAATGAGAATTTTTTTAGAGCAACAGCTTAAGTTTAATGGTTGAATTTTATTTACTATAGCATTTGAAACCTAAGTTAACCCCTTACCTCCCGAGTAAAATTTACGTGATTCACTCCCCAGTGCCACCGTTTTCGCTCAATTGCGCTCTGTTACAGGGTGTTCTGGTGGGGCAAAAAGATGCACATGTTGCAATTTAAAAACAGTTTACTTTCACAAGAGAAGAAAAAAGAAAAATAGAAGACGCAAAATTTAAATTAAAGAACAAAAATACAATATAAAAGATGTTAAAACTTAGCTGTTGTATGATAAATCCTGAAACGTGGTTGGACACATAAACCAACATCACATTCATTGCACTGATAGCGGGAATCACGACGAATATACACGGGAAACGAAAGCCAAAGAAGAATAAACCTGACCTTACTCAAATAGAAACACACAAGCAATAAATATTATGATATAACTTTTCCAACACATCCCTTTCCCAGTCTCCCTCCTCCGAAATTGGTAATACATTCATTGTAAACACTTTCATTGGCAAACACTTTCAAGGTCATTTTATTGCATTCAGAAGCTAGGTATGTAGTTCTATTTACAGCAGCCCAATGCAAAGCATCGTACTTCGGGAAAGCGTATACATACATCTGCGGCAGTTAACGCATCATCTGGCCGAGACGTATATATACATCCGCGGCAGTTAAGGGCTTAATCAATAAAAATGATAAGCACAATTCTGAGAACTACACAGGATTTTCACCCTTAAACTACTTATCTGGTAAATACAATACAAATGTTTCATCTAATGATATTTACTAAAAAATTACTGAACACAACTGTTAAGTTCACTTTTCTTCTAAAACAATTCAAAGGAGAACATTTAATAATTTTTTAAAAATTTAATGATAAGAAAGGTTTTTTCTTTCTTTTGGTAATTAAAAGCAAAAATTGAAAATTTTATGTTTTGAAATCACATTATACATGTTAGTTTGAAATCAAAGTAATGAAACTTAAAAAATTTTATTTTATTTTCAACAATTGTATCGAAATGAAACCTTTCTAACATTTAAAATCTTTCATTTCTCCATAATTTTCTGTGAAGCGCAAATTGAATTAAAAATACATCTTAGTAATGTAAATATAAAAATCAATTACCTAAAAACACTATTCCAATATTCTTTAACAAAATTCACTTCAAAAAAAGGGATGCCAATTTTTTTACAAGCATACTCAGCATCTTCTCTGTCTAGATCTGCTTGACAAAAACCTTTTTCATCAGAAATGTCCCAATTTCTCATAAATGCCCCAATGACTTCATATCCTAGAGTATTGAGGAAAAATATTTTTTAAAAGTTGAAGAAAAAAACTAAAACACTAGCAATTATTTTTTTAAAAAATGCCAAAAGGCAGCATAAAATACGATACACTAGATTACTGCAATAAAATTGTTTAAATCGAATAGAGTTTTAGAACAAGGTTTTATAAAGCCTATCTATTAATAAACTACCCAGAAAAAATTAAAATAAAATTCAATTTTTTTAAATGATAATAATTTAAGTTTTTTTAAATTCTGGACCATGAAAATTTTGAAAAGTGTTATATCATTAGACTGTTTAATTATCTTAAATAGTGAGGAATTTAGATTTTTCCAAACCTTAAAAATGTAAGTAGTGTATGATGCTTAACTTAAGACACCTCAAACTTCTTAGTAATTTAACCTTTTAGTTGTAGTTAGTCAGATAAAAAAAATTTTCCCTCCTTACGGATATTTTTTGCAAAAATTCATTCCCCTTTATGAAGTGGAAGGTAACTATTTTAACCAAATATGAAAAAGAAACATTTTGTTGTAATTTGTATGTCGTGTTTCTCGGAAGGAGCAATTGCAAGGTTGTAGCGTGCATCTTAATCGACAGATATTTTGGCAAAGTTATACATGTTTCGGCATATTTTATTTGTAATATTTAACAAATTATAAGAAAAAGTTTAAATGTAACTTTTTTTAACTAATTTTTTCCAAATGTAATAACATTTCCTCTAATGCAAGACCATTAATTTAATAATTATTTAAGAATTTTGCCAATTTATAAAGAAAATCGTATACTTTATTGTATCTAATAGATAATAAATAAGCTAATAAACTATTACAAACAAAACTCTTAATTTTTTCCAATAAATAGTGCATTGTTTGAAGTTTTAATGTTTTAAAATTATGAACACAGTTATTGTGATGCATAATCATAAAAAGCAAAGTTTTTAGAATTGTTAGCTGCGAGCTTCATAAGTATTTTACATTATTGAAGATTATTTTATTTATTCATTTAAAAAATAAGTTCAAAAGTAGATTTCTTTCACTGGATAGATTTTTCTATTAAAGAGTTTTGAAAAATTTATTTTACTTGTTGTTTCCTTTAGAAATCGTGTCTATTACATTCATCAAAAATTGAAAGGAAAATATTCTTAGGGACAAAAATTATACTTCAAAAAGTCATGCAAATATTTTTATTTAAATTTAATTTTCAAATATAGTTTGTTAGACAAAGTTCTTTAAGTTTAATGATAATTATCCAATTACATGTTAATAAGTGGAATTTTTCTGTAAAAATATTTGATACATAAAGCCTACTCGTTTAATTATATTATTTTGTTTTCATACTAACGCTACATATTTTAAATATAAAACTTTTTTATAAAAGATACAGGTGAGTAGGGCTAGTTACATATTCTGTAGTTATATTATTTGGGCATGGTAGTTGCTGTACCTAATTCTTAGCAATCTTTTATTTACTTTTTTTTCTGTTAAAGAAATGAAATGTTATTTTTACTACTCCTAGCTAAGCTTCACGTGTCTAATTCCGAAGAAATGTCTATACCACATTAAAAAAAGGTAAGAAAGAAAAAATAAAATAAAAGAGGCTAAAAACTAAGTTTTCGAATATTTTGTATCTTTCAAATTTCCTACCATCAGTACATATTTTATGCTAAATGTTTCATGTTATACCTGATGTTACATCACTCAGCTATGATAAGCTAATGTTCAAATTCTATGATAAGAACTTTAGTCATCAAAAACTGCAGAAGTAATAAGATATTTCTAAGAAGAAGAAAAATCAGATTACATTTAACTTTAAATTAATATGTTAATTTTCACAGAAAAAAATTGAAGCTAAAAAAAAATTAATAAAGGAAAGGAGGAAGGAAAACAAAGGAAATTCCTCTTCGGAAACTAGCAAATAAAAATTTGATGAAGAAATATTTATATTTCTGATATTTAAACTGATCTAAGTAAATTTTTATTAAAAATGCATCAACTGCCACTTTGCAAAAAATTCTGATATTAATTTTAATAGATATAAACATTTTTCTTACAACTTAAGCTGAAGAAAGATTCATGCCAAATAAAAATTTAAATAAATGATAACTATAAAAAAATTTATTTTTTGACTATTTTATATTAAACAAAAACTTTAACTTTACTTTCTTTTTATAAAATCAGCAGCGCAACTCTCAAAAAAAAGGATTTAAAATTGTTGATTCTGAAATTTTTGTACGAAACAAAATCAATACTGAATTTAAAAAAAAGTGTTGCAAACTTTTAAATACTGAACTGAGAACTGAATAAACAAACATAATACCAAATCGTACTAATATAGAAAAATATTATTATTTAGCTACATCATAATATTTAAAATAATTAGAAATTCTTCAAAAACCTTTTGCCTGTGTTTCTTTTTAGAAGTACACAATATATTATATGTGTGCATTTCATAAAAATATTAATTGAATTATTAAAAAAAATAATAATGGTATTGGAAATATTAAAGAATATGTTTTAAGTAACTTCAAAGAAGAAAAGCAGCAATGNTTATAAAATCAGCAGCGCAACTCCCAAAAAAAGGATTTAAAATTGTTGATTCTGAAATTTTTTTACGAAACAAAATCAATACTGAATTTTAAAAAAAAGTGTTGCAAACTTTTAAATACTGAACTGACAACTGAATAAACAAACATAATACCAAATTGTACTAATATAGAAAAATATTATTTAGCTACATCATAATATTTAAAATAATTAGAAATACTTCAAAAACCTTTTGCCTGTGTTTCTTTTAGAAGTACATAATATATTATATGTGTGCATTTCATAAAAATATTAATTGAATTATTAAAAAAAATAGTAATAAAGGTAATCTTTTAAGTAACTTCAAAGAAGAAAAGCAGCAATGTTCATCATTTCTACAACAAATATAAAGTGTACCACATTTCTATTAAGATCACATTTCAACCCGACATCAACAAAATAAATAACCCATTCCTTTTCTAAATTTGTTTTAAAATATTGATTAATATTATACATTATTAAATACAAAATAATTTTTTTTATCATCACTTAAAACCGATTCAATTTCGTAATAATTTCATTTAAATTTTGCATAAAACAAAACGATACATTTTTTCATTTCTTTTTTTATTTATTTATTTTCAGCTTTTGTAAGAAGCAGGAAAGGTTCTGTCCAAAAGAAAGCATCCGTTGAGTTAAAGTCTTTCACAACTTACAAATTTTAAAATCACCAATTAATATCACACTGTGGTCCTTCTTTAGGTGTATTGAATTTTAAAAATGGCAGAACCTAAAATATATTATCATTAATTAGGAATGCACATTCTGGCAGTGAATTCAACAGAAAGCCGGAAACGACACTTTGCATGCAAAAGAGGCTGAAATGATTTCATTATCCTTACTTTTTTAGAGAAGGAATAATAATTCATTTTGAGCAAATTATGACAAGCTGTGAAGGTCTCATTAGAAAGATTTCCTCAGAACTTGAAAGAAAAATTTGTTTCTGCGAGCTTGGCGGAAGTAGACAAAAAAGATACCTTTCTGAAAGTAGTGCCGTAGTAGTGTAGTCATAATTGAAATTTAGCAAAGTGGAGATTGCTTCATTGAGACAACTTGCAATTCAAGTTCACCCATTCAAAATATTCCCAAAGATGTTCTCTCATCTTTCCATAAACATTTAAGTTTTTTTCAGCAATCACAATATTTTTTTTTAGAATAGATAAATAACATAAATGTTTTATTTTATTTTCCTTTTTTTAAAAAAAAAACTTATCAGTTTCACAAGTTTGATTCCATATAAATTTACCAATGCAAAAATTTACAAAGCTCCCATCTCTTTGTGCACACTAGATTCAGAGTTTGAAAGGTTTAACCAGATTTTCTCTTTAACCTTTTCAAACTGCATATTACTCTGTTCTTGCCCTAATGATAACTTTTATTTTTGAAAATTTAAAGTCATACATTTGATATTTGTTGAATATCTAAAATACTTATCACTTTCTCCAATTTACTATTAACTTTTTCTTTCGAATTGAAACCACATGACTGCGGTTTAACTGTTATGATTATCCCTTTGGAATTATAAAAATTTTGCAATAATTACGAATATGCTAAAACAGTTAAATTATTCCATCAATGAAAACAGAATGATAAACATACCCAACAAACTAAAAAAAAACTTAAACAAAGAAATTAAACTAAAACATGAACAAAAATTAATAAAAATGCAAACAAAATATTACAAAAACATTAATATAACAAACAAAAAACTTAATCCAAAAGAAACAAACTAGAGTCAAATTTGCATCAAAAGATTTGCAAAAGTAATGTTAAATATATCTCAAATGAAACTAGTATTACAAAGGGAATGAAATAAACTCTCACCCCTCAAAACTTGACAACTGATAAAAAAGAAAAGTGTTTCAGCATATTCAAATAGAAAGCAAGCAAGCGTGCAAACTTTCCTTTTTAACTTTAAGGACACATTACAGGAGGTTCTCGAAAAAATGACAGGTTTAATGTCAGCCATTGAATATAGGGAAAAGAGAACCACTGGTACAAATGCTGATCCAGCACCGCAGAGAGACAAGTTTTTTCTGGGCCGCGAGCATAGGGTTAAGTAATCCTTTATTCTTTATAAGAGCATAACTTCTGGATGCCAAATTTTAATAATTACTAACAAAATTTTACAAAGATACGTCGCACCCATAAAATTTGACTAAAAGGGAAAAGTTTTTCATCAGAAAGGCCGCACCATCAGATACGCCACGGAAAATTTTACTGCATGACCGATTGCAGAGTAAACGCATCTGTTTAAAGTAACAAGTTATATACAATATAAATTATTAAACATTTAAAAATCATTAAAACAATTATTAAATATACAAATTCATACATGTGATCGTACTTAAAATCAGAAATTGTGTATTTTAATAACGTCCATTGCAACTTTTCAAATGTGCACAAAATTGTAGCATGTACAATTGAGCGCAATTCAAATGCAACATAATTGGAAGCACATTACGTTAATAAATACCAAGATTAAATACACGAATTTTATGTAAACCAAGTCGTTAAGTACCTAAATATATTTAAAATAAGTAATCAAAATACAATAAAGAAATGAGAAGGCGCTGAATCTTACTGGGTGCTAAATCGAACCATATAGAATAATCGTGATTGCATCATATCGCTTTATTGTAATTTTATTTGAAATATCTAAAGATTATTAAATCAAATGATTAAACAGCTAAAAATCCTTACAATAATTCATAAATATTGCTAATAATTAAATAAAAGAAAATAAATATTTTGCGCAAAATTGTACTACATAAAACAATCCCAAACGCATTCAGTTTCTTTTTACTAAATTTAAATTTCTAAAATTTTAACCTATCAAACAAAAAACAGCAAATAACCCTTAAGGTAATTTTTAAAAAATAGATATAAAAAACAGTAAATTATTTTGTTTTGTACAAAATTAGAGCATAAAATGATTGCAAATGAATTATATCTTTTATAATTAATTTATAATATTCTAGTTATAAGGAAATCATATGATTAAATGGCTGAAAAGTGTAAAAATAAACAATAAATAATTTTCATAACAATCATAATTTTCTGAGAATAAAAACAATAAAGTTGACCTTCAAGATCATTTGACCCCACAAATTCATTTTAGAGAATGTCTGTTTTTTTTTTTTCACCTCACTCCCAAGTCTCCACACCTACAGCAGAAGAAAAGGGAAATTACTTCTGTGGATCCTTGTAAATGACTATTCGCAGGGAGATTACAGGAAGAAAATTCCTCAATGGCTTCTTTGGTTGAAGATGAGAATATCTGTTGCACTACTGTTACATTCTTGCAAACTGCTTTTCACCAGTGTTGTTAATTCTTTAAATTAATATTAATTGTAAATTAATATTAATTACAAATTATTACTAACTGTAAATTATAAAAGTAGATTGCTTCAAGAGATAAAAAGATGAAGAGTAATAATGAAATTTTGGAGAATCAATTCAACAAAATAGAATTTTCAAGGTCAATGTTTTGTGTAGTACAATTTTGAGCAAATTAATATTTATTTTCCTTTATTCAATTATTAATAATATTTTTGAATTATTATAAGGATTTTTAGCTGTTTAATCATTTGATTTAATAACGTTTAAAAAAAATAGGCCGTCTAATTACATATACCAAATTTTAATGTTATGAATCACAAACGCCACAGAATATCTCCGTGAAATTACGGTATTTTTTCATTAATCAACTTTAAAACATAGTTAAAATGCGTGATCATTATTAATATCAAATAACCAAATTATACTTTAAAAATCCATACAGAAACAAACCATCTACAACAAAGAAAGATTAAAATAATTAAATTTTAATATTACCTTGTCTTTTAAGAAGAAGAGCAGCTACACTACTATCAACACCACCAGAAACTGCACATATAATTCTCTTCATTATTTAACAGCTTTAAGTGATTCAGCTTAGGAAAACAGATAAAATTAAATCAGGATAACTCAAATACATAGATATATTTCTATCTTATAGAAAAAACGAATAATTAACTATTCTTAAGACTTTAATATAAGACATTAAGAAAAGATTTGTAGTTTAAAAGTTTGATCTGAAGTTTAATCTTAACAACGAAATAGTATTATGAAAAAAATTTTTTAGACGCAACTTAAACAGTATAAAAATAGATTGAAGGTATTCAAAAAACACATTGATCCTTGAAATTAACATATTTTACCAAAAACAGAATAAAAATCTGCAATTGATATTAATTTTGCTTTATTTAACTGTCATCAAAATGTTGATTGCATTACGTACACACAATTCATAGCATGAACTTCATGTGCTGAAATATAGTTAGTTTCATAGTTTGAAATTAGTATATCAAAAGTCAAACATAAAAAATTTGGTGAAGGCAGTATTTTAAGCTGTTGAGATCTGATTACTAATTGAGATATAATTAACGTCCTAATTGCCTAACGCATATTAAATGATTTAGCATACTTACGACGAATTCAAACTTGATCTGAAGAATCTTCATAGATTGAAAGAGAGAAATATATATGTATACAAAAAAATTGTTATTCACTAGCACAGGACTGATGTCTAATTTTATCAATTGAGTATTGTTTACATGTAAAATTTTACTATTTACATTTGCTTTATAAATTTTACTGTTTACATTTGCTTTATAAGAAAAGGATGTTGCCACTACATAACATGTAACCAACTTAACTAGTGTTGCCAGAAAAAGCTTTAAACCTAAACAAATATTTTCCATATTAAACTGTATTCACTAAAACTTCGATTTCAACAGCAGACAACCACAAAAACAAGAACAAATGTGGGGAAAAAATTCAAGTGCAGCACATTCATTAATAATTCCAAACTTGTTTAGTTAGTTATGTTTGTTTTGGCATAGTAATTGACCTGTCCACCTGTTTTTCGCGAGCGATTCACGAACTTTTATTTGCTTACATAAAATTGCTCTACAAAAAAGTAATTTATCGCACTTGTGTATTGTAATTTCTTAGAGCCTACTTCGTTATTGCTTTACCAAATTAATATTATATGTCTTCAATTTTTAATCTGAACGCTTTTCTGACAAAAAATGTTTAATTTTCGACCGCAAGAATTGACTAAAGTAGAAACTACTGGGAATCAATTGAGAGGTATAAAAAATGTGGCTAAAATATTGTTTACCTTTATCTTCCTTTTAGGTTCAAGATTTTCTTAAAAAGCATACGAATTAGATTTTTATTTTAGCAGCTTGTTTTCATATAACGACAGAATGTTAATTTTTATTCAAATTCGGGAATTATTTTCATTGATTATAAAATATGTAACAAGCGTATATCTATTTTAGGTATTCACTGCCCATCTCCAAGAAGTGGCCATCGAATAGTTGTGACTGGTGGAAACGTATATTCTTTTGGTGGATATAATCCAATTTCAGTTGATGATGCTGTTGAACATATACTCTTTAAGGAGGTACGGATATCAGAAAATTGTTACTTGGTTTTTCTTTCAGATTTGACTATGAAATATTTTTGTATCCTATTACTCATACGCTTCAAAATTTAGGTTTCTATGTAATTTTGAAAAAAAATAGTAACTGAAATTTTTTGCTAACAGCTTACAATGTGTATGATCTATTTTTTTTTCGTCTTATTTAAATATCTATTCTATTTACTCCTTTAATTTTTTTTAATATATATATTTTATGCCATTTTATAGAATAAAGCTGAATATTCTATAAATTTACTGCGTCGTCTTGTTGTTCATGCTTGAAAGTTCGAATCTTCATTTCGTACCCATATTTGGAAAATTATCTTGATCCGAAACAAACTGTTTTTGCCAGCCCCAACAATGCAAATTGTTGTATCTCAGTAAAAAATGTTTAGATATTTAGCCTTTTGAAACTTTTTATTTGAAATATACTGGGACCTTAAATTTTATCAGTGCTGGACACCCGGGACAAATTGAATCTTGTGCAATACCAGGTCCAGTTAGCCACCAATTTTTTTTTTTTTTTTTTTTTTTTTTTTTTTTTNATTTTTTTTTTTTTTTTTTTGTACCTGCCCAATTCTGGGTATCCAGTAAAATTTGGATATATTACCCAATTGATTGCAGGTACCTGGGCAGATGTTATAAAACATTTTTCAAGATTTACGTTCTGATTTTGCTGTCATTAATGATATCAATCTATCTCCTACATTCAAATAACTTTGAGCCCCCAAAAGATGAAGTAACTTTTAGATCAAATAACAAAAAAAGATCCAGCTTATTTTCGTGTAGAGTTTTTCCTTTGAAACTTATGCATATTTATGCATGTTTGTTTTCAATATAAATGTAAATAAACTTTTATTTAAAACATTGTAAAATATTTGCAAATGAGTTTTTGTTGCGTTATTAAGAAAAAGGCTGTTTTTTTAAATAAAAAAGATTAATTATTTTCTTTTAATTTTGTTAAAGTAATTTGTTTGGTTTTTTTTAAGATGTGCTTTTCTGTACTAAGAAATTATGCATTGCTAGCTTTAGAATAATTAATGTGCTATTTGTATGAAAATATTTATGTTTTATGTCAAATCATTTTCCATTACACTTTTATACAATATTAAGCAAAAAAAAACATTCTTGCATTTACTCATTTTCTAAAAGCAAACTTAATATCTGTATGATACACATACATCATATCCTACACTTTATGATTTTATTTACTTGAAATTATCAATGTAATTCCCTGTTTTGTCTTCATTTAATTATCATTATTACTTAAAATAGTTTTCATCATTAAATTCCTGAATTTCCGTGTTCCCTTCCTAATTAAGATTGCACCATTCTTTAACGAACATAATTGCTTTTATCTACTTTTATTGTTCTCGTGTTAGTTATTCTTCTTAATTTAAAACTATTAATATTTTTTAATATCAATAAAATTTTCTTAATTTCATGTTTTCCTGCTTTCACTGTTACTACTGTTTATTGCATTATTATTTTTATTTTAAATAAGGGAGTCTTATATTTAAAGAAAGCGTATGTGTGAGTGTTACATTTTCTAGTCTTTTCATGCGTATATTTTTTTTAATGAAAAAAAAAATGGTTCTAATTTTTTATTTGTATTTTTATGATTAATATTACTTATAGATTTACTATTCTTTTAGCTCTGGGTGTTTAATATTGTTTCAAAGACTTGGAAGCATTTGAAAACATCAGGAAATGCACCTGAAGAATTAGCTTCCCATTGTGGTAACTGATTTATGTCAAAATTTGATTTGACTTTGATCATATATGTTTGATATTGAAAAATAATTTTGTTTTATAATTTGGATATTTATAAATTGAAAATTTGCATTAAGAACATCATTGTCTAAAGAAGATTAAATTTTGGGTTTTTTATTATTTTCAAATATTGTTTTTTTGTCTAATATCTTCATATATTAAAAATTGAGAAAAAATTTATTGAATTAAATTGAAAATTAAATTTAAATTGTAAGAAAAATTAAATTGAAAATTGTTAAAGACTATGCAAAAGTCTCTTTGAATTACTAAAGTTATTCAAATTAAAAGGACGCCCGGTGACTGAGTGGTAGTGCTTTGCACTCTCATGCCACAGGTTGATCCTCGGGCAAGGTTGACTTAGGTTTTTATCCCTTCAGTGGGTCGATTAAATGAGTACCAAGCTTGCTTGGGAATTATATACTGTGGGTTCCGCATTCGGCTGACCACCCAACTGGAACATCTGCTCTTGCACCCCAAAACCCAAGGTCAAGAAAACTGAGATGGGCGTATTAGGCCGTGGACCTCTATGGATTGTCGCACCACTGAGTTTAGTAGTTTTAGTTCAAATTAAAAGCTTCAAATATAATTTGTTTACATTTGGATGAATCGGATATCTGACAAGATTCTCATTGTGCATATAACACCCAGAAAACAAATTTAGTATTTGGCACCGATTATCAATTCTAATTTTTCAGTGCTGGATTCCCAAACCACACAAATTCCACTGACAAGGGAAACTAGGGAAGTGTGACTCGCCAATTTTGAAATAAACTAGTGGGATGTATGCCTTATGAGGAATAATTTTAGGGGGCAACATTCGTTTCGGCCCATAGAAGGTCCTGTGAGAGATAAAAAATAATTCAATATATAGAAAAATCGGTATTTTATTACTTCAATGCAGACTATTAGTTATTGTAATTGTCTCATAATCCAATTAATTTGGAATTAATTTGCTAATTAATAAATTAATCAAAAAATTAATTAATTATTAATTAATTGTTGGTTAATTGTTGATTAATTATTCATTGATTGTTAATTAATTATTAATTAATTAATTGATTTGCAATTACATACTCCAATTCATTTGGAAAGTTTTTTGGAAAAAAATAATTAAAAAATTTGATGTAAATTAATTTTTTTTTTTAAATTAACCTAACAGGTTTTTCTGAAAAACTACAGATATATAAAATTTTCGAAATCAATTTTGACAATAAATATGCATTATATAGTACGTGAAAGTACCACAAAATTAATTGGAGTATGAGATAATTACAATAACTAATAGTCTGAATTGAAGTAATAAAATACCGATTTTTCTATATATTGAATTATTTTTTATCTCTCTAGGACCTTCTATGGGCCGAAACGAATGTTGCCCCCTAAAATTATTCCTCATAAGGCATACATCCCACTAGTTTATTTCAAAATTGGTGAGTCACACTTCCCTAGTTTCCCTTGTGAGTAATAAGAAAACTATTTGCTAAGTACCTGGTATCAACCTGATGAAAGATTGAGTGATCACCACGTACCTGGATCTAGTATATTTCTCATATACATAATCAATCCAAAATGTTTTTATTAGCTTTTCAAGTTTTATCATTCATTTTGGACCAAATTATACAAAAATTTTTCCTTTTACAAAATTTCTCATGGCGTAGCAAGAAAAGAACATAACATTTTGTAGCACAAAGGTACCAACTAGAAATAACATTCCTAGTTGTCTATCTTATAGAAAAAAAATAAGCAGGTATCATGCCCACAATTTAGTCAGATAATTTAAAAGACTCAATTCATACGATACTTCATACTTTAGAAACAAAATTTATTGGAAATAAATTTGCAGTGAAAAGGGTATTATAGTTAAATAAATATTTTAGAAATGTAGGTGCACTATTTAAACAAATGTTTTCATTGAGTCCTACCTAAGTAATGAGTATACGGAAAACTCATAACAATGTGCTACATTTTAATAAATACCTATGATTAAATAATCAAATTTAAATAAATAAAAATTTTAATATGTACATTTATAAAAAAATTATACATTTTAATTGTCTTCAAACTTAATCCCTCATCTGAAAATAGTACTATGTTTTGGCAAAAATTTAACATTGACTTTGGAAGTTTAAACATTGAAACCTTTATGGATAGATTTCAAAACATTTAAGCATTCTTTTAATAGTTAAAACTTATAAGCTTGTACTGAGTTGTAGATCATATGGTTCATACAATAGAAGAACATTGCTAAATAAGATTGTTATGAGTGAAATCAACCACAATTTATGTTTTCTTTCATTTTCAAGGGAGCCACTCTTCAGTCCTGGGGACTGAAATCAGTCTTGAGAAAAAATCAGTAGACTAAATTTCATCAACTAATATTTCTTTTCCGTTTGTTTTTTAAATTGAAATGTCCTTATACAAGTGTCAAAAACACGAAAGCTATGCAAAAAATGAGTGTCTATAAACAATGTTTCAGTGCCTGCTTGCTTACACAAAATTTTTACTATTGTTGTGTCCAAATTTACTTCAGTTTTCATTTTACCCTAATGCATTGTTGTCAACTGGATTTTTCCAATTTCTCCTGGTCCACTGGTTTAACTAAAATTCTCCTGATTTTTATGCATTTTAGAAAATTCCTTAAAATTAAGTAAGTTTCCTAAAAAAAGTGCCTTTTGAAATAGAATTTTTGTACAGATTATTGCTTGCTTGAATGTTTAAATAAGTATTACTAGTACATGATGAAGCAAACCTCATTTATGGAAATCAGTTTAAAACTTTTTTTGTTATAAAATGTTCAATCTATTTTTTATTCAGAACCTACTTTTTAAATCAATTAAAAAAATATTTTAACTATCTTCAATGAATTAAATGCCTTTTAATATTCGAAATTATGATTATTCATCATACATAACATTTCAAGTATGTTTCAATCATTACTAGAACTGCAATTTTTCTATTTTGATGACCTATTTTGATGAAAATCCTTAAAATTCACTATGTGTTAAATATTAAATACATTATACTACAGTTATCACGAAATTTATATTATTTCGTAAAATCTACTGGATCTCTATGCCAGTGTTTTGAAATCCTGACCAAAGTTGAAATAAGATTGTTTTTTTAAAAAAAAGATTAGCGAAAGGCAAAAATAACTGTGAATCAAAAAATAAGTAGAGATATGAATAGCCTCATGAAAAAATTTGTGGTTTACTATTCAGTGATCAGTGTAGAGTTAGCTGTTATTTTAATCTTAATTGCTTTAAAAAAATTAATTAATGGAATTAGACATTTTTAGCAAAATAATCAAATCCTTGAAATGTGGCATTATTATAGAAAAGTTCATTTCTGAGTCAGTAAGCCATAATTCCAGTAAACAACGTTAGATATTGTTAATTGGTCAAAAAATAAGTTTAGTCTTAAAATTGTTTTAGAGTGGCACCCATATATATTTTAGAATATTGCTGAAATGACTGTCTACATTGATTAAGTTTAAGAAGCACTTTTTCAATTGTAACTGCATTATTATTCATACGCAGTATTACTTTATCAGGGGTGATTGAACCCCGGAATTCCGGGTTTATCGTATCATCTGTTCAGGTCTAGAAACTAGGAGCAGGGCATGTGATTTTTTTGTGGAATTCCACGTATCTCAAGACTATTGGTTGGTGGACTTCCGCCCATCAAAATTTATAATCCAACAAACATTTCTCCGCAATCTAAAATTTAAAGTAAGAAATGAGTTCTACAATCTAAAATTTTAATTTTGAAGCCTTCGCTAATATCGCGATTCATATTCACCCGATTTTAATATCGAACATCGGTTATCATATTTACCAGATTTAAATCGTTCTTTGTGAATCGTATTTAGGCAGTTTAAAAATCTTACATCTCGATTCGTATTCATGGGATTTAAAAATCCAATATCGCACTTTGTATTTAAGCGTTTTTTAAATCAATATCGCTATTCGTATTCATTGAAATTTAAAATCCAATGTTGCTAGTCGTATTCACAGGATCTGACAATTATGCATCGCGATTTGTATATTATGCGTTTTATACGATAGTGCGATTTGTTTGTTATGCGTTTTATACGATATTGCGATTTGTATTATCGCCTTCCAAAATCCAACAATCGTGTGAACATTCATGTTCACACTATTTTAAAGCCCATTATCATGGTTTGTGATTTCGTGTTCTTAAAATCCGACATCTCGATTCTTGTTAGAACTTAAATTTTTCTTAAATTAGTTACTATAAAATGTGTTTTATTGATGGGTAATTTAATTATAAATCTTAGTTCAAGAAATTATATTAAATATGAATAATATATAAATTAATATCTTGTTATTGAGTTTTTGCTCATAAAATTTTCAGGGTTTTTCACTTCCTGTCACAATCACCCTTGCTTTATACACTTATTACTTTACAATATACATTTGTGTTTTGAAATGAACTTCAATTTTAAGCTTCTATTATATTTTGTAATTTTGATTTGTTGTTACATTAAGTTTCTTTCTTTTTATGTTTACTAATTTTATAATTTTCATCACTTTGCTTATGTTTTTTTGTTTGTTTTTTTGTCCAATTTTATAGCTGCATTTATTGACAACCATCTGCTGATTTTCGGTGGCACAGCTTATCCGTTTGGTGCAAAAAGTAGCAATGATGCTCACATATGCAATTTAAAAACTTTACAGTGGTCAAAACTAGAAACTACTGGCACGCCACCAAAGAAACAGTATGGTCAGGTATATTATCCATTATTCTGTATTAAAAAATACTGATATTTGAATATTTAAAATTTCAGAATTATGATATGAATGTAGATATACAAAGCATGGTTCTTATAATGCCACCAAATTTTGAACAGTAATTCTAATAGGAAAAAAAAATCTAAATAGAGAAATGTCAGTTTTTAAAAAAGATGTATCTTTATTCATTTTTGTTCCTTTAAAAATTTATTGGCAAGGAAATAAAGGGTAGGAACAAATTAAATTGTTAGTTTTCAATTTTCTAAGTAGCTTTTTATGCAGTCTATGCTCTTTAGTATTATCATTCCATTATAATAACTAATACATTAAACTTCATTCGCTATTACACAGAAACATTGTTATTTTACCTCCTATTATAATGTTCCCACCAAACTGTTCATTCCAATTTAGCATCCCAAATTAAGTTTTTTTATTAATATTTTTATACTCTTGAAAATCAATTCATCAATGAGTATCAAACATTTTTGTGGTTTCAAAATAAAATACTTCCATTGACTATCATTCAATTTAACAAAAAGTTTTTAAAGAAAATATTGAAAAATGTATTTCCATTGGTGTGTTCGCATGGTAAGTGTGAAACGTCTTGAATTCCTTTTAAATAACGGAAGAGTAATAAGAAGTGTATAATTTGGTCAAAGTGTTAGTGAAATATGGATTGCTTTACATTGATAGTCATAAGTGTATATTGAACTTTCATGCGGAAATCATATGCATTCAGGATGTTATAATGATGCATTCACAATCTCTATAAATTTATGTACAAAAGATTCAATATTTTTCTCAATTATGATTAACTTGTTTGAAAATTTCATTCATTCTTATTATTCCCTTTTAATGTATTATTAATTCTACGTTTACGTGCATTTAAAGGAGAGAAAAAAAAATAAAATGTTGCATTATTATGTATCCTACTTTATAGTTAAAATAAGCATTGTTTTGTCTAAATCAGTTTAGTATTTTTTTAATTATGATTAGTAAATATTCTGGTTTATTTTTCTGCTCATAACCACCTCATGCTCTAATGTATGTTTTTTTTATTTACTTTTTCCATAAAAGATTTAGAATGTAACTAACATGGAAATGTTTTTTTGACTATCATAAAATATCCCTAAAAGGTTTAAATCATGTTATTTAAGCCCATTAACGTAATCACAACTATATCTTGATACTATTTTACAAAATTTTATGTTCAAAATTACCCAGTTTATTAAATGATTATTTGTATAAAAAATATTAATCTATTTCTTTTTGCAGGCAATGGCTATATTTGAAAATAAAATGTATGTGGTTGGAGGAACTTCAGGCTATGCTTATTCTAATGAAGTGCATTGTTTAAATTTAGCTACCAAAGAATGGAGACAGTTAAATAAATGTGTAGGACCTTCTCATTTACGGTCTGAGTATGAACCTGAACCACGGTAAATAATATAAATACTAACTACTGAAAAATATCTGATTTAGACTTGTAATAATTATCTTTATTGCTCAGAATGAAAAATTAAGTTATTTACATATGCTTTTTGTGCTTGTTCACTGTTGACCCCTTACGATATTTTATTTAGCTTCATGTTTTTATCCATTGATAACAGTACAGTACAAACTATTTCCAGCTAAGAAGTTGTATGATTCTGCTAACTTATAAATTAATTTTCCTTTCATATTAATGAGTCACACCTTTAATTTTTAACTACTTTTTTTTAACATGTTTTAGTGAAAAAAGTTTTTACTTTTAAAAAATTGATGCGCCAAAACGTTTGAGATCTTCTGTTCTTCCTACTTTTGGAATATTGTTGCAATTTCAGTCTTTTTTTTCCCAAAGTTTATTGAAATTAGTTTCAAAAACAGTTACGAAATTTTTTATACTGGTTAGGTTGATTTTATAAATTAATTTTTAACTGAAAGTCTAGGGCTATAAGCATGCTTTTTAAAATGTTTTTTCTTTTATTTTTATTTTAGGTATAGGCACGAAATTGCTATTGAAGATAATAAACTTTTTGTATTTGGTGGAGGAACAGCTGCTGAGTCTTTCGAACTAAGTAGGGTGAGTTTTAAAACCAAGCACTTAGGTATAACTTTTCCAGTTTTCAGAAATTCAAAAAGTGAGATTAAATTAACTGTTGTCTAATACTTATGTTTTATAGATTTTTAAATGGAAATGGCTAACGTTTTAATAATCAAATCTTAGTAATGTATCAATAAATTTAAATCAATATCAATAACAAAATATAACAGGACAAACTAAACAAAATCGAACAAAAAGTTGAAAGAATTTTTGTGTATAATTAATACTTCTTTTAGCATGTACTGATGTATACAGTTTATATTGCTATCCAGAAACTATCTGAACATGTAATGTAAATTTTCTGATGCAATTTTACTCGCAATGATGTGAGACCATTCACAAAATGATCGGACTACTAGTTTATAAGTTGTAAGCTTTTTAGTACAAAAAATACAATTTTGTACCTGATATCATTTACACATTTTACATTGCTATACCGACAAGTGAGGTACTGTTTCCTATTCATTTTTTCTCATTGAATCAAGTGAGATAATGCACAAATCATCATATTTAAATAGTTATTTTTTTTTTATAAATAAAATTTATTATTTTTGAATAGCATTTATTATGAAGAAAACCTTTGAATCTTAAAAACTATTTCTTCTATCAATTTAAGTTTTATCTCATTAAATTCTGTATAAGAAATTTCATCGAAGAATGTGCCTCACATGTTCAAATGGACCCTAGTTAGCAAAGTAAAAATTGTACTAAATCAAGTAAAAAATAGTACTTTTTATACATAAAACAGCTTATAACTTTTAAACTGTCCATTCTACTGGATTGTGTATAGTCTCATATAATACAGTATAAAAAAGTACATAAACAATGTTTCACTGGTTTGGGTAGCAGTATCAGATGTGTAAATAGGTACAAGAACAAATTTGTACTTTTTTTGTACATAAAACCCTCATAATTTCAAAAACTATTAGTCCGATCATCTCGGGATTGGTATCGTTCAATTTAGCGTGAAAAATATATAGGTAATAGATGCCTCACTTGCATCTGTTAAGAAAAAATTCAATTATCCCTCTGAAATCACCCATATTTCCTTCAAAAAAGGGCAAAATGTACCGAAGAGATTCGGGCAGTGTACAGACATCATTTATATACAGCATTTTTCAAAAAATTTCTTGAGTAGTATAGTACTTTTTCGATGAAAACACCTTTTTTTCCGCTATAACTACTAGACAGTTAGATTAGAGCGCGCAAAAAAATTTATAGGAGCCCTAACGTTATATTTAGGAACCAATTTCTGAGATAAATTAGATAACGTGGGAAATGAGTGTTCGATACCTGATTTACTACACCTGTTGAAAAGTAACTCAGAACAAAAATTTTAACACATTCGTTTTAAAACATTGTGTTTAAACTTTTTCCAGTAGATATTACTAAGACTAATATAATGTTATAGATGTTACCCTACACTAAATATTAATGGGAAAATTATGACAAAAATATATATAATAACACAATATATTTATAATAATAAGAGAAATATATATAATAGTAAGATAAAAATGCGGCAAAGGAAGTATGATGTTCCTTCTTTCCAATGACGTTTGTAGATAGAAGGTCATCGGTTTTTCCCCCTTTTCTTACAATTATAAGTTGAAGTTATGTTTAAAACATACCTTTAACTTATAAGATAACATTTATTTTTATGTGAGAAGCATGTTGAGTGGCTTTTTAGAGACCCTGAAACGTTTTGGTTTGAAGCATGTTTTAGTATGCTGTATTAGATTAGAAGTATTATCTTCACAATAACATGAGTCCTCTTGACCAGATGCACTCTAGAGATATTGTGATGTTACTTTCTTTCCTTTTGTTTGATTTACCTATTTTTGTAACAGATTTAAGTTATAAGACCATTTTATTTTGTTACATTTGCTTTTATTTCCATATTCAACCAACTCATTCATTTATTGTATATCACTTCTTTTATATGATAAATTGAGTAGTTTTGATACTAAGAAACTAAATTGATGTTTAAATAATATTAATGCATAGATTTGTATTATTTTATAATAAGCAGAGCTCAGAGAATATGAAAATCGTTAGGCAAACAAAAATTTATCGTACTTTGTAAAAATATGGGTTATATTTTGTACAAAAATGAAAGAAAACAAGCACTAATTTGGGATTAAATTACTCAACAAATTGATTCATTCATTGAAAAGCAGTTTTTACATAGTTTATCCTTATCTTCTATTTTTCTTATGAAACCTGTGATTAATCTATTTTCTTCATTTTGTTTATGTTTATTAATTGCTAAAATACTATTTCATTCTAAAGATACTTTTATTTAGTTTCTAAAAGTGATCGAAAATTTTCATCAACTGTTTATTTTGTATTCACAAAATATTGTTGGTATAGTTTTTTTAAAATTATTATTATTATTATTTGTTTATTTATTTCTTCTTTTTTTACATAGATTTACCATTATCCATTCCACTAAGTCCTGACAGTTTAGTCATTCCATTTTTTCTGTATTTTCTTAATTCTTAAAATATGAATTATTGTTCATTAAAATGCATTCTGTTTTAATAATGTTAGGCTTTTTTGTTTTTTCTTAATAGCTTCCAGTATTTAACTTAGACACAAACACTTGGTTTCAAATTGCCACAACTGGTGGTAAGTTTTTTTTTCTTTCAAATATTAATCCCATTATTATTTTACTTATTAATCTTATTGTTATGTAGCTTAGCAATTCTATTGTAATTTAATTTAATAATCCTATTACTATTTAATTTAATTTAATTTATTAATCCTATTACTGAATTTAATTTATTAATCCTATTACGGAATTTAATTTATTAATCCTATTACTATTCAGTTTTTAATCCTATTATTATTTAGTTTATCATCTTATCATTATTTAGTTCATTAATTTTATTGTTAGTTAGCTTATTAATCCCATTCTTTGATCTATCAATTCATTATCATTTTGTTTGTCTTGCACTCTGCTTTATTTGCTTTTAGTATTTTTATTTTCTTTTTTAGATTGTCCTGAACCAAGACGTTGCCATAGCTGTGTGCAGATTAAGAGTGGTAATCAATTTTATTACATTTTGTATTTTAGCAATCATTTTAAATTCATTTAAATATTGCAAGTTGTTATTTTTTAAATTCTTGTAAGCTTACTTAGAAACTAACAAAAAATGTGCTTTAAAAATTGCATGTAATTCAGTTATGTATGTGACACAAATTAAATTTCTTATTGTCATAACTGCAAACTTGTCTTAGTAAAGATTGTGACTTTCGAATCAAAGCTTAAAGTAAGAAAATACCTGCCATTATGCTAAGGATTTCCAACATATGGGTCATAGTCTTCTGATGTAGGCCACAAAAGCTTCTTTGATAAATTAATTTATATTAAATTTATTAATCCCATCACTATTTAGTTTATCGTTCTCATCACTATTTAGTTTATCATTCCCATCACTGTTTTGTTTATCGTTCTCATCACTATTTATTTTATTGTTCTCATCACTATTTAATTTATCATTCCTTTTAATATATTATATGAGTCCTAGTATTAATTAGTTTACCAAAATTGGTAATTAAACAGAAAATATTCCTCACCTCTTAAGAAAAACTTTAAAGCCTTAATAAAGCTTTTCAAGCTAAAGCTTATAAAAAAAACGATAGATATCAATGCAAGTTACCGGCTTGGGAAAAAAAGGTTTGAAATGTCAAATTAAGAAAAAATACTTTGCGGATTAAATAAGCAAAATTCCTATTCATAAGTGTGGTTTGCAGCATTCTTAAAGAATAGTAAAAAGGAGTTTATGTTTATACATATTTACAGTTATTTCCTGATCTTTTATCCTTACATTTTTTTTATTTGTTAAAAAAACTTGTTAAATTGAACGAAAAATTATGGTTGACTTTAAACTTGATTTCTAAACTTTATATATTTAAATATTTTATTTCATGCATAACCAAGTTCTTATAATTATTTGTAGATGTTTATATTTGTGGTGGGCTTGATGCAGTGCACAACTACAGCTGCCTTTATAAAATTAACTTGAAAACACTAGTCTGGGAGAAACTCAAAATTTCATTGCCATATCCACTTTACTTTCATGCTGCAGCTTCATCAGAAGTAAGTTTTCTGTTTAAAAGAGTGTATTTATTATATTTTAAATAGTATTTTTATTTAATGAATAAACCAAAGATAGTCTTAGAGTTAAGATATTGATAAAGGTACTTTGAGATACTTTGTTTTATGTTATATGGATACTACTCAGTATATTTTTTGTAAAATATTATAGAATTTTTGTGTAATTTTAAAAATTAAATTATATGGGTTTTTTTTTTTTTTTTTTTTTTAAAAAAAAGGTTATTCAACAATCTTAGTTTCATAATTTTTGACATTTTATTGCCAGTCAATATAAAAACAGTTTCATATTGAGGCTTTGAAAAATATGTTTTTCAATAGAATTGATATAAAATGCCATGTTGTACATGCAGATTGCAACTGTCCATGTTGTACTCAGAGGCAGACCCCCTACTACAGTGTTTCCCAAAGTGTGGTACGCGTACCCACAGCGGTACGGGAACAGTTTAGCAGGGGTACGCGTTCTTATACGAAATATCTTGCGACAAACGAAAATTTCAAAAACTTTTGTTTAAAAACAAAGCTAGCCATGAAAATTTACTATTACTTATTTTTCTATTGGCTATTTTTTTCAGAGTTAACAGTTAATAATTTGTGTCAACAGCCAGTTGTGATTTTTAACTTTTGTGAAATTTTTTTATAGCAAAAAAATACATTCATTTTTTAATTAGGGATACACAGCGTTACGAAAAATTTAGAAAGGGTATACAAAAGTCATAAGTTTGGGAAACACTGCCCTAGTAGATGGCTCAACGACATGGGAAAGGATTTGAAAACCCTAAAGATTAGAAATTGGAGGGGAGTAGTTACATGAATAGGAGACGCTGGCTTTCGTCAGCTGTTGAGGCAGCCAAGGCCTGCAAGGGGCTGTTGCGCTGACGAAGAAGAAGATGTCCATATAGGAAGACACGAGCTTTTAATATTGCCATCTGTACTCAAAATTTTTTTAACAATCACAATCAAAATACACTGTTATTTTTAATTTTTATATATTCCAAACATTTAAGAAAGCAAATTGTTTTTTTAAATACTATATTTTGATATGCATTCCAGCTTTATCTCCAGCAAAAACACTGCCCGTTATCTTAAAAACTATGAGTCATAGTCATCTATTAATGATCATGAGTCATCTATTAATTTTAAAATTAAATCAATAGTAAATTTTATTACAAAACAGGGTTCTTTTGATACTTGAATATCCTTGAATTTTGTTGGAAAAAATCAGGGCCCCTAAAAGTTAATGAATTCTGTGTTAGGATCCTTGAAAAATGTTTGTTTTTCTCGGAGGAACTTTCAAATTAATGTTAACAATAACTTTCCTGCAAAAAGCACAATAGAAACGAAAGAAACATTAAGCAAAATGATAGAAATTCCAATCACTCCCCCTCCTTCCCCATCTTTTAATGGTTTTCTTTACTTAAGAATAGTTTAATAAGGAGTCTAAAAGAAATTTGGAAAATGACTCTTATCCTTATTTACCTCTGTCCTGTGATTGGATTACAAAATAGAAGTAAGGTGTGGGAAAACCAATAGTGAATTTGTTGCTTACAAAGTTGCACACTTTTGTTTCAGGAATATTTTACTCAAATTGAAAGTTTTGAATCTTTGTTATTTTTCACAATGTTGCATAAATGCAACAATAACAGGGTTGCCACAGGCTAATAAAATGCAACTATTTGCTACTATTTATGGCGACTTTTTTTTTGCCTGAAAAGGCCTAAAAAGCAACTATTTTCAGGAATAGGCGAGTATTAGGAGATTTTTTTTACTCTTTGCGAAGTTTTTTCGCAAAAGTGAACATTACTTTTCAGAATGTTAATAAAAGAAAGCAAACTTTTATACAATCAGTTATGTCCAAAGAGCCAAAAATTTAAATTTCCATTGGATTTAATGAAGTACTTGTTATATGTACTCTCTGCGGGGCAGTTTTGTTATTTTTAATTGTTTTTTTCTTCTGTTAACATTCATATTTTATTGTAATTCGACTTTCATTTAGGTACCTATTTCTAATATGTATACCTTTTATATTTGTACAAAACATTTTTTTAATTGAAGCATAATAGTATTTGACAATTAAGCTATAATTTTAGTTATTTGGCTACTATTTTTGTTCCTGTTGAGGCAACTATTTTCATAGTTTTAGGCAACTATTTTCATACTTGAGGCTACTAAAAGCAACTATTTTTGTTCATTTTTTACTGTGGCAACCCTGCAATAAGCGNTAAAAAACAAAAATTATCCTGCTGCTTAAGAAAGCAACCAACTATTCGAGATCCACGGGGAATACTGGTCTATCTCCAAAAGATAGCGTCCCCTCCCTAGCGGTTGCAAGAATCTCTAAAGACGAGCTATGAGTCGAGCCCTAGAGATCCTGCAAAGGCAATGAAGAGGGCGCTCCTGTTGGAGACAGCCCAGTAGGAAGAGTAAACATTGTGGTGATCCCATGATCACACCACACCTTGTATGGACATGCAGATTAGAAAGAATAGGGCACTAATCTACAACATGGCATTTCATATCAATTCTATTGAAAAACATATTTTTTAAAGCCTCAATATGAAACTGTTTTTACATTGACTGGCAATAAAATGTCAAAAATTATGAAACTAAGATTGTTGTGTAACCTTTTTTTAAAAATAAAAAAAATTCCCTATTCTTTCGAATCTCCATGTCCATATAGGGACTCTACAAGCAGCCCCAAATATCACAAATAATTTGCAGTAATAGGCTGCGATGGCTGGGCCATCTATGGAGAAGCCCTGAAAATAGCGAAATGAAAATACTCACCTTTAAGAACCCTGAGGGGTCATGTCCCAGAGACAGACCCCCTACTAGATGACTCAATGACATGGGAAAGGATTTGAAAACTCTAAAGATTAGAAATTGGAAGGGAGTTGCCATGGATAGGAGTCGCTGGCGTTTGTCAGCTGTTGAGGCAGCCAAGAGGCTGTTGTGCTGACAAAGAAGGTGTTCATATAGGAAAACACAAGCTTTTAAATATTGCTATCTGTACTGAAAATTTTTTTAACAATCACAATCAAAATGCACTGTTATTTTTAATTTTTATAAATTCTCACGTTTAAGAAGGCAAATTATTTTTTTATATGCATTCCAGCTTTATCTCTAGCAAAAACACTGCCCATTATCTTAAAAACTATGAGTCATAGTCATCTATTAATGATCATGGGTCATCTATTAATTTTAAAATTAAATCAATAGTAAATTTTATTATAAAACACGGTTCTTATGATACTTGAATATCCTTGAATTTTGTTGGAAAAAATCAGGGCCCCTAAAAGTTCATGAATTCTGTGTTAGGGTCCTGGAAAAATGTTTGATTTTCTAGGAGGAACTTTCAAATTAATGTTAACAATAACTTTCCTGCAAAAAGCACAAAAGAAACATTAAGCAAAATGATAGAAATTTCAACCACTCCCCCTCCTTCCCCACCTTTTTGTGGTTTTCTTTACTGAAGAATAGTTTAAGAAGGAGTCTAAACGAAATTTGGAAAATGACTCTTATCCTTATTTACCTCTGTCATGTGATTGGATTACAAAATAGAAGTAAGGTGTGGGAAAACCAATAGTGAATTTGTTGCTTACAAAGTTGCACACTTTTGTTTCAGGAATATTTTACTCAAATTGAAAGTTTTGAATCTTTGTTATTTTTCACAATGTTGCATAAATGCAACAATAACAGGGTTGCCACAGGCTAATAAAATGCAACTATTTGCTACTATTTATGGCGACTTTTTTTTTGCCTGAAAAGGCCTAAAAAGCAACTATTTTCAGGAATAGGCGAGTATTAGGAGATTTTTTTTACTCTTTGCGAAGTTTTTTCGCAAAAGTGAACATTACTTTTCAGAATGTTAATAAAAGAAAGCAAACTTTTATACAATCAGTTATGTCCAAAGAGCCAAAAATTTAAATTTCCATTGGATTTAATGAAGTACTTGTTATATGTACTCTCTGCGGGGCAGTTTTGTTATTTTTAATTGTTTTTTTCTTCTGTTAACATTCATATTTTATTGTAATTCGACTTTCATTTAGGTACCTATTTCTAATATGTATACCTTTTATATTTGTACAAAACATTTTTTTAATTGAAGCATAATAGTATTTGACAATTAAGCTATAATTTTAGTTATTTGGCTACTATTTTTGTTCCTGTTGAGGCAACTATTTTCATAGTTTTAGGCAACTATTTTCATACTTGAGGCTACTAAAAGCAACTATTTTTGTTCATTTTTTACTGTGGCAACCCTGCAATAAGTGTTTTGTTATTTTGCACAATGTTGTAGAAATGAAACTAGCTATTTTTTCAATAAATGTTTCATTTTATAATGCAAATTTTTTCATATTATTTTTATGCTCTTAAAATAATGCATTATAATGTATTAGCATTTTTTTTTTCAAATCAGAAATGCTGAGATAAAAAGGGTTAATTCATATTTAAAATAAGAATCTTTTGATTCTCAATGTTTTATTTTCTCATTTTAAATTCATATTTTTAAAAATTATTACTTTTTATTTATGTTAGTCCAATCAACTGTTCATATTTGGTGGCGTGAATGGGCATGAAAATCAAAGAACCAACGACATGTTTTCCCTATTTCTGAACATTCCTTCCTTAGAAACAATAGCCTGGCAAGCTGTTCTTCATTATGCTCCTTACCTTGCACTTACTGAAAAACAAAAACTGTTTGAACTAGGCATACCTATCAGTTTCTTAAATGAAATAGAATTTGTACCTCCTACGAAAATGGTGAGTAATGGTGAAATGTCAAAAGGTGATGAGGAGGTAATGATTGTGTTGTCTGAAGGTGATGAGGATGATGATGAGTGGGAAGACCTGTAATAGTTAATTATCTAAAAAGGAATTTGTGTAATTAGATGAATTAAACAATCCTGTTACTGAAATAAAAGTTTATTTTAATGCCTTGTTCCAATCTGTAACATGTTTACACAATGTTCTGTAAAATTTACTGTTGAGTTTGTAATATATTTAAAATAAACCATTAATTAGAGATTGTGAGCTTGATCAGCTTGAATAAAGCAAATTTTAAGAATTTTTAGGATGCAGATTAAGTAGTTTTGAATATTTAGGTGACAATCGTTGTTGCAAAGATTATTTTCATATGAAAGTAAATTTACATTTTAAGTGTTCTGTAGTAACTGTTTTAGAAGCTGTTTTTGCTGATTCCTACTTTTAAAGTTATTATCACTAGTTAGTATATTCTTTATTCAGTTCTTATTTCTTATCTTGTATAAGTTTGTTATTTGCTGCAATGAATTGCTGGTCATTTTATAAAAATGTTGGCATTTTTTTGTTGTTTACTTGTTAAAGTTGCTTGTTATGTTTAATTTGTACCTTAAAATAAGAAAGTTATTAGATTAAGGTATGCATATACCACTCTCGTTGCATTTTACTGCTAATGTTGAGTTTTTGATCAAAATAATAAAGCATTACACAAAATTCTCTCAGGGTGCGTAGCGTTTTTTAAAAAGGAATTAAAGGGGCTTATTTTTTATTTACATTTTTTAAGAGCCCTTAAAGGTGCTTTTTTAATTCGGGGTTTGTAAAAAGTGCTTAATTTTCTATCTTTTAAAAATAGATTTTTTTCTTTGCTGTGTCGATTGTCGTTCTAAATTACAGAAAATGCATGATTTTCGCAATTTTCTCTGCATTATTTATCAGATACCAGTTATTTTATCATGATTATGTGAAATTTGTGAAAATGTTTTTCTATTTTATTGATTTTATGTTCATAAATTAAGAACTTTAAATGATAGAAAGAAATAATTTTTATTACTGCACAGATCCTAATTATGATTTTTTTTAATAGTGATTAAAAATATTTTTTGAGTGCTTAAAAAGTACTTAAAAGGTGCTGATTTCTTGTTGAAAAATCTGGCTATGCACCCTGTCTCTAGATTGTGTGAATTTTTATATCATTTTCAGTACTTGGTAGTATTAACTGAAATTTTAAATCTTGCTGGAGCTCTTTCAATGTGTACTTGTTTCAAGTTAAGTAATATTTAAATAATTCAAGAATAGAGAGATTTGTGTTAAAATTGCCCATTTTTTCTCTATGGACTGAGGGATGGTATAAATTCCCTTTAACAGTTTCACTATGTTTGAATAAATGTTTCTGTATTTTAAATCACTTCCCGATCATACAAAAATGCATTTTTAAATCATAATTCTACATTAAGCTTATGAAAGAAAACTGATATTTGATCTGACTGTACAAATTATGAGGGCAATCCTAAATGTAAGGTCTCCTATTTAGCTTAGAAATAAACAATAAAAAATAATTTATTTTTTCAATATTTATATCATTTTAAAGGTTGACCATTTGTCTAATATTGTTATGTTATAATTGCATTTTCAGTTTATGCGTTTTTGTAGATGGTGTAGAGTTTTTGCATGCCTATATTATAATAGCTCCCCACCATGTCCATGTTTAGAAGTGGGGAAAGCAGCAATCACAAGAGCTTCCCTGTTAAACTGTATCTCTCTTGCTACAATCTCTTGGAAACAATCAAAACTAAATTATTACAATCTCATATCCAAGTCAATAGCCTAGCCTAGCCTAGACTTGGCACCTGGTGGTTAATCCCTGCTCCCTAATGTTGGCTAGAAAGAGATTTGCTGATAACAGAAAAGAAAAATTATATTTAATGCTTTCTCAGGTATATTGTGGGTATTCAATTCCGGTATTATATAGATATAAAAAAAATTACTTTGTCAATAAAAATGGACAAATGTTTGACTTATAACCTTCAGCAGTCCGGAAGAATTTCCTATTTGCTTTCCTATAATTATAGTGATTATTTATAATTAAAATTATATCAATAATGTGTAAAATAATTATTGTAATTAAATGAACTGCAAATCTGAAAACAATACTGCCATATATGCAGCATCAGACTCAGTAAGTTCAGGGCCCGACTTAGCCTAATTAGGGCCCTGGGCAAAAACTTCTTTGGGGGCCCCTTCTGCTTCACTACTTCAGTATTGAAGAACCGAACTTTTTGGAGATATTTAAATTTTTTACCTCATTATAGATAACAAGAAAATTGACTAGAAACTAAAATAACTATGAAGTCCCTCCCCCTCCAATGGCCATACTAAATATCGCTCTGTCTATTTTATTGACTTTCTGACAATTCTATGTCCATTATGCTGAATGCTGTTTTTTTATTGTTAACTTTGTCATCTAGCTGCCAAAATTTCATATTCTTGCTGACATAGGAGCGGGATTCAGCTAAATTTACGCAGTGATGGTGGCTCAATTAAGTCAATCAGAAGCCTGTATTTTTGTAAACATATCGCATTTTGCTATTTGTAAAAATGCAGGCTTTTGATTGGCCAAATTTGTTAATCATAATTGCTAAAATTTGGCTGAATTTCACCCTAGAAAGCCGTGGATTTACAAAACATAGATTTTGTTCTTAGGATAGATTAATGAAGAAGCTAACATAAAACAGACGGATTTTACACGGTACTGATATTTCATTTAAAAAAAAATTCATTAAAGAAAGAAACGTAAAACAAACTTTCAATTCGATTTGGGGCCCCCCTCTGATGTGGGGGGCCCGGGGCAACTGCTCCATATGTCCCTACCTTAGTCCGGCTCTGAGTAAGTTTTAAAGTTCCATACCGCTATCATAGCCGTTCACTAATGGTTAAAATGATGTGAATATTGCAGAAAAGAAGCAGTTTTCCCGTTTCTGAACAAACAAGGAGAGTTTACTTTTTGGATTCTCATTATATTTTATATCATAAAGTTCTTCTAGAAGTAGTCATTGTAGACAGTTCATGTGATCTTCTAAAATTATGTTAATGTTCTTTAGTAATACCTTTTCATTATGAGTGTTTTTAATTATTTATTATAAGACAAAATAGCAATTTCTATATTTACTATAAGCTACTTTAAAATTAAAAGAAAATAAAAGCTTTTCTTGTTTATCCTTTTAACACCTTGTTTAGTTGAATTTAGACAACCTTTAAAATATTTCTAAAAATTAAACATGCTGGCTACACTTACAGCATTAAGCATTGCAAAATAATTTGGTTTTGGATGTGAGCACAGCTGCTGCAAATTAATGACGTTTAAGATTTTATCACATGGTCTATGCCATTAATATGAAATGTAGATCTGAATCATAAGCAAGTTTGTAAGTTACTATGAATTTGTAATGTATATTGTGAAATAAATTATTTTTTAAATTATGAATACATTTCTTTTTATCAATGTTTTGCGTTATATTACTGATGCAAAGTGTTCTTTAATGACTGCTCTTACTATATATTCTTTTTGTTCTATTTTTAGTAGTCAAGTAAAAAAAGAACTAAAGCCTTTTCAAACTCTGACTAATCACTATTAAACTGCCAAGTATTGAGTCCCTGGGCAAAAATATTTGGATATTTTCTTCATGCTCACTACTTTCTTATTTAATAGTGTATTGAAAGCTGGTTTTTTGATACAAGAAAGCCACTAGCTTGATGTTTAAAAGAGCTTTAACTAATACTGAGGTAACTATCTAAAGTAAGGTCAATAAGAACTTAGGAGGACTAAAACCAGTTTATTTGATAATAAGGCTTAAAAACATCCCGTTAGACAAACTTTTTTTTTAATCATTTTAATTCCTCTCTTGCTCTTCATGACTTCAATAAGTGATTAGTTAAAGTTGTGACATATTTTAGTTTTATCACAAACAAATGCACAGTTCATTGTAAAAGTAGTGTAACTCTAAGTCCATATATATACATATATAGCCATGTTGTGTATGTTAAAATAGGTAATAAATTGGAAAAATTAATTGTTTAATAATAAAATGTTTTGAGTGTTAGATTGTAAGTCATTTAACACATTTTAAACTCTTAAAGCATTTAAAAAATAAAAAATTTTGTTTCACATTTAATTTTATTGCATAAAAAAAAATTTCATTAAAAAACGAACATTCGAAAAAATCTAGTTTTACTTTTTCAACTGAGAATAACAGAGCCGTAGGTCGCCAATTTACAGGACTCACCGGTAACGTCTCGTTGCTCCAGTCCATTCCTAATCTGTTCTTGAAACTCTTCTCTTTTTATTGGTACTTGAACGCGCTATCATTTTATCAATACTAAATCCCACTATCTTTAATCAGTTTTCGAATCAACTGCTTTTTGAACAATAGTCGAACTCATTATTTTTTATCGTTACTGGAACCCACTATAATTTGATCAGTACTCCAGCTTACTATCATTAGAACATAACTCAAGACCGCTTTCATTTGTTCAATTTCCGAATCGACTCTAATTTGTTCATAACTCGAACCCACTATGTTTTTATCGATACTCGAACCGCTGTCATTTGGGAAGTTTTCAGAAACCACTCTCTTTTTTTTCGATGCTCAAACCCACTAACTTTTTATTGTTACTCGAACCTGTTATGATTTGATCAGTACTAAAACCCACCTTTTATAGGTACTCGAACCTGATATTTCTTGATCAATTATCGAACCCACTATTTTTATCTATACTTGAACCCACTATCATTTGATCATTACCTGAACCTACTATCTTTTATCGGTAGTGGAACTCGCTATCATTTTAACACTTTTCAAACCCCATATTTTCAAAACTCGAATCCACTAATATTTTTACCAGTACTCGAACTCTCTGTTTTTATCGGTACACGACCCCCCACAAACTTTTTACTTTTACTCGAACTCTCAATCATTTCATTAGTACTCGAACTCATTATCTTTTAATCGGCTCTCGAACCAACTCTGTATTTAACCCACATCTATTTTTGGTTCACGAACTGATTCTCATTTTTTTTCAGTACTTGAACTCACTATATCATTTGATAAAAAATTAAACCTTTTATTTTTCATCGGTACTCAAATCCATTATTATTTCATCAGCACTCGAACCCGCTATCATTCGATCAAATCGAACCCAATATTTTTATTGGTACTCGAAGCCACTATCATTCGATCCAATCGAACCCAATATTTTTATTGGTACTCGAAGCCACTATCATTCGATCAAATCGAACCCAACATTTTTATTGGTACTCGAAGCCACTATCATTTGTTCAGCACTCGAGCTATCATTATAAAATAACTCAAAACTACTTTCATTTGTTCAATTTCTGAATCGACTCTAATTTATTCATTACTCGAACCCACTATGTTTTTATCGATACTCGAACCCGCTGTCCTTTGAACAGTTTTTGAAAAGCACTCTTTTTTCGATGCTCGACGAACCCACTACCTTTTTATTGGTACTCGAACCTGTTATGATTTGATTAGTACTAAAATCCTCCATCTTTTATAGGTACTCGAACTTGATATTTCTTGATCAATTATCGAACCCTCTATCATTTGATCATTACTCGAATCCACTATCTTTTATCGATATTCGATAAAAGATAGTGGGCACTCGAACCCACTATTATTCGATCATTAATTAAATCCGATATTTTTATAGGTACTCGAAGCCACTATTATTTGATCAGTACTCGAACCAACTGTCATTTGATCAATAAATTTCCCTTTTTTTTCATCGGTACTCGATCCCTATGTACCTATTTTTCATCGTACTTGTACCATATTTTTTATCCTTAAATAAAATAGTTTATAATGGTATAAATCTGTTTTTTTTTTCTTTTTTATGTGTATCCTAACTTTTTCATTACCTAATAATACCATTTCCTAGATACGCTGTACTATCCCATGATCTGACACGAAGAAAAAAAAGTGTGATAATTCATAATCCATAGTCTTATTGTTTTAAAAACCTGATTCAGAAAACAAATGCAATTTTAAGTCAAAAGTGGATTCATTTAGTTAACGCAAATTGTATGTGTGTATGGAGAGCCCAAAGACATGGGATATAAAATGCTGTTAAATATATCATATCAATATAGTCAAGATATATGTAAAAATATCCGAGACTTTATTATTGCTGGGAGAAATAACGAGGCATGTAGTTTAGAAAGATAATTGTCTCTTGAGCTTATTGTGTTGCTTATTTACAATTTCAGGTTTAAATTTAAAATTTCTAATCACCGTATTACACTTAGAAAACCGTGTGAAAACACCACCTATAAGGGGAAAAATAACCCTCTAACAAGGAAAATAAAGACGTAAATCGATAATCGCCCAGAAAGCATGTAATCTTACGGCAACCTTGTGTCGGAATTTTCTTTATATTGCCACGAAAATGTTTGTACTAAAAACCTTTTTTCAATAAAGCAAAAATATTGCAGTTTCAAACCTTTCATCCTAAAAGGATGAAAAATTATTTTTTAAAGCTTTTTTAAAAAGTATTGCCACTTAGATTCATAATAACGTTTTAACTGACGTCACTCTAGCGATAGGATCAAATTGCATTGTTCATTAAAATTTCATGACAATGTGGATTTTAGATGAGCATACAAGACTTTTCAAAAAGAAGCCTTATAATGACCTAGATTTAAGATAATTTCCACCTTGAGACTACCTTTATTAAAGGATTTTTTTCACGCCTATATATTCTCACGTGGTATTTGTAATTAATAATAAGAAAAAGAACAATCGTATGGATCGGGCTTTAAAAACACATACTCCTTCTTAATAATAAGCTGAATGGAACATGCCACTAAAATGAACTTCGGTCAAAGTATAAAGTTCGAAAGGAAAAAATGTACGACAGAAATCAGCCAATAAAATTTTTCTATTTGATTATTAGCAGTGGTTGTTAAACAGCGTGCCTACTTATTTAAATAGGCGATCGCAACGCTCGAACACGTCATATGGGGAGAAGACCGGTGCCTTTGGCCTTTCTCCCTTCACTCTCCTCCTTTTTTCATTCGTTTCTTAATATTTTTCGTTTTCAATTAATAAAAATACTTTTTCAAATTTCCATGATGCTTTCTTTTAGAACTATGTTTAATGTAGTTTTCAGTTCCATATAGTTTCCCAACTTAAAAGATTTTAATCTATGTAAAAATCAAGACACAGAAACTAACGTACTCCATGGAAGGATCCATGGACTTTCCACGCATTGATGGTGAAAGCTTGCTAAGTATTGCCATAGGTAGAGCGCTCTGCTCTACGCCACCTGTATCCCATTTCTGTCGTATAAATAAGTTAGCTTTGCTAACTTTTTTATTTTTAATTTTTTCATGAAGTTATGTAATTTTAAGGTTGGAATGGCAATATCGTCAATGTCAATTTAGAAAACGGCCATCTTCCTGTTAAGTGTTGTTGAACTTAATATAAACATTGTTTTTTTACAGCATTATTTTTCGTAATTATCACTATGGATGCGAAGAAAAATCTAAATAGGTGTGTTCATGAGAACTGGTTAATCTGTTTTTCTGTATTGATGTTCTTGCATAGACAAATACATGAGTTTTAATATCATGAATGATAATTGATAGGGAATATATTTTTCTAAAGAAATCCCTGTATTAATAATATACTTTCGTTTCACTGATATTTCATTGTATTTTTTTTGCGATATATATTGTTACGATAGTATTATAAGTTTCTTAAATCTCTTAATTATTTTACTATTTCATATATTTACACTGTTCTTCAATATTTTAAAATTTTTTATTTTACTAAACTTGATATGGGTGAATTATTACGCATTCAAAATTGTACATAACTTTAAAAAAATGTCTGTAGAATTTGGTATGGAAAAGGAGAATTATTATATAGCTTTACTTACATGATTTTGTATCAAATATCGTATTTTGTATTCATGTAATTAAAAAGCCACTGTTATGATTCGTATTCATGTGACTTCAAAATTATTCATCAGAATTTTTATTCACTCGATTTTAAAATAAAATATCAAGATTCGTATTAACGCCATTTTTTAATCAAACTTTGAAAATCACGTTCACACAATTTAAATAAGTAAATAAAATCTCGCACGGATATTTTTATTAATAATATTCTGTGGTTAAATGCTTTTTTTTGTTCAAAATTGAGAATTTTTTTTAACAACAGTGGAGCATCGTTTATACGACGTTTTAGTGTGGTCCCAATTTATTCATATTCATTTTAATGTAAAATATATCGTTTACACGACGCATAGAATCAGTTATATGTCGGTTTTTAGATTTTTTTTCACATTTATTTTATTTTTTCTTGTGTATTTTAAGAGCGGGCAGAATTTGCCAACATGAATGAGGCAGAAGAGGGCATGTGTACATGTAGCACATGATAAAAATGAAAGGTGGTGTTGGACAAGGTGGAAAAACAAAGGTATAACGGATTGTACCGGGAGTGGACATTCCTTTTCGAAGATGGTGGTCAAGTTCCCCAACCCGCTTTATTGTTACAGCTAGTAAAGGACATTTTTTCCTTATCAGTGCACTAGCACTACAGTTCGTTTTTCTTTTCTTTTTTCTTTCTTTGCTATACGTACTGTTTCGTCCACATCTTTTTTCAGACATGTCTCGAAAACGAAAGTCTATCTCGATGAATGAAAAAATTGAAATTTTGAAGGAATTCGATAAATGTTTACCAAGAAGATCAAAAGCTGACTTGGCTAAAATGATGGGTATTCCAGTTTCTACATTTTAAAGGCTATTATTTATGATCGTCAAAAAATTGAGGAAGATGCTAAAGCATGCAGATCTGCGACATGTGAAATTTCCTGAATCGAAAGAAAATGTGAGTGCAAGAGGGTAAATTTCCTGAAATGGAGAAGGTTTTGCTCCAATTTTTCAATCAGTGTCGTGTGTCAAATATTCAAGTAAGTGGCCCAATGTTGATGGAAAAAGCTAAAGAAATCGAATTTGACAGATAGTGGCTTTACAGCAGAATGGTTGCAAAAATTCAAAGCTCGGAACGGGATCATGTGTCAAATTGTAAGTGGTGAATCAAGAAATGTTTCGGCTGATTCTGTTGCAGAATGACACAAAAATTTGCCAAGCATAATAAGCGAGTACCAACCTAAAGACATTTTTAATGCCGACAAAACAGGTCTTTTTTATCATCTAATACCAAATCGGACATTAACCTATAAAGGTGAAAAATGTAAAGGAGGGAAAAAAAGCAAAGATCGCCTTACTGTGCTGCTTTGTGTAAACTCTGATGGAAGTGAAAAGATCACTCCTTTGGTGGTAGGAAAATTAAAAAATCTCAGATGTCTAAAGAGTATCAGAATGCTTCAGCTGGATTATGATGCAAATAAGAATGCTTGGATGACGACCGGAATTTTTACTAGATGGCTAAAAAAACTGGACAATGTTATGAACAGGCAAAAACGAAATATTTTGCTATTCATCGACCAATGTCCAGCTCAGCCATCAGATACCAATTTTTTGAAAAATGTAAAAGTTCACTTTTTTCCTGCAAACTGCACAAGTGTGCTTCAGCCATTAGATTTGGTCGTGATTAGGGATCTAAAATTGCAATATTGAAAGCAGTTAGTTCAACTCGCTATTCGAAGCATTGCAGAGCCTAATCCCACGAAAATAAGTGTTCTCCAAGCAATGAATATGATTTCGTTGGCATGGTCTCGGGTAACAAAGACAACAATAAAGAACTGTTTTATAAAAGCCTGATTTGTTCATCGAATAACTGATGATAATGCTGGTGAGGACGTAAGCGATGATGATATAATAATCAATGATGATGATTGGAACTTGCTCGCAACAGAGACAACTTTTGATGAATACATGGATTGCGATGTGGATGTAGTACGATTGCACTGTTGATGAGCTTATTCAGAACTCACAGTCCGAGCCACCTAGTGACAGCGAGGATGATGAGGAAAGCCAAGAAGTTGTTCCGCCATCTTTTCAAGATGCAATGAATTCCATTGAAACACTAAGAACTTATTTCTTTACCACAATACCGGCGAAAACTCTTTTCAGGATCTTGATTCATTGCACAAATCATTAATTACAGCTCAACGTCAAACAACCGTAGATAATTTTTTCTGTAAACTTAACGTGAAATGATTAAAGTGAAAAAAGCAAAAAAACAAATTTGGAGTATTAAATAAATAAAGGTAACGTACATTCAAATTGCTTACTGTAATTTTTTTTCTATGGTTATTTATTTGTTTTGCTTTGTCTAATTTAGAAATTTATGTAAATCAACACGTTAAACATTAAAAGTAACTGAAAACAGAGTTAGTTTCTAGTTTCAGAAGTTAAAATCGATTATACGCCGTATTTCGGCGGCCCCTTTGGCGTCGTATAAATGATGCTCCACTATGTTTAAAAAGGGATTTTGCATATAAAATTTTTGAATTTCTATTTTCAGCGTTTTTTTTTTATTACCAAATTCATCCCTATCTTATGAATTGATATAAAGTTTTATAGTAACGGAACATTTTTATAAAATTCTATGATTTTCAAGCAAATTTCGCCAAAATGCGGAGGCGGCAAAAGGATTTAAATTTAAAATTCTCGAAACAGCAACTATAGTGTGAAAGTGAATAATGTGAAAGTTTATATAAAAGGAATGCCAGGGAAAATAACTTTAAATTCCTATATTGTATTCACTTTTATTTTTGAATGATTGATTTTCAATCATTCATTTTTACAAATTGTTTTATTTTAAAATTTTTTTATCAATGACTAATAGATGTTAAAACAAAACATCAGCTATTTTGCTTCCATGTTAAATTATGATTTCATTTCGAAAATAAGTATATCTTTTGATTTAGATTCTATTTTTCATATTATTATTATTGCATTTTGATTCTTCTTTTTTATTTAAATTAAAATTATAAATCTGTTTTAAATTTTACCAGTAGTAGGAGGACAAAAAGATCTTCAAAAGGTGCTGAAGAAAATTATTGGGATTGCAGTGTTTGCACATATAGGAATACTGCTGAAGCCTTCAAATGTTTAATGTGTGATGTACGGAAAGGTACATCAACAAGGTATTAAATTTCTACATTTTCTTTTATTCTTATTTATTTTTTTTGTAAAATCTTATTTAAATTTCCATCATTAAAAAGTTAGCACAGTATTTACCTTATATTAATATCACATTTGTTCTGATGGGAATTGATTTTATGCATCAGCTGATTTTGTAAACCAAAAACCGAAGCTTATTTTATAAACCAAAACATTAAGAGGTAAATTAATCTCTACATTTCATTTATATTTCATTTTAACTATTTTTATAAACATTTGATATTTTATCTTAACATAAAATACAATTTTAAATTTAATCTTTGGTCTTAAATTTTTTTTGAGTAGCAGAAATTGAAATCAAATTTTCACCATTGTTTGTTTTTGTAACTTTCAATTCAAAATGAATTTAGAAATGTACTTACAGTCTTTATTCGTAACTAAATCATAATAAAATTGTTCCTTAATATTCTAGTTTTACGTTTTATGTTCGATAAAATGGATTTCCTATTATATTTTCTATAGAATTAGATATGTTTGGCAATTAATATATTCTTTACTTTCTATATATTTAAATTTTTTTCAACCATTCTTTCTTAACTGTCAGGAGTAATGAATGAGTAAATATTATTGACCTCAAATAATGACTGGTATTCAACTTTACATAATTCATTGAGCCCATTTCATTTGAATTCTTTTTTATGTTAACATTCCCTGTTTCATTCTTTAACTCTGATTCCTTAATTTTCTTAAGAAATGTAATTCATAGGTGTCTAAGTAGATTTTCTAAAAATAGAACTAGTCTAGAAAGGTCAGTTGCAGCCTGCAAACAATGTTCATGATAGAGTGGAATCAGTTGTCACTGAACCACCCAAGCTGCCTTATTTCAAGTATTAAATCATAGTGTCAGATCAGTATGCTGAAAATAGACTGAAAGTTCACCATATCCGATTGTTTATCTTAATGTCTGTTTCATCGTGTCTGTGTGTAGTATATCTGTTTAATGTTTCCTTTTTTTTTATTTGAGTTATATTATCTTAAGTCACACCAAGTTTTTTTTTTTTTAATGTTGTTTTTTTTGCATAAAATCAACCAAATCCATTTATTTTTAGAAAACCTCGAATAAATCCACAACTTGTGGCTCAGCAAGTTGCTCAACAGTATACTCCATCTCAACCAAAGCAAAAAAGTTTAACCCCTAGATCCGATAAGGACAAAAAATCATCAGGAGACAAAGCTACTAAAAAGATACGGTAAGCATTTTTAAAAATTTTTTTTAAAAATTCTTTAAGCATGCTTGAGATGAACTATAAATTTATTCATATTGCTAACTTTGAATTTAATTTTATTTTATTTTATAACCATCGTGGAACAGCTGACCCAGTTTTGGGTTTACTCTGTAGCCTTGTAATTTAGAATTCAATCCATAAGACAAGGGAACTCCTGGGTCATGTATTGGGAAGTACTTTCATGACGGATTTTTTATTGGAACTTACTAACTCGCATTTGTGTTACGTGGAGAGAAAAACCACAAAAATCTTCCATGGTTAGCCTGAGGGCAAGGGGCTCTAACCTATGATCCGTCTACCTCTGAGGATGTTTGAGGCACTGTGGTAGATGCAAGCCAGGTGCGGAATTCGTAATGACCAGCCTTCGCTGGAATTCAAACCATTGGAAGGCGAAGGCTCTATCCCCTGGGCCACCACAGTTCACTAACTTTTAAATTATAAAACACTGATTAATTTTAAAGCTTTATAAAAAAAATTTGATATTTATATTTAAATCTCAATTTTTTTAATAATTTTTTTCTGCAATTTTTTCTTAATTAAATTAGTAATGGATAAAGGTCTAAGGCATGATTTGGTCTATTACACAGTAAGCTGCAAAATTTGTGCAACTAACATTTTTGTCTTTTGTATGCAGGCCACGACTTAAAAATGTAGATCGAAGTAGTGCTCAACAAAAGGCAGTTACGGTGAATGATGTGACTGTGATCATAACTGAATTTCAACCTAAAAGAAGAGGCTCATCAGATAATGCTGCTAATGGACCTCACAGTAGTAGTGGCAATAGTACAGATAGTAGTCAGTCAGACTCTGGAAGTCGCAGTGAAACACATAATGGTGATTTGCAAGATCGTAGATGATGGAATCTTAAGGTTTTAATTGTTGTATGTTGTATCATTTTTATTTTAACATCAATACACAACCTATATATGTAAATCGAGAAGAACTTTTTAACACTTTTAGAGCACTTTCATCTTTAAGAGGTGTGCCAACGTTTTTAGCCTTTCACTCCATTCAGACTGTGATGCTTTTACTAGGCCTCATCTAACAGGATGAACATTTTATTCATATGATCATTTTTGAAGCAAGAAACTGCCAATTGTAAGCAGGGAAATATGTATAGTGAAACTTCTAAATAATGGCAATCTTCAGGGATTTGTTGAAAACTGTAAATAGTTTGATTATTAAAATAAGACAATTGATATAAATTGGATATTATTTATGTGTTACATGTATTTTGGTTTTAAGAAGTTTGACAATTATGCAAATCAACATTAATATAGATTTGTTAAAGGTCATTGTTATGTTCGACTAGTTTATAATTTTTATAACTAAACAAATAACATTGCCATAAACAAAAACATAAAGATTTCTTGAGGTAATCTTTCTCTGTTAGAAAATATTTTTGTTTTTTCAAAAAAAAATTTTAAATTTTTAATTTTTTTCGAAAATTTCTTATAAAAACTATTTAATCAATAATAGAATTTTTTAAAAACAAAAGCTTAAAATATGAAATATTAATTTGATTGCTAGAATTAAAATTATTTTTTTTCTTTTGTTTAAAAGAGCTCTTGTTTTTTAAAAATTTCCTTCCTTGATGCATGTGTTTGATCAGTTCTAATTAGAAGACTTGATTGTTCAAATATATCAAGTCTTGATTTGAAATTCTTTATTTTGTTAATCAACACTTAAAGTAGTATTATGAATTTGAATATTAATCGGTGACTAAAAAGGTTGAGAATGACAAGTTATATTTTAAATAGAAACCCAGTAATATGAGTTTTAGTTTCAAAGAACCCATAATTGCCTAAGTCTAGTGGAATCGCAGATTGGATATGGTCTTAATCCTAATTATGTTTAAATAATTGGAATTCTGTGGTACTATGAATATTTAGAATAATGGTATCTACTAATCGAACTTGGTATCTTATAAAAATTATAAATTAAATTCCTAAAGATTTTGCACAATTGAGTAAGTATAGTAATAAGTTTTATTTATTATAATCTTATAAATATCTTATTATGTATTATAATTTTTTTTTAAAAACTAGAACCAATTTTCGACTTAGTAAATATTTTAAGTTGTTATTTTATTTATATTTCTCATTTCCGCTTAAGTATACAAATAAAAAAAGTATTTCTTTAAAAAGGCAATTTGTTAAAAAACTATTTATTATAAAAAAATTATTTTTATGTGTGCAATTATGTAATCAAAGGTTATTTTATGTAAATAATGATACTTTTTACCAGAAAATTTTCTCCTCCAATTATTTCTATAAATATCACTATTACTGTGGATGTGTTAATATTTCTATTTCATCAATAAATATTTTTTTATTGAGATGATTTGCCAAATGACAAAGAATTGTAGGTTACCATTATTTAGAGGTGTTCTAAGAATATTTCAGTGAACTTGAAAATATTACCTCTTAATTTTTTAGTCAGACTCACGTATGAGCTTTTATGACATTTTTATATTATTTTTATGCTGTTTATTACAAGTAATAAACTGCCAATACTCCTTATGTAAAAGAAATATTAGTGGCAGAAATCAATGTGAAATGTAATTAATTGTAACATTGTAAAGACTTTTCTCATTAACTATACTTTCATTGTATGATTTTCATTGCACTATCATAACTTTTTCTTTTTAAAAATTATTCTTTTATAGAATAATTTTGTAGTCAAATAAATGTCCATGCTATATATATGTACACTTCATAATAATTAATTTTCATAACTTAAGTTTGAATTATAGATTTCTTCACTACTTCATTAGAAATTTTTATTGCCTCTTACTTAAAATCAGATTTTGTTTTGTTTTTTTATGCTGAAAAATTTATCCAGAAAAAAAATTCGACAACCAGATGAGCAAAAAAAGATAAAAGTTTATGTATATATGTGTGTTTGACACAAACTTTTTGTTTATATTTTAATGATGCATTTTTATTAAATTTTGAAAGTTTTTATTTGTTTAAAATATTTTATCTTGTAAATATTACATCACATTTCATAATTACTAGAGCATAATATATTAAATGTGTAAATTTCTCACTGAGCATTTTATTAAATTTTTTTTTTTTAAATTTAGGTAGTATGTATGTTTTTCCCCCCTATTTAATACCTGTTTATGTAATGCTTCTTTTTAGTTCAAATAATTGTGCCTCCTTCAAGTTACTGAGACTTTGTATAATAGTGATTGCTGTGAATTTATTTGTTAATTTTCCTAATAACTTTTAATTTTTTTATAATCGTAAATTTTTTTTAGAAATATTTAATTTGAAAGAAAAATTGCAATTATTACTCTAGAATTAAAAATTATTTGTGTTTTAAAACTATTTGGTGTTAATTAAGATAACAGTCAATTCTTTGAATAGTGACAACCAAGACTTTGTGTTTAAAATATTTTTGTAAGTAAAATTTTTTGTTTATTTTTAATTAAGAAGCTTATCAAACCTTTATTTATTTATTATTTTTTTAAATGAAAAAATGACTATTTATAATTCTGAAAAGATGACCAGATCGGTCTAATGGTCAACATTTATTAATGAATTTCTTATGGATTCAGTGTTCTGAAGAATTAAACTTGATTTATCTAATGTTTGTTAGACCTCTGCTCTTTGAGACTGAAATAGAATTTTTTTTTTTAAATATTAGAAAATTTCTCATTGTTCTCCCTTCCTCCAATTAACAGCAGTTGATATAATTTAAAAAAGAGAATTTTCTAACGAATATTTTTTCCTTAAAAAAAGTCTTTATTAAAATAATAAAACCATGTATTGTTTATCGTCATTATCATAACCAAGCTTGCTATACTATTATTCAGGAAGCATTTTTTATATACTTTTGTCCCAGAAAACTATTTCTTAAAAGTTGTAAAAATTTCTTTGCGTCCCACCCATTTTTTTACTTTTTTTAGCCCAATTTAATTTAAGCATAATTCAAAATTAATTGGGAATCCTAAATTCTAATTACGTAGTTTATAACAGGCGATTTTAAAATAACCATGCCAATATCCCCTGTCAGGCATGTTCCAAAGAGCAGAACACAATTTTATGTCAAGGAATAAATGTTAGAAAACTATTTTCACATTTACAGTGATAGAATTTTGAAAATTCCAAATGGATTTTTCTCATCAAATCATGATCTTAAAAGTAAAAGAAAAGACCGTAATGCTGTTTGAACAATATTTTAAACTTAAATCGGGATAAGGTAAGACAGAAGTTAAGAGAACAAGACATACTGTGCTCTTTTGAAATGAAGATTATAGTCAGTTACGTTATAGTCAGTGCTTTCTTTCCATTGTGCATAGAGGTTTTTCCATTCAGAAGAACTGAATTCTAAAATATTCTCTTTTTGACTATATTTCTTCATATTGTAATCATAATCCATTTCATAGGGCAAGCAATGGGGAGGGAGAACTGTTTCGGGAGCGGAACATAAATTATGTTCAAAGATCTTGTTTTTTTGTGCAATGAATTATAAAAGTGAATGTATTAGTCTTTTTTTTTTTCAATGACTCATTTATTGTACATTAGGATAGGTTATTTCCTGGTTCCTTGCCAAGTGCAGTAGAAACGACTATGTTTAAATCACTTTTTGTATTAACAGTATTGATAATAAGCTTAAGGGAGCATTCTCACTGCATACGATTGCCGCTCCTCCAACCAAGATAAAGAGAACCTGATTGGTAAATTTTTCACAGTAAAATATATTTCACCAATCAGGTTCTCATATTCCTTCAATGGCAAACGGAGGATTTGGGTCACATCTAGTGAAAATGGTCCTGAAGTTATAATGTATGCATCAACATTTGAGATTTATTTTTATTTTAATACTTATATTTAGTCTAATAAATAAATGGATATTGTTAATAAATGACCATTAGGCTTGTCTTTTTCAAATTATATCTAAAAAATTTCTTTTTTTTAATCAAAAAAATTTTATGAATTGTTTTCAGTACATTGACAAATATATTTGATTTCATGTACTTACATAAATATGCTTGTAATTTCAGATTATTGTCTTTGATATATTTTCAGAATTGCAAATTACTGCTATTATGTTATTTTTACAGAGTTTACTTATAAATTGAGGAAAATTTTTTAGAACTGCAAATTTCTAATTATTTTAATGTTTTTTTTTTCTTGGTACATTTTTTTTTCCAAATGGAAAACAGCAAACTTAATTTAAATTTTTTAGTTATAAAGTTCAAAGCAGTCATATATTTTTATAAATTTTATTTACTATGTGTGTTTGAAAAGTTAGCTTTGAATAATAAAACCAGAAAAAAGCGTTGTAGACAGTAAAAATACTTTTACTGTCTACAATGCTCTTTTGACATTAGTTGTACGAACGCTTCTTTCGATATCATTCAAAGCATCATCCTTTTTGTCTCTTAAGACATTTTAACCTCACAGAAATATTCTTTTGTAATGGAAAGCATATTGCAGACTAGACCTGTGAATTCAGCTCTCTGACGTAAAACACAATTTTAAGACTAATATTGATAAAATGATATGATGAAAAAGTTCTAATTCTTTAAATATTTTAAAAATAATTAATAAGATTTAGTATTTTCAAAATAATTCAAAGTCATGTTAATATTTTCAGAGTTGCTAATGAAATTTATTAATTACGTCTCAGGGGTCCACAGATTAAAAAAAATAATAATCTGGGAATTGCTGATCTAGGACTATTTAAACAACTTTTCAAATGCACCTTGTTAATTGCTTAATTTCTATACAATTTAGTGTTGTGAAGTTTTATAACTTGGAAAAATGTAACAATAGGTATCTTTTTTGGATTATAAAAGTTTTTTTTTTTTTCTTCAAAGAACAAACGAGTAGTTAACTTCTTAAGTAGTGTGGCAGAAAGTTTCCTCTAAAAAGTTTTTCCTTTAAAGATGATATAAGAAAAGTTAAACCTTTTCATCCCTGATATTGAATTTTTTTTCATAAAAAATGTGGTAATATTCCACAAATTTATACCAAAGTAATGTTTTGAAAATTAATTTTAACTTCCAATTTTCACTATTGATTATCTGCTTAAATCAATCAGATTGTTTATTTCTATTGTGTTAGTGTATATATGTTTTAAAAAAATTCTCCTTTTTAAAAGAAAATCATAAGATTTCTGTGTTAAAAATCAAAGCATGATATTAGAAAACTGTAAATATATTGATTATTTGTGGTGAGAAATTGTTTAACTGGAAATAAATTTGTAAATAAAGCTGAATAATGACTGGTTTAGTTCATCAATACCTTGACAGTTATGCTTGCTTTATACAATGAAAATTTCAGGCGTACTATATTATTCTGCAAAAAATAATTTTTAAAGATTCATTGAAGAAATATTCCTGGACCTATTTAAAAAGCTTTTATCATATCTTTATCTCAGCCAGCTCTTTGGCTCAGCCATTCTTCTTAAAAATAAAATTTAGCATTTTTAAAAACTGATCAAACACAGGAACTACTGTATTTTGTTAGGCACAAAATTAGAGAATTATTAAATTAAGCTTCAGTGTTATGGAATTTTACTTTGTTTTTCAATATTTAAAATTTCAATATATTGTGACAACACAAAATTCTGTTGCCTTACTACCTTACTTAATGATTTTAGATACTTACATGAAATAGAATTGTATTTATCATTAACAGTTATGAACAGTAAAAAAAAATAGCCAACTCAAAAAACATGAAAGAAATTTATTTTTTAAATTTTTATAAAGAAGCGATTATTTTGCCTCTGAACAATCATTACCATTCTAATCTATATTATCACAACATCAATTTACATGTTCTAATTAGTAAGTTTTTGAATTGCATTTGTTGCAGCTTTACATGGTAACTTTTAGAGATTTCTGACTTTTGAATTATTATTTTCTCGAATTGAATTGCAGTTTCTCTGAAAAAGGCAACAGAGGAAAGGTATTCAATAAATTATTAGACTTCCCAATTTCAATTTTAAAAAGTCTGTGAATATTGTATTGCTAATTTAATTAAAATTGTTTTAAATGAACTGCAAAGAGATAAATCAAAATTTTGAAACAGCAAATATACAAGATCATCATCATCATCATAGTTGGCCAGACAGCCCAATGTGAGCCAATGCCTTTCTCTGAAGATTTCTCCACGACGATTTCCAAAAATATACAAGATATGATTTAAAAATACATCTTCTAAAACCAGAGTAAGAAAAATATCTCCACAATGTAATTGTACTCACGTTTCTTTTTTCCTTCGAGAGTTCTAAAAATCCTGAAACAAATTAGGTAGAAAGCAAGCTTAATCACTTTTTTTTTTTTTTTTTTCCAATTTGAGATCTGAACTGTCGTCAGTTTTTGAATTTCCTTATTTTTAAATCAAATGAACAAAAAGTTAATTATCAAGTGTGATATGTCATCACTTAAATTTTTGTGAACGATAACTTTTAACTGCAAGCGCAAAGTTTTTAAATCTTACAATGTCATATATTTTAATACTGACTTATCAAACTTTTAAGTTATGGAAATGGAATTTTGCGGTAATTTGTTATTTTTAATTGAAAGGGTTCTCCTCATGCTTCCAAACCCCAGTAACTGCTCTTTCCATATTACTTATCTAGCTCATTTCATTTCAACTGAGAGTGGGACAGATTAAGCGTAAAAAAATATAAACTGTGCTTATGTAGTTACACAGGTTTGCTACTCTTAACAGATGAACAAAATTCCCTGACTTTTGCAGACTTATTTTTAAAAAAATTCCAGTCTAATATCGCAGTAGTGCTGTGGTCAAAATATACAGTGAACATAGCTGCCAACTTTACTGGATTTTCCAGTAGACTACTGGATTTTGCCAGCTTGGTCTAATGGTTTAATTAAAATTCTCCTGGATTTAGCGAATTTTAGAAAATTCCCTAAAATTGAGTAAGTTTCCTAAAAAAATCCATATTGAAATAGAATTCTTGCAGTTTATTGCTTGAATATTTAAATAAGTATTACTGATACATAATGAGGCGAACCTCATTTATTGAAATCAGTTCAAAACTTTTTTGTTCTAAAATATTCAGTTTATTATTATTATTCAGAAATCTGTTTTTAAATTAATAAAAGAAATCTTTAAACTATATTCGACGAATTAAATGCCTATTAATATTCAAAATTACGAGTACGATTAATGTCAATCATTAACTGGAAAATATTGCAGTTTTTCTATTTTGATGACTATAAAAATTCCTTATGAGTAAAATATTTAGTTCATCATTATTCAGTTACATCTTGAAACTTATATTTCGTAAAATCGACTGAATTTTTTCCTACCCACTTTCGCAGCTATGAGTGAACCACAAAAAATTAATAACTTATTCATTATTTCGTATATTTTATTTCAATTAAAAAATGTAACATCACAATATAGAGAAAAAATAGTAGAAACAAAAGAAATATATCATATAAAAGAGTAAAAAATATTTTTAAAAATAAAATTTTGATTCACTTAGCCAATACAAAAACAATTTTTGTTTTGATTCTGCAATTTGGAAGTCAATAGCAGATACTTCTGATTAAAAATTCTTGATAAATTTTATATCCCTGTTTAATTTAATTTTGTACTTCGTACCTGCATGATGCGTAAAATGCAAAATATACAAGAGTTAAATTTTTATAGAAAAAAAAAGGTGCATCTCGAGTCATGTAAATTAAAATAAAATTCTATTTTTCTACATATATTTAAAAATACTGAAAAGATGGAATTATAATAAATAATCCCACTTAATTAATAAATCAGAATTATTAAAGATTAACTTGCTATATATATATATAACTTGCTAAATATTTAATGCAAATTAAATAAAAAGTTGATTTATCTAAGCTTCTTCCTAATTTGATAACAAAAATACATTCTAAGATTTAGTTATTAATAAATTTATTAGTATCTCTACAGGATATTTTGCATCATAAATAATAAAACTTATCTTAAAAATATATGTTTTTAAAAATACTAAATAAAAAATGTTTTAAAAATACCAAAAAAAATTTTTTTTAAATATTAAATAAAACATTTTTTTTAAAAAAAAATACTAAATCATCTCACGAAAGAAACTAATATATAAGCTTTATGAATTCAATAGTAATTAAAATCTTATTTATTCAATAAAATATTTTTAAAAGTACGCAAAATATGACAACTGGATAGGATTGTTCTCTTAGTAATATTTTTTCTGATTTCTATGCACATGTAACATAAAAAGCTTCAATTAATCTTTTTTCTGAAAAACGTCCCATTCTATAAATTCTAATTTGTGAAATCGGTCCCTTCACAAAATTCAAATTCGTATAAAAACGACCTCTTCACGAAATTTAACCTATGAAAATAATCGCACAAAATTGTTCAATGGCTGATTCTCGGAAAAAAAGCGATTGGAAACGACATAATTTTACGACAGCATCGTCACGAATCGAACGCGTCTAATCTCAAATTCGCATGTCAATAATAGTGGAGTTTGGAAAACATAGTAGAAAAAAAAAAAGGGTGAATGAAAATCACACCCTACATGGCGAAGTTACGATGGAATTAATAAATCACGAATCGAACGAGTCAAAGCGGGGTAATTTAAGTTTCAACGTAGTAATAACATTGCATTAAAGGTATCAGAGTTTGAAAAACCATGTGAAAAGGGTCGACTGCCTAAAAAACTATTACCAAACATCATGATAGTTTTTTCAGAACTATCATGATGTTGTCGTTATCATGATTGATGAGCACAACATTAAGACTGATTGAATCGCAACCAATCGAAAACGTCAGAAAATGATAACTGGTAGTCAAAATTTGCACAGGTTGCGTATAAGCACCTTTTAAGAACTATTTTTAAGCACTTTAAAAATGCTACGCACCCTGTTGCAATAATCATATTAATATTACTTGAATTTGAAAAACTATGCCTAAATCGAAAAAATTATTAATTACTTCGGAAATCGTAATCGAACGTGTTCCCCTATTATAGACATCCTGAATCTTTCACACGTGGTTTGCATGAAACTTATTCTAGCATTATGGGCAGCCTCATTCTTCCTGCTTCTTTGTGGCTCCGTGAACTGTTATAAAAATAAGAATTTTAAAATTAAGCCATATGCAATAATTGGTGCATCATTAGTCTCTCATTTTATGCGATTTAGAAGAATTAATAGAACATTTGCCTCTGTTGACGGTTTTAAAAATTTTTTCTTTAAGTTCTAACACTGTTCAAGATATCTGAAGCACTATAGTAAATGAAGTTTAATAGTTCAGAGGCTTTACTGTATTTCCAGGCTAAATTGTCCCACAGTTCAAATTATTTTATCTTATTAATGCTGTACTTTACATGACTATCAACTAACTAAGTAATCAGACATATTTTACAATATAATTTATTATGAAATAGTTTTCTGGTAATACATGTAATGGTTAATTCTAAAACATTTTGCATAGAATAAGATTCAAATAAAATGAAAACATTTTAACAAGTACATTTTAAGACAAGGATTCCTTTTATATATATATATGTGTATAAATATTTCACTTTAAGGGAAAAAAATAACTTTCCAATTACGATAATCAATTTCTGTTTAAATATAAATTCACTGATAGAGGGAAAAATACAATAACTTTGAATGTTTACATTTGAAAATAATTATCTCGTTTTAAATCACGTTCTTTCTTTTTATAATTATAAAGCTAGTATAATAACACTCAATAAAATAACTCACATCTTAATGAAAGCCTGATTAGGAATTTAGTAGAGTAACAAGTTTAAATAACATCTTATACTGTAGCTAAGTTGTGGTCACTGGAAATATACTCCAAAATTATGGGAATAATTTAATTTTGTTAATAAGATAATTAGTTTTAATAACTCAACATTTATAAGAACGTTGTTAAAAATGTATACAACCACAGCAAATAAGCATTAAAAATTAAAACTCAGGATGAAAAAATGATTACAGATATCAAATGCCAAATTTCCTCTCTTTTAAAGCAATATAATTTATCGTTTTGGCAAAAATAGATCATTTTATTGCAATATGGCACGAGAAAAAAAAATATTTTCTTTAAAAAGTTCTTAATTTTTCTTCCAACAATAAATGTACAAACCGTGAACTATCTGTGAGCCGTTGAAATAAACTATGCAAATGAATGCAATGTTCTTTTTTTCTAAAATATAAAACTGAACTAAATTCACGTACTCAACGGAAATATTATAAAAATGGCAAAAGATAACTTAAAAAAAAAATAAATAATTAGATCCTGGTGACCACCACATAATTTTCAGTGGGACAGAGAGAGAAAATATTGGCATTACCGGTCCATGCAGGGAAAATATAACTTCATAATATAGAGAAATAAAAAGATTAACTGAACTTCTATTATATTAAACACTTATTCATTGTGAATGGCCAGGAAAGAAAACAAATAGACAATTGCTTTAAAAGCAATAACTAATTTTATTAAGCTGTGTTAGTATATCTAAACCAAAGTGGGACGAAGGTTAAATTTGTTTGCATGGAAAAATAAACTGAATTGTTGAAAATAATTCAGAAAACAAATTCCTCAGAATTAATTTTTAAAAAAATATATTAACCTGTTTTTGAAACTTATACCAGCAGATGCATTAAAAAGTAAACATATGTAGTGATTATGGAAAATAAAGTTGGAACTTTGAATTTGGAAATTTAAGAGTATTTTTTAAACGTTCTGGTAATGAAAATTATTTTTTAAAAAAGGTTAACATAACAAAAGATTAGCTAGTAGTATTGGAGTAAATATCATTACATTCGGAACCATTTTTTAAAGCAACAAGTTTTAATAAATAATGCATAAAACCTAAAAAAAAAATTTATACAAATTATAAAAAATTGATTGCAGATGGTTTTCATGCTTTTCTTTAAATATATATATAAATTTATTCTTTCTTATAATAACTTTTTACAAAATGAAAAAAGAACAAAAATAATATATATATGTCTATTAAGTATAACAATATAGATGTGTTAGACAAATAAAAATCTGAAGTTTAAATCCAATTGAGCAGAAGCACATTAACTGTACTCATACGTTGGCAACAAAAAAAAAATGTTTGAAGAATAACGTAACAAATGTAAAAAAGTAATGAAAAAGAAGTAAAATGATAACTATGTACATATTTAAATCTGGAGAAAAAAAATGAATAGCAATATAACTTTACTTTACATTTATACATCAAATATAATTTTTTTTTAACAATAATATTTACACTTTTATGTAGGATGAAGAAATAAAACAAATGCTAAAATGAACACTTGAGAATCTGAAAAAAATGTACAAGTTATGATAAGTTTATAAAATCTTAAAAGCCTCATCCATTTCATTTGTAAAGTCCAGATGGATAGACATGTAAGTATGATTTATGGGGTGGTGGTGGAGGAGGTTGTTGAACCAGAGCAGCAAACTGTTGTGCGTTGACAGGAGAGTAGTCACGTTGTGGTGGCCGTAAAAGCGCCATTGATGGAGTAAAAGGATGAGTTGGAGGTATTAATGGAGGCTGAAGACTGCACTGTGCAGAATTGGCATTTAAAGGATGAACTGTAGGAATAATTGGAGGTTGTGGTTGCAAAAAAGGGCTAACTGGAACCTAAAAAACAGGAAAACATTGTGTAAATTAAATATATTAGCATGTTGAAAAGTGATAGTGAGAGGGGTAGCAGAAACCTCTAGAGCAGGGTTTCTTAACCCGTGGTTAATGAACCCCCAAGGGGTCCATGAGTTATATTTTGGGGGTCCGCTGACTACTCTTAATTTTTAAAATGTTTGGAAGCCTACCCATTGCTTGTAAAGCGAGCCATGGCAGCTATTATTCGTTTGCTACAGTGCATCTTTGCAAAACGGGATTTTCCACACTTGTGACAATAAAAACATAACATCGAAATCGATTGAATGTTGAACATGATATGCACGTTGCTTTGTCGAAAACCATCCCCCAATTCAAGTTATTAATTAAGGAAAAGCAGCAGGAACCTTCACATTAAAAATGTTAATTTTAAAAATTTTGTATACTATTAAAATAATAAAATAAATTTTTTTCTAATAATTGATGTTTTATCCAATTATTTTTTTCACAGAGGGGGTGGCGGGTGGTCCGTGACTTCTTAAAATTTTTTAAAAGGGGACCATTATATCAAAAAAGTTAAGAAACACTGATCTAGAGTTAAAAAAATTTTTTTTTTTTAGCTTTCTCTAAGAAATTTAAGCACAATCAAGTAATTAAACACATAAATTTTTTTTCTCTAATATATTTTTTGAGAACCATGTTTGAAAGCATAGATTTAGTTAAGATTTTTTTCAAATATAAATCTGATTAACAATAATTATATTTAGCATTTTAATATCTGCCTCATTAACTATTTTTTTCGTTACTAATTTTTAGGACATTTGCAAAAAATCATTAATGCTGCTAACTTTCTTTATTTTTTTTATAAAAAAAAAGTAGATAAAAATTTATTTAACATAAAGAAACAGAGTATTAAGTGTGCATGGATATCACAAAAAAGAGAGAAGAGTACTTATTATTATTAGCAACAAATGAAAATTTAAATCTACCTGTGGAGGAACCAGATACTGGGGCCGAGGAAAGGGTGAAGGTGTGAAGTTAAACTGTGTCGGCTGTACAGCAACAGGTATAGATTCTTTAAGTGGAGGACGAGTATGACGAGGTGGTGGCGGAGGAGGAGGGGGTGATGGCCGAGCACCTATTAATAAAAATGAATACGAAAAATGAAATTTTAACTGCAACAGAAAATAAGTGAAGAAAGAATGCTTCTTGAAAACGAACATATTATGCTTAAACTAATTTAGAAAATAATATAAATACCTTCCGACACATCAAAACCAAATTCACGCCTCAACCGTTCATTTAAATTTTCTCGATGTTCTGTTACATCAGTTTCTGGCACTACTTTGATTTCTTCTTTTTTAATTTTGCTCACTGTAATAGGAAAAGAAGTTTTTAAAGGGAAGATTATAAAAAGGATAAACTCAAAATAATGAAACAATTTAAAGGGCAGATTAAGAATACTGGGCTACAGTACTCTTCCAATGAAAATTATGTGATGAACATTTTTAAATATACGAAGCTTTGCTATTTTATGAGATAGTACACAGAGTTGAATTGAATTGAACGTAGGGTTTAGTGGCGCAAGGTCCAGGTGAGGACATGCTGCACCGATAGTACACAGAGAATCTATATATATATTTCTTTTACACGGCAACAAAAAAAAGCCTCATTACAACTCCCCAAATGGCAACGATAGAAAATCGACCAATGATTGCCGCTAAAAATGTCACATGCCAACTCTAGCTGAGATGGCCCAACATATAGCGCTTTTAAAAACGGAAACTGAAATAACCAGAGAGCATAAGCTAGGCAGAAGTGAGTAGTCTTTGTTGATAGATCTCTATTTTAGTATTTTGTTGAAAGTGCTTTTTTTCACGAATTTATTTGTTTTACTAGAATTTATTTGTTTATGCACGTTTTTCCATTGCAATTCTCTTATTTCAACTTTTAATAGACTTATAGCCAAAATTTTAACCTTTTCAAAGAGATATCAGTTTTAAAAATTTTATCTCAAGATTTTATACTATAGAACATTTCTAATAGGTTTAACGAATTTCATGTCATTTATTTGAATTCAAATTTATTTTAATGACTTAGTATTTACTAAAAAAGTTGTTATATGGATTTGAATGATTGTTTTGAATTCTTAGAATTTTCTGCATTTGCAATGTACCTAATTTAGTAGCGAGTGAAGCGAGCTTGCTTTAGGAAGCAAACCATATAAGATTGCGTAGCAATTTTCGGGGGTTGGCGAACGTTAGTGAGAAGGGGGCGCAGCCCACTAGTACAGTTATATTACCATAATTCCTAGCCACGATGGCTTAGTGGTTAAGGCATGAACTGTCATTGTGAAGAACTGGAGTTAGATGTCCAGTGATGGCTTAAAGCCCACCCAGCTTCAGATTGATGGGTACCAGCTAGTCAGTGAAGTAAAGGAGGCTTGTGAGCAGTGCTGACCATATGGACATAATCACGTTGATGGTCATGAAATTGTAGAACTTTAACCTTCATGACCCCACTGGCCCGTAGAGTGCTGTTGTGGGAATGCTTTTTATTAACATAATTCAATAGAGGACTCTACCGTGGATCAAACTCGCCAAAGAAGTTGTTACTTTAATGATCGATTTGAAATTTATCCGCATGTTATGTAATAACCTAAATTACTAAATTAACGGAATTTAAAAAATGATAGAATCTATGTGTGGAGAAGAGGAAAAAAAAAATCTTATGTCGAATTGAATTTTGTGCGTCCCAATGATATCAAATAAGAAATATTGGGATTAAAAATAAAAAAAAATTTTTTTAGTAATAACTGCTGAAAAAAGTTGAAACATGGCATCAGTTAACAACGGAATTGGCTCAACTCTTAACAAGTCAAAAAATGATCATGCAAATACGTAAGTAAAATCTCAGAGCTCGTAATATCGGAAAATAAAAAACCAAACGAATATCAATAGCAATAATTGTTGAAAATTCTTGTTATTACCATGTGGATTTACAATAGAATTGAACGTATTAAAAGTGTTTATTTAAATGCACAATTTGAAATTTCTAAATGGTAATATCATACTAAAATATCAAGATTTTTGAAACATCAATAGGCAAACAAATAGTTGGAAGAGAATTTCCCTAGAGCATAACCCTAAGTTTTGATGCTTTGCCTGAATTCCTTTTTTCTATATTTTAAATTACTTATGGGAGTGAAAGAGAATTAGAGAGAAAAAGTTTCTTCCCTGGTATAGCTTAATATATATATATTTACACATCGGAATTTGTAATTTACGCTACCGTCACAGATTCAACTTTAAGAAAAATGGTAGTTTCACAAAATAGATACTTTTTCCAAAAATATTATTTTTGTATCCCGTAAGAAACGATAAATCCATATTTTTGTGTTGATTTTTTAACATAATTTTTAATTTTCACAAATTATGTCTAAATTTTCACAAAATAGGTACCTCTTAGAAAAACCTAGACAGACCCCTTCTCAGAGATGACGCCGCACTGTGTTAAGTCAATCAAAAACTAGGCTTATGTTATAAGTTTTAAAATATAAGTTAAAAAATTCTAAAAAAATAATCCATTTTGGAGTAAATTTCTTAAAGTACACACTTTTTAAATTTTTTTTTGCATGTATAGTTAGTTTATAGAAAGAACTTCCCCTGCAGCTAAGCCTAGAGCAGCCTGTTGAAATGGAAACATTAAAAAAAATAGTGCATTTCAAAAAACGGAGCTACTCTCTCCCATGACTTTCTTTTTCTCGTCAACCCTAACTGAAACCTTTCTTAAATATTGATCCAACAATTCTACTTGAAATAGTTACAACTTGTAACTATAGTAAGCGCCACAGCTCCAGGTGAATGACAAGGGGAATTTTTTCCATAGACAGACTATACTATCAATTTAACATAGTTGGAGAAAATTACATGCCTTGCTCTTAGTTTTAAAATACTGAGAGACGAGAAAAAACTGGAATAGAATCAGCCTTGATATTATCCATTAAAAGACGATGCTTTCATATAAAAAACAAGAATTCGAAAAAGAGTATTAGAGCCTCGTATAGAATTAGGTTAGTAATTGTGGACTACTGAAATCTGTGTTAACAACACAGAAACTTTGCGTAATACTGTTCCCAAATCTTTTCTACTTGTCAAAATTTTTCCTTATGGCTTTTGAGAAAGATTTAACAGATTCCAAAAGATTAATAAACATGCACTATTTAATAATTAAGAAATTTCAGATTTCAACTCTCAATAAGGGGAATGAAATACAGTAAAAGTAAAAATGCCATACCTATTTGTGAAGCAGGATGCTTTGCAGCTAATTTCTTTGCTCTTATTTTTTCAAACAAGGGCAAAGGAGTAAGAGTAACCTGTTCTGGCAATGTGTCAGGTAAAGATATAGCACATATTGATGTTGTAGTAGTAGCTGGTTTGATAGAACTCTCAGAGTCTAATTTACTTTTGGTTGTATTTTCTCGCATTCTCATTCTATATTCTGACAAAGAAACCTGCAATAGAAAATAATCAACATTTAGATTTTAACACAGAATATTGAAAGAAGAAAAATTAACATTTATGCAGCTTATTGAAAACCTGTTCTGTTCATATTGACTGATCTTACTTGATAGCAGGGTAAGACAGCGTGTGACACAAGCTGTCTTACTGCTTAACAGATATGCTTAATCCTCAAATCTTTAAGTTAGTTTTACAATCATGACAATAACATAAAACATTATATGACTCGAGCTATTTTTATTTTAACCATTTGAAAGTGTTTTATAGAAGGGAGTTACATAATCAGTTGAAACGCCAGGCATGGGCATCTGTAACTAGGTTTGAAATAGTACTTCAGAATCAAATAAATGGGTAAATAGGGTATGGCCCCAATTAAGTCTGTTTTCTTTGATATACAGGGGTCAATGATATATGATTTAATATAACAAATAAGATAATTTAAATGTCTAATGGCGACTAGTGGTGTTTTTAAGCACCAGATAGATACTTGTGAAAGTATTAAGAGCTACAATTGCTCTTCGTAGTGTATCAGTAATGCTTCATAAAAAACGAATGAACATTTTTCTTTTAGGCCCAGAGAAAAAAAACTTTTATTCCTATTTAATTCATTCATTGTTATCTACAGAAAAATATTTTTAATTAATTCAAGAAATTTCTTTCAAAACTACCCTCTCCCCCCAAAATTTTTCCCCTTCTCTTTTCACGAGTGAAACTACTCAATTTATTTATTATATAAATCATGTTGCATTAAAGAATATGGCCAGATGCAACATCCACTTGTTTACAGTTTTTGATAAGATTACGAAATCTATATTTCTCTGCTGAAAAATCTAATTAAATACTGACCTTTCGTTTTTGTGTTGCAGAAGCACAAACTTTAATATCTGGACTAGTATCTTCACTGGATGTGCACCGGGATATAGGAGAAGGTTTAGTGATTTCTTCCCACTTCTTTGTTGAACTTTCACTCGATTGTGACTCTACCTCCATGGCATCTTCATTGGTTTCTTTATTTACAGAAGGTTCATCTTTGATATTATCAGTCTCACCAGTTTTATTTTTTGAAAGAGATTCACTGTCATTTGATTGAAAACTAGAGTTACTACAGCTATTTACATTATTACAAGAAACGATAGGACTACACACGGTTTGATTAAGTGGATCTGTTGTGCCACAATTTGTACTAATGTCACTCGAATTATTTACAAGAGTTTCACTGCCACATTCAACATCAGTATTGTTAGTCAATAAAACAGCACAATTATTTTCTTGATTTTTTATATCTTTGTTAGGAAAAATATCTTTATTATTTTGCATAGATAAATCATTGAGCTCTGATTCTGGATCACTGTCTTTTATGTGTGACTGCTTAATAATATCAAAAGAATAAATGTTTGAGTTAGATGAATGAGGTGCCTTACTGATAAATGATGAATCATTTGTTTCACTGGATGCTGTTGTATTTACAGATGAAGGTGCTGTATTTGCACCAGTTAAATCCTGTGATTGCTTTTGAGCAACCAAGTCTTTTTCTGATGTTTCAGATTCACTCAATGTTGAACAGCTCTGGTTTCCAGAAATTACTTCAGACATGCTGATTTCCATATCTGAAGACATGTTTTCTTCTGTCGTTGTGTCCAAGTTCGATGCTTTCAAATCAGTTTCTAGCATTATAGAGCCAGTTCCAGAATCTGATTTGTTTTCAATGTGATCTTCAATATTTTCTGGTGACTTTACTAATGAGTCTTTAATCACATCAGCTTTTTCTTCTGCAAAAGATAAGGGGTCTGATAAAGTTTCTTCTGATAAAGATTTTTCTGCAATAAATTTATTTTCTTCAGACACCAATTCTACAGAAGAAATTAGTGAGAAGCATGTTTCAAAACTCGGTTTCAATTCCTACAGAGGAAATCGAAAAATTCACATTAAAATTTTAAAACTGGCAATAAATTTATACAGAAATGCACAAACAAATGTAGAATTAAAAATGTAATGATACCTTTAGCAAGAACATTAGTAATCAAAACTTGGAACATTACAGCTATGAAGTTTAATTACCTTGTATGTTATAAATCAAATACGTTAATCTAAAATGAACGAAAATTTGTTTTTCATTTAAAAGACAGATCTTCAAAGATAATATACCACGAGAAGAATTATGCCTAATGTTCAGCAACAAGACTTTTGTTAATTAAAAATAAACAACTCCCACAAGTTAAATTGTTCCAGATCTTTCACAAGCCTTTATTATTTGAATGTCAAATTATGTTTAGATCCCGAGTAATAAAACAAAAGATTACACAAAATTTTCGGTGCCACAAACATAGTCATTCTGTTCTCATTATAAAGTTATACACCTTCTTTGATGTATATCACAGTTTTGAATACTTTTTGCTTGAAAGCATAAGTTATTTCAGAATGCACAAAATCCCACGCTTCGAAAGAATCACACGACAATTACATGCTATGCGAAACAATATACATTTTCTGCAGTATGGAGAAAGTAATGATCAAGGCTGAGAATTAATAAATATTTGTTTTGTTTGGTACATTTCTATCAAAACAAACTGTTTCATATTTTCAAGACAATAATTGATGGTTAAGAAATAAAAACAATGTAAATATTACAGATATACAATGATGTGACAATAAAATGCTTTACAAGCATAAGCTTAAAATACGAACCTTCTTTAACTTAGCATTCTCCTTCACATTTTCATTTGTTACAATTTCATCATTTCCATTACTAACAATTGAAGTCTCTGGAATAATAGCAGCTGAATCTTTATCAATGCTAGATGTCTCATTCTCCACAGCATCACTTCCATGCTCTGTACTGTTATCACTGATAACAGAATTGGATACAGTGGTGGCATCTGTATCATCAACAGAAGTTGCAGTGGATGGACTTTGAGGAGATGGCAGTGATTCGATAGATTCTCGCATCAATCTTCGTTTCTTCAAAGGTGTGGGCAACATATCTATCAAAGAAAAAAAAATTTTAAATACAAAATTCAGCAATATCCTGGTAAAATTATTGAGTTACAGATTTTTTAAAAACCATTTCATACAGTGTAGAGTAAAAATAAAAAAGTGAATTAAACACTGTTCAAAAAAATTTTAATCATAACTATAAAATAGTAACAACATACTGTAACACTGGAAATTACAATTTTATATACGGTATCAAACTGAGCAAGGTTATTTATTAAGTTGGATCTGATACAAATGAAATATCAAACACAATTTTTTTTCTGTATTTGATAAATCTTCTTTACATTACATAAAACAATGATAGAAATACCTTCTCCTGGTCCTCCATAATTATCAGAATCTCCATGGCAATTAGGGCTAAGACAACCATTGTCTAAGTTTGACGGAGGATCCATACTGCAATGATCTGATTTCTGTTGAATTTCACAGCCATGGCAGTCATACATTGCCTGTCTTAACCACCTCTAAAATAATTGAAAGCAAAAGAAAACTTAAATTAAGTTGGAACACAAAGAAAAAAAGCATAATTAGCATCTAAATAAACCATTTCTTTAAATTCTAAAGGAATAACAATAAAGTGTTAAAATTTGTTACATAAAATGAACACTATTAAAAACAAAATAAAAATATAGTTAACAAAAAAATTATGTATAAACCGAACACAAACCAACGAATCCGAATTGGATTTATCGGTTAACACTTCTTCAAATCACAATTTATTATAAAGAAATTTTTTTAAATTAAAAAAAGTATATATTGGATACTTATTGTTTTCACAAATAATACCAACAACAGGACTTGGATGTTTTACTATAATACAAAAAAAAATAAAAAAAATATTAGTACTTAAAAGTTGACTAACTTTTTTGGCTGAACCTGGGCCAGTACCAGGTTTCATTTGACCAGCTGAGTTACTCCGGCGAAGATGTGCAGCAGATATTCCAGATGAATGTGGGGCATCTTTCGTACAGCGCACATAACAAGTAGCAACAGCTGCTGACATGTTCCACTTCATTTCTGTGTGAATGGGGAGAGGTGATGATACTGGAGTGTTGTTCACAGCTTCAGACTTTTCTTGTAACCATTCATTCATTAGTGACTAAATAAATAATACATTTATAAACAAATTTAAAAACAAAAATTCATTAGTTTTTTTTAAACAGTAGTAAAATACTGTAGAAGCAATATATTTAATACAAACACGTTTGTGAAATAGACAAACTTTTTAGAACTATCAGCAATTTCTATCATTAGTGACGTGAATTGTTACTGCATTAATACTATCAAATAAAATTAAACAACTTAAACTTTTATACCTGCCAACCTCCATGTTTTAAAATACAGAAGATTCACTAAAAGATTTAAAGAAATGACTTAAAATGCAGAAGATTTTTCAGGCTTTCATTTTGTATTCCAAATTCAAGAATTCACCAGCATTGCAATAATTGGAATATAGTGCTCCTCAAGTAAAATATATATTACTCCATCAGGAAAAACAATGACTTAAAGTCTTGGAGAGTCCCTCCATCCCATTATTGGTATTGGCGGAGAAGTCCTGGGGGCTCCATTGGCATTTCCTGCAATAGAGTCAACCAGACGGCGCTGTCGAGATTTGCCAGTGGCCACCTGAGGAGTGGCTCCTTTTGTAATGGCAACAGGGTTTTCCCAATTTGTGCAAAGTGCGTCCCTGGAGCATATTCTGGCTCNAAATTCCCTGATAATTCCAGGTTTTCCAGGTGGGTGGCCACCCTGTGGAAAGTGCGTCCCTGGAGCATATTCTGGCTCGTCTTCACATTTCTAAAAACACTTTCGCGACGGACCCTTTGCTTGCCCTGGATTTTTTTCAGTATAGACAATATAGGGTTTTGAAACAATCAGCAAAAATAAACCAGAAATAGAGGTAAGATTAGATTCTTAACATTTTATGTTTTGGATCAATTAATAATCTTTAACATATATGAGGCTGAAGCATAGTGAAAATTGAAACTACAATTGTCCAAGGAAGACATGAGAGTACATTCTCAAACATGTATAAGTATACATAAGCCCGGTAGCAGAAACCCACCAGCACAGAAGCAAGAGCTGAAGAATTTTTTTTTTTAAAGCAAACAAGAGACTCCTTTTCAAACTTCTCATAACTTGTTTTGAATAAAAATTAAAAAGCTGAATCGAGAGAATAACACAGACAAAAAGTCAAGAATTTTTTTAACGGTTACTTGCTTCCAGGCTTAACTCAATATGAATTTACTCAATTATTACTATTATTTCCTTAGATTTCTGAGTAGAATTCAATTAATTCAAACAACTAAGTTTTTAAGTGCAATTTTTACACTAAATAGAGTTGAGGCTATGGAAAATTCTGGCACTGATAGAGAAAGATGCAGAAAGGTAAAGCCCTAAAAATGGGGCTAGGTACTTGGCCATGGTTAGGTGATATGTGAGTGAGATGCTGCAGATTAAACTCTATAAATTCTGCACCCAGGTACATAAGTACTTCAAAGTAAGTACAAAATTTCAAAATGCAGAAGATTTGAGGCTCAGTGCAGAAAATAGGTATAAATACGAAAAAGTTAGCAGCTATGAAATTTATGTGAAGTTTAAGTAAAATATATCAATATATTTAAAAAATATTCAAATAACTGTTATTAATTCATATGTTTCACATTCTATGTGTTTTATAAATAATTCTTAGGATTACAAAATTATAAAAGGAAAACATACCCGTTTTGTCTTTAACACATGAGATGAGGATGCAGTTGTGACAGTTGATATTGGCGATATTAAACCTGGTGATGATGATGCAGGTGGTGGTGATGACACAGGCACGTGAATGTTTTCAGTTAATGAAGAATTAATGTCGATTGATGGAGTGATTTTTATTGGCGAAGATTCGTCAAATGACATCAGATCAGATCCACCACTATTAGTTCTTGTCCGGCGCCGAGAAGGAGTTCCAGAACCTCTTCTTCTCTTGCTAAATATCAAAAGATAAATATTGTAATAAAACTTGAAAAAAATCCAATTGCTACAGAAAACTGAAGATTTTTCAGAGATTATCAAAGGTAATATTATATAACTTCAAATTAGGTAATGAATTAGAAATACTCTTAAATGATGATTAAATTATGATCCAAAAGCAAAAAAAGCTAATAATCATATGTTATTAACCTTTTTGCAAAAGAAAATGAAAAAAATAATTTTTAAAGCAAGAAAAAAGAAAGCAAAAAATGGGACTTATCAGTAAACAAATCTGCTAATGTAATAACCAGATTATAAATAAAGTCAGAAAATCAATAATTTGTAACACAGCATTAGATTTTTAAAATTTTTTCTTCTTCTAACTTTTACTTGTTAATCAAATTTTCCATAGATTTTAATTTATACTGCAAGCACAACAAAGAGGAAGCAATAACTTTGAAATGTAATAAAATACTTATTACAAAAGTCATAAGAAATAAATAAAAAAAATAAAAAAACTAACCCTTTCTTTTTGGGTGTTAGGGGTGCAACTTTTTCTTCCTCCTTAGGAATTACTTCAGATGTTCCACTTGTTTTTTCTTCTTTTTTTGGTTCAGATTCTGATTTGTCATCACAAGAATCTGATTTATGATGGTGTGTTTTTTGTTTTTCTAAAGCAAGTTGTTTTCTTTTTTGAGCTTGTTCCATCTTTTGAAAAGCACGCATAATAGCATCTATTTTACGCTCCTCTCTGGTCTGCTAAAAATATATTACATAGTTATATTACATAGTTTAAGCAATGTAATTAAGATAATTTAATACACCAGCATTTTGTATAGCCTACATAGATTAACTTACGCAATTATTTTTAAAATGAAATTTCTTAGATATCAGTATTATAGTGAAGAAAAAAAGTATACACAGAAGTCAAAGATATTCATCTCTTTAAATGTAGTTAATACATTTACTCATATTCATCCCTTTTCATTATCTCTTCTTATTCCCTTTACCCAGTGATTTATAAGTAAAATTACTTTTATTACCTTTCGTTTCCCACCACTAATTGGTTCTTCTGATTCAAAGTCTGAAGTGCTTTTTACTTCCGGTTCTTCTTTGATGGGAATAGGGGATTCTTCTACAGGAACAATCTAAATACAAGTAAAGATGAAGTGCAACAATGCATAAAAAAGACATAGACAAATAAATAAAGAACACAAAAGCATTTTTCACAAATTGCTTTTTGAAATATACAGAACATATTATTTGGTGTCACAGCAATAAAAGAAATCTATTATTTACAAAGAACGAAACACACAATGTAAAGCCTTCCATTTGTCTCAGTTTTACACCCATAAATTTTACAGAGAATATCAAAATTCATATCCAACAAGCAGGCATCCTGCTCAAACGTTTCACTCATTTTAAAATTAATTGTTACTTTACTTCAGTTCTATATTAAATTTTTTGATTAACTTTTAATTTATCCTTAGCTCAATTGCCAAACACACACATACAGATATATAGTCAAAATAATTTACTACATTTAAAGAAATTCTTAGTTAATAACTCAACTTAGAAATATTTTCACCCAATCTAAATTAAGTTGCAAATACCAATATAGATAATAAAATATTCATGCAATTTCTTGCTATTTATAGTAAATTTCACTGAAAACGGAAGTATAAATAAATAAAATTATCTTTATAGCAAGTCATTTATGGATAAAGCGAATTTTAATAACTTCATTTGCATACATTAAAATCTTTTTTTAAGAAATGTGCAAAAACAAATTTTTTCTGTGATAAAAAACACATCAAGTATCGATATAATATAATAGTATAATAATGCCAGACAAGAACACAGATGATTAATATTAGTAAAAAAAAAAATGTATAATTAAGTTGAAACTAACAGTATTTTTAAATTAATACACATCTTTTCATAACCTCTGGATGCATCATAATTTCATGACATACCCAGGAATTAATACTGGTATACAAATCAAAATATTGAGTAGTAAATATTTAATGAAGATCTTGATTTATACTTATAATATCTTTAATTAAAAATATAAACCCTAATTAAAAATTTAAAAAAAATTATTCATACATTAACATTAATACATTTTTACTTAATTCCAATATAATATAATCGTTGTGTCAGTGCAACACATTTGCATTAGAAAACCTTTAGATTTTGAGAAAAGTTAAGAACTTTTAGAATTCCAACTCAATTTCAGAAAAAACTTTTGGTAAATTTNTCCTCCCTTCCCTGCCTTCAAGGTCACGGAGGAAATGACGTTTCTCTGGGTAAACGGGGAAAAAAAATTTCCCCTTCCTTACATTTTCCTCTACTCAACTTCAAGGATGAGTCCAATTTCCGCTTTTATCGTTCTAGTTTAAAATGGCGGGAAATTCGAGCAAAATTTTTCCCGGTTTTCTGGATACCGGATAAATGGTTCTCTACTGTATCTTTAATTAAAAATATAAACCCTAATTAAAAATTTAAAAAAAATTTATTCATACATTAACATTAATACATTTTTACTTAATTCCAATATAATATAATCGTTGTGTCAGTGCAACACATTTGCATTAGAAAACCTTTAGATTTTGAGAAAAGTTAAGAACTTTTAGAATTCCAACTCAATTTCAGAAAAAACTTTTGGTAAATTTCAATGAAAATCCAGACTATATTTTACATATACCATGCTATTTTTAATCAGAATACTTTCATTCTTTAAAATTTTCTAATGCCAAATATCAAACGTTGTGAACAGTTAGACTAATGCGTGAAATTTTCACAGCAAATGATTGTAAGATGTTAAAATTATAAAATTTTAATCTCAATAATTGATTACTGTAACTGATAAATTTGAGGCCAGCTGCTTGCCAGGTACAATATAAGAATTTTCCAAGATTTTCTAAAAAAATTGCACTTTCCCCTGATTTTTGGAGTTAAAATAAAATTACCTGACCCATGGGAGCCCTGAATTTGTAACTTATTTTTATTAAAAAGAAAAAAAGCTGGAAATATCAATTTACCAAGGTTCATAACTTTCACCCCTAGTTTTTATAACAGAAATGATAATTTTCCCTGAGGCTAAGGTGCCAATTAATAACTCCAATTAATGATATGATTTCATATCATTAACTTAAACTAGAGAACTTGGCAATGAATAAAAAAAATAAAGTTTAATTAGATGCCACAAGCAATCTGATTTAGAAATTTATAATATTAATGTACAAAAAGAACTAGAAAAAAAAATATTATAAAATGAGTAATTGATATATTTAATAAATAAATGAATTTTAGAGGAAAACAAGTCCTAACCTTTAATATATATAAAAAAAAATAGTATGCTTTACAAGAAACAAAATTTATCAATAATAAAAATATAGCCATGGTAATACCTGATGTTCAATTGGTTCCGTTTTAATAGTCACTTGTTTAGGTTCACTCTTGATAGTCACTTGTTTAGGCTCAGTCTTGATAGTCACTTGCTTAGGCTCAGTCTTGATAGTCACTTGCTTAGGCTTTTCATTTGCTTCACTGATTCTTCTTTGATGTCTAGTTTGTTTCACCTCAACAGAATGATTGCTGTCCTCATCTGCTGTCATTGTTGACCGCCTAGTTCTGCGCCTTCTTTCCTGACTACGAATGTAAGAGGAAATTGTGAGACATTATTCAAATAATAAATAGCCTCAATTAGAGTAAAGGTATAAAAATATATATTTACCAAACTTCAATTGTACCATTCTTTTTCTTTGGTTTTACAAGACATTCTTCTGATCCACAAGAACATTCATAATCTTTTACACTAAATGTAAGTTATAAAATTATAGCATTAAATGAAGTCTCAATAAATAACATAATTGTTAACCAATTATTTACTACATTAGATTTGAAAAGGAAATACTTTTTATTATATCTAAATAAATTTTTTCGGCAAAAAATCTTACAATATTGAAGAGAAAACTTAGCAGAAATAAATGATCTAGAAATGAAAATACTACTGGAATATGAAACTGAAGCAACAAGTATGTATAATTGTAAAACAAATATACATAAATAATGTACATAAATTAGCAATAATGTATATAAATTAGCAATAACGTATATAAATTTGAGTTATAAAAAATACTGCAAAGCTCATATAAAATACATTAAATAGAAAAAAAATATCCTTCCTCTTACAATTCACATTTCTTAACACCACCCCCTTCCAATAAAATTATGAGTATAGCTCGTCTGTGATCTTTTTCAAACCATATAGGACAATGACAAACTGTAGTCTTCATGAGACTCAAGTTACTATCGAATATAATTATTTTTTTTTAAATAAAAATTAAATGGTTACTTCATGCACAATTTTTCAATATTAAATCCAGGCATGAAAGTGGACAAAAATAAAAAAAGCTGAACTTAGTCAATGCAGGCCACTGAGAGGAGGGGTGGGAGAGTGCTATATATGAGATTTATAAAAGCAACTTTTAATTATGCTGGGAGATTTTTATTTAATATTTAAAGTGGCAGAAGCATTTAGACAGTAAACTTTAAATTTTTCTTAAATATAATTTTAAAATTGTGACCACTACTATATTAAAAAAAATTAAGCAATTAAAGGAAGGCACAACTATTAAATTACTTACTAATGAAAAATATACCACATCTTTACTGTAACTAATTCAAGAGAAAACTTACTTCTACTTCGTTCAAGAATCGCGATATTGGATTTCAAAATCGCGTGAATATGAATCACGATATTAAATTTTAAAATCGCGTGAATATGAATCGCGATTTTGGATTTCAAAATCGCGATATTGGATTTTAAAATCGTGTGAATATGAATCGAGATGCATAATTTTTAGATCACGTGAATACAAATCGCTATTTTTGGATTTTAAAATCGCGCGAATATGAATCGTGATGAATAATTTTTAGATCACGTGAATACAAATCGCAATTTTTAAATAGCGTACAAATAAGAAAAACGAAATCTGATATTACAACTGCGTGATAACGAATCGCAATATTGGATTTAAAAATGCGTGAATACGAATCGCGATGTTGGATTTTAAACTCGTGAGAATACAAATCGCAATATTGGGTTTTAAAAACGCTTAAATACAAATCGCGATATTGGATTTTTAGATTGAGTGAATAGGAATTGTTAGTTCGGCTTCTAAATCGCAATATGTAACTTTTAAATCAGTTAAATACGAAAATCGATGATTGATATTAAAATCATCTGATTAAAAATTGCGATTTTAGCAGATTCCGGTGCAATTCCTAACATTTAAAATTCCGAAAATCAGCCAAGCAAAAAAAAAAAAAAAAAAAAAANGATGGCCAAAAAAAAAAAAAAAAATCAAATATCGGTGGTCGGAAACGAAATGCTTATTCTCCTTTCCACTCTATAGCGGAAGTCGCGGTAACCCGACTATCGTTCGGGAGGCTTGGGTTCTCTAATTGGACTCACCCAAAATTTTAGTTCTTGGAACAGGGTCGGAAATTTAAAAAATTGGGAGAAAAAAGTGGATTTCCGCTTTTTTGCGGAAGTCTTTCATTCCTGTAAATCTTACCTTAAGGAATTTTTTTAATTCTTTTTCATAAAAAGAACACAATTTTTCAATATTTTAACACTTTGCCGACAGATGGGAAGGTCTTCCTGTTTTGCAATAGCTAGTTATTATACTTTTCAGGCTGCATTTTTTGTCCGACATTCATCAGGATTTGTAATTAATTTACCAAATATTACACTCAATATACTAGTACCATAAAGCAGGTAACTATATTTGAACAAATTCTTTTAAGGGAAATATATAATAAGGTAAAATAAAAATAAAAAATCTTTATATATATTTAATACATAAAAAATAACAATCATTAATAGAGAATTATGTTAATTATTAACATAATACCAAACACCTTCTTAATAAACATCAGTCATCTTTAAGCCTCAAAATATACCTTAGTTTTCTTACATATAGCAGGGGTGATGATAGTGACTCAAAGTGAAAAACTCTGAAAATTTTGTGTGCTAAATATGGATATCAAGAAATTAATTTATATACAATACACATTTCATATTTAACATAATTTTTTTGAGCAAAGATAATTAAATACCTTGAAGAATACCTATATATTAACTAAATTTAAATAAAACAAACTTAATTCTGATAATTACGACATTGTATTTTTATAGAACGCAAAAATACAAACCACAACATTGGATTTTTCGCAATTCGAAGATTTTAAATCACGTATAAATACAAAAATCAATATTTGATTTTACAAATGCGGAAGAACGAATCAAAATATTGGCTTTTTAAAATGTGTGAATGTGATTCACAATGTTGATTCTAAAAATGCTTAAACCTGATTCGCAATGATTTTAAAAGCATGTGAATATGATTCAAAATTGCGTAAATACATGACGTGAAGTATGCTAAATAACGCGAATATGAGCCACTATGTATGGTTTTTAAATTGTGAGAATAGGAATTGCAAATTTTAAATTAGGTAGATACGGAAATTTATGTCGGATATTAAAATAGCATGAAGAATCGCAATATCAGCAGAGTTTGACGCAGTTCTAAGTAGTCAATTGGCCAAATCAAAAATTTTGTTGGATTACAAGTTTTTGATTTGCAGAAGTCCGTAACCTTATGTTCTTTAGTTTCACAGAACACCGCAATATTCACAAAAAATAAATAAAAAAATCAAGTCCTGTTCCTAGTTTTAAAACCTAGATGGATGATACGTAAAACCCGGGACACAATCACCCCTGATATAGAAATCAATAAAATCAGAAGATTTAGGTCCTACTTAACATAAATTTTTTTACACTCATTAAAACTATTTAAATACATTTCATTATTATAAACTTACCTATAGATTTTACAAAATGGGGGTAGGTACTTAATATTAGAGAAAAAATATACATACCTTTAGTTTAAGTAACAGAAAATAATAATGATAAAAATTTAAAGTTCCATTTAAATTCATAGAAACTTACACTTTCCTTTTGCCAAAAGAGACAGCTGCCTTACTTAAAGAAATTAAACTTTTGGAGTTGCCTAGTATAACAGTTGTACCCTAAATCTTTTTCTTTTTTTTGTTACAAAAGTGTTTGATACAAGAAAGATAAACATTTTATTATTATTTGCTATACCGTATTTGTTTCAAATTTAAAATAATATGTCTCTGAACATAACACTTCTCTTAAATATTTATACAAAAAGATTTAGAGTACAACTGTTGTACCAGCAGTCTTCAAAAAGTTAAAAAGCAGTAAATTACATATTAGATATAAATGTGTTTAACTATTAATGCAATATATCTTTACATTCAATTGATCTTAATGATTTGTGTAAATGGAAAATAAATCAAAAATTTAAATATCTCACCTGTCACTTGGATGAATTATTAGAGGGATTGTTACTTCATCTTCTCTAAATATTACTCTAGTGGATCTTAAGTATAAGTGCAATTTTCCATTGTACATCATATGTCGGATCTAGAAGATAATATAAAACAATTAAAGAAACAGCTAAGAAAAATTTCCAGAACACCCTAATAACATTCCCTTTCAATGAAGGAACTTAATAAAAGATTTTGAATGAAAATCTCACAATTACAGTAAAAAAAATATTGGTAAATAATAATACTCTGTTTAATGTTCAGAAGCAAACAACTTGGAAAGAAATAACATTTTTTGATGTACTTTGAAAACTTAAATGAGTTCACAATCAATTCATAATTGCTCTGATAAATGCATAATAAAGTTCAAAACTTCAGCAACCTTCAACATTTTTTAAACATATTTAAAATGGCAAATTAAAATAATGAGCTAATTACCTAAACTTTCTGCATTAGTTTTGACAGCACACATTATTTATAATGCCATAATCTTTTCACATGGTTCCAAATCAATTTCTGAAATTTATTCCACTAAATTTTCAACAAAATTTAGATTTCATAGGTAGATTTTATAATACATAAGCATATTCTCCATAAATAAAAGTACATGTCCATTGCACAAGGAAAAAAATTTATCTTACAATTACTTTAGACAAGATTACAATTCAAGCTACAATTACAAGCTTAGAGAATAGTATCGATGAACTACAAATGTAGTTATAGTTAACAAAATGCGAAACAAGATTTTGTTGAATACAGAGTATTTTATACATACATTCTTGTTTTAAAAAAGAAACAACACAAGAGATACTTGGCTTATTTACTTAGAACTTCACTATATATTGTTACTGTCACTTTTACGATTGGTTACAATCATTTTCTAGGTTTCCAGCTAAAACAAGGCGTTCTCTAGCAATTTCAAGTTTTCGCTGAGCTTGTGTAAGTCATATGACACTACTCGGTTAACAGTAAAATTTTATAAATAAAGATTTAGCAAGGTTCAAACCAAGCATAGCTAAATGTGAACTTTGGTTAATAGGGATTAAGTTAATTTTACTTAACTTTATGCATAATCGATTGTAACATATTTTCATAAATAATGATAAGCCAACTGAATCAATCGTTATACCTTTAAACCAATATGTTTAAACTATTATTCACATATTCTATGCTCATATTTTCATAAAATAATGTGGCAAAACACAAATTGATATATAAATGACATGCATGATAAAAAAAACATAATCATGTAAAACACCTACTTCAGCATTAGGTTTACAAGATCGTCTCACAAATCTAGCATCATTCCCATACATGGAAGCATCAACACAGACACTTTCTTGGTCCAATAGATAAAATAACACATACGGATAAAGCCTGAAAATATAGATTTTCTCAAAAAACACAAAATGACATTTTTATATTAATTACAAACAAGCAAAGGAGAATAACTCTTTTACATGTATAACAAAAATAACATTTAGGTATTGAGTGTAATTATAAAATAATATATTAAAACATTCAGTTACTATTTTTGTGTAAGCATATTTATGAAATATTCATTAAAAACATTAATCAATCATTAAAAAAGGTTTCCATGAAATACTTTTAATTCAAGGCTTTGATCTCTCTTTTTTTTTTTAAGCTATGCCTAACATGCAAACTCATTTTGAAAGATGTGATTAAATTTAAAAAACATTTTTTGCTAAAGTAGTTCATATATTTTAGTTAAAAAATATAATTGTTTTTTTTTTGTTTAAATCCTGTAAAAAAATTTAATTCAAAAATAATAACTTATAGATTGAATAAAACATACTAAATAGTTATCACTGTTAGATCAAAAATCTAGGAATAAAAATCAAATGTATCAGCTGGGATTAGAGCTCTCAATATCTAAGGAAGAAAGTAGATAGCTTAACAGTTGCACAAGTCCAAAGGAGTCCATATCATATAATTTTATAAGTAATAAACTAGATCTTTAAAGAGGCATCAGTAGAGGAAATTTTTTTATACTACCCAAGTTTGGAACCATGCTCTTCAATTTAAGATAAGTTTCGTTTCAATATAGATTTCGCAAATGCACTGAGGGCAAATAAATAAATGAAACATTTGGAATAAATTTTGATCTAATAATCTGATTTTCCCGTATTATAACTTAATGGTTTGAGGGTTACCTCAAATATCCTAATTAATTAGTGGTGATGATAAATTAAATCACGAAATCAGACACAAAAACCTACTATCTCTGAATAAACATACTTTTGTTTCTAGACGGATTTGTATTTTTGACCTCTTATAGAGGACGAAAGTTTGGACATTCTGAATGTTAATTTTTGCATACCTTGCTACATCTCAAGAATTTTTTTTGTTTATGCAAATTGAACAGTTTTTGCACACAATTATAAAATTAATTTATACAAATTCCATGCAAAGAATAATTATTTCATTTAATAATAGTCGAAAAATTTGAATTGTTAAAAAAAAAAAATTTCCACAAAATTAGTCAAATAGTTTCATGAGAAATTAAAATTTAAAAAAGTTAAGATATTTAACATTTGATTTCAAGAACTATTCAACAAATTTTGTTCACTTCCCTTATTTTACGATCTATTAACTATTTAATTAATTAAAATACTGCATTAATTACCGTCTGTTATATAAAGGATGAATATCATGAAACTGTGAAGCCAGTAAAAATTTTCCTTTGTATTCAATAAGAGGAGAGTTTCTTGGCAAATCTCGAAGGCAAACCAGCTGCTTCCTTTTCCCGTCATCATAAGCATGGCATTGTTTTGTACGCATTTGCTCAAGGAAACGTTTTTCAAAACCCTAGTGAGAATTAAATACCAAATAAGTAAACAAGTTAAATATTATTTATTTAAATTGCTCTATATGTATTAAATATTCACCTGAGTACTTAATGACCTAGCTATATGCTGAATCTCTGGAGTGTATTGGTTATTTATAGCATCTTCAAAGTTTTTTTCACACCACTCTAGACTGTACTCCCAAGCATCTTGAGCTTCTTCATCAGCAGTGCTGGTGCTTTCTTTATTTTTACCCTGCAACAAAATAAAATTTGTAGCTAAAGATTTTACAAATTTCTGCAACTAAATATTTTACAACTTTCTACATTTAAAGCTTTTACAATTAGATAGACCTAAGTACAGGCATAACTTTTACAATTAGATAGATCTAAGTACAGGCATACATCTCGTTTAATAACTAGTCATACAATTGTTATAATTTTATGCATTATAAAAGTTTATTCAAATACAGAAAAATAAGTGCTTAACCTACTTAAAGTGCTAGGTATTTAGTTAAGTATTTAAATTTCCTTTAAAAAAAGCTTTAAACAAAAGTAATAATTGAAATTTTTTTATATTAAATAAGATGGCGAAAAATTATTTATTATCAAGGCAATTGTTTAGTCCTTAGGTAATTTGTACAGAATAGAAATATAGTTATATTACCCTCCGCAACTTGGATCTTTTAGCTTCCATTCGTTCTCTTCCATGCTATAATAGAAAAATTAAGAAATTTTATTTTATTTTTAATTGTTATATTGATATTTTTGATAATTTCAAAAATGGGACATACTTTTTTAGATTTTTTTCTTGTTGTAGAATGCTCATTCGTAGCTGGTGTTCCGTTATCCTCCCTTTTCCTACGTTTACTTCGAGTTTTAGGCCTACGATCTGCATTTTTATTTAAAACATCATCACTATCAGAAGAATCTGAAATGAAAAGAAAAAAAAATAATAATTTGACAACCATGAATATTTGCATCAAATTAAAAAAAACATAACATAACATGATAAAACAAAAATAGGAACACAAAGCATGATAATCAGGGGTAATTGTGACACTAACTGTATAACTCTGAAAATTTCATGCGCAAAAAATAGATTTATATGGTATATCAATTTATATACCATACATCTTTCATATTTAAAATAATTTTTTAACTAACATTTTTTAATTAAATTACTTGCTAATGATATTACACCTATATAGTAAGTAATTCAGGAAAAAACTTATTTGTTACAAAATTTTAATATTGGATTTTAAAATCACAAGAATTCGGATCTCGATACAGGATTTTAAAAATGCAAAAATACAAATAGCAACATATATTTTTTAGATAGCGTAAAAACGCATTACAATGCAGTCTTTTTAGACCGTATGAATACGAATCGCAATGCCTAGTTTTTAAATCAGAATATTTTGTTCTAAAATGATATTTTCTGAATAAATATGATTTAATTTGAACAGTTAGCAGCTATGTAATAGGCACAAATATTTGAATAAATGTAAAAAATTGATAGACACAAATGTTATATACAGAAAAAAATTTATAAGCATAAACAGTAAATGGGAATAATTAAAATAAATATAAGTTATAAGTTAAAGATAGATGAAAGAACATTATTAATGAAATCTAAAATGTTATAGAAAACGGCTTACAATTGAAGCGCTGCAAATTTGAGGAATCTCGAAAATCAGATTTATGAACAGACCCCCAATCATCAGAATTATGTCCAAGAGATTTCTTTTTAAAATCCTTCCCAAAAATTCGATTATTAAAGTTTGGTTCTTGTTTTAAAGACGTTGAACCTTGAGGTTTCACAGCTGCAAGTAGAAATATATATATATTATTTTCAACTTACATATATAATGTGTGATGTAAATTGAGAGTTGCAAGTTTAAAATGACTTACCAGTTAAAGAACCTTTCTTTCTTGATTGTAAGAGCTTAGCCTTGTGGCGATCCAATTTTCTTGGTTCACATTTATCACATAAATAGGTATCTGGTATGTTGTTCCGGTCCAGACCCATACAATCAACATGTTGCCAGACTCTAAAAAAGTAACGGAGATGATTACCAACTATTGCACTAATATAAAATAATTTTTTTCTAAAAATCTTTATATACTTACAAGCAATTATCACAGCTAATCATATATTCATCATCATGCTCAAAACCACTGAAATAATGTATTTTTCATCAGAAACATTTAAAAATATATTATGAAAAAAAANAAAAAAAAAAAAAAAAAAAAAAAAAAAAAAAAAAAAAAAAAAAAACATAATTCTACTTGTTCGAGAAAATGCTATTAGACTCATGAAAAAAAGTTTGTTAGCTTTGAGAATTCCTCCAGATTAAAAAAGTAGGGGGCTGTCTGCTGCTATGGTAACAAGCTAGAGTACATTTCTAATGAGGGTGCAATGGAGGAATGAAGATGTCAATTGGTTTACTCAGTTTCATTTCATTTGTTTTGTTGTTAGATTCATTTGTTTTATTTTCATTATGATCTAATCTATTTTTGCGTTTAACATGTGGGGGGGGGGTAGAGAGAGGTAGTTTTATTATTATTATTTTTTTTTTACACGTGTGTTATACATGCGGTAATTATTTTATTTTATAAAGTTATTTTTTGGGCTAGAACTTAAAGCTTTGCAATGTCATTTTTATATTTATTATTTCTAAATTCTCACAATATGGTTTTTCTTTTGGCACTGGTTTTCTTTTATTAATTTTGTTATGCTTTTCTTGATTGTTTTTCAAAATTGTATACACAGCACAGTCCCATTCGAAATGACTTTTTTCACGCCATGATGACAGAATAATGTCTGGAGGAATTCTCTTGAGAGCTGCACTATACACAGGAATGAAATTCGGAGAACTTTTTTTATGCATTAACTCAGAACCTTAAATAATTAAGTACCATAATTATTGTGATGGTATTAATTTTCATAGTACATCAAATGCAGATTAGAATCTCATATATATATATATNATATATATATATATATCAGTTAAAATAAATATACAAATCATATTCAATCAATAAATCAGTTAAATATATATATATATACACATAAATAAGTTAAATTATAGCTACCTTTTTATAGGAGTAACTATTTCCACTTAATTAAGGATCCTTATGAGCAAAATTTTAATTTAAAAAAAAAAAATTCACAAATTTTTATTTTTCACCTGCAACTAATTAATGGCTTTACTGGGTATATAGGGTACACAGAGTTGCATAGTTTCAGAACAACTGATTTATACATTGAACAATTGTCTCTTAAAATATTCATGACAATAATTTTTTGTGTTTCCGATTTCAAAGCTGACTAGCTTTATTAGCCACATTTGAGTTAAGAATAAAAATTTCAATTTAGTATAAAAGATTTTTTTTTAAAAAGATACAAGGGACAATCGAGTATTTTCCAAAATTTTCTCAATGCCCAGGCTTAGTGTGATTTTTACTGGAACAAAATAAATTACGTATATTAATTGTTTTACTTAAACAACCAAGATGTTTAAAATAATCTGCCACTTATTGTTTTTGTATGAGATATATTTTTTCTATTCCACATCATTTTCCTCTATTCTTCATACAGATTGTCTTTAAAGCAAGAGGAAACTAAAATTTATCTAATTGTTTTAATAATAGAACAGCTGACTATTGTTTTAGCAAAACATTTCAAATTATTTAAGATTCTTAAGGATAAAAATTAGTAAATAAAAACTGAAACATACCAAATGCAACGAGTAACACTTTCCTCTTGAACTTCTTCATTTGTAGAATTGGAAATAACAGAAAGAGTAGTATCTTCATCTGGAGGAATAGGTACTGATAAGATAGGTGACGGACAGGGTGAACAACTAGGGGGAGTTGGTGGAGGAGGAGCACCATAATTATGATCCTATATAATAATAATTTTTGTTAAAACTTATCCAATCAAGTTGTCAATATGTGCGAAAATGCACAAATCTTTGGTACCGGCACCATCATAATGAAAAAAAATTTCCAAAATAAACATTCTAAACACATTAAATTTATCAAATAAAAACACAAACTGTAAGTTTAAAATGCATAATAAAAAAAGAAATAAAAAGAATCAAAACAAAGTGAAAACCTCTATTTTTTTATAATTACACATTGAATTATTCTTGAATATAATTATTCATATACATTATTATAAATCATTTCGGCGACTAAAAATCCTTCATAGCTTTTAAAGTGTAAACAAATAAGTCTAAGTCATTACCATTTTGCAGTGGCCGCCACATAATTTTATTTAAATAAGAATTCAAGTGTTTGGGGGCAGTTCCGCGGTATTGGTTTAATATAAAATCTGCGGTTATTGGCGCAGAAGCTACTTTTAGGCGAAAATAGTCGACAGGTTAAAAGTACACATTCCTTAAAATAGCAAAAATTATAAATTAAACAATTATTTATCTAATTTTTTTAAAACATATAGAACTTATCAAAAACTTTTTTTAGAGATTAAATTATCTTTACAGATTTTTAACACCTTGACATTAATAAAGTTAAAAATTGAAGACATATTAAAAGTTAAATGGAAAATTTTTTTTAACAATACATGAATACAAATTATTTAAAAATGTCTACAAGTAGCAATTACTTTACGTAATTGCTTAGTTAATTTTACATTTTAAGAGATGTAATTCTCCTAAGTACTCTCTAAGGTAATGCAAAAAAGCAAAATGGCCTATTTAATTTACAATCCATAATTAATATAAAACAACACAATGCACAATAAATCTCACCTGATATGGTAATCCAAAACAAGTATTTGTGTGATTACTAGAGTATCTCACTTCTTTTAAAGTGGTAGAAAATACTGAAGAACTGGCAATATCTAAGGAATTTTCATCATCTGTCATGCCTGGTACATTAGAACGTCTAAAATAAATATAACAATTTATAAGAAAAAATCTGAAAAACAGAAGAAAAAATATGACATATAATGCATTAATAACTAAACACAATAGATGAGCAATAAACTATCTCTTACGAGCAAATATAGATGAAAAAGAAAATATAAAGAAACTCAAATTTAACTGGTATAATTATTTTATCCTTCAGCTGCGTACCAGTTAAAGCTTGGCCAAAATCTCCAAGTTCCAATGCTTGCTTCTTCAAATTCTGCAGACCCATTCTAACATTTTAATAGTCCCCCCCTCAAAAAAAAAATTAACTAACTTTATAAAAGACAACACTTCAAAGGTTACAATTAACAAGTTCAAAACAGTTAACCAATAAAATATCCTTCTCAATACATAAACTTAGTAAATGTTTTGGTATAGAAATTTTTATCACACTTAGCAAATGGATATAAACTCACATTCCCCACCCCCCAAAAAAAAGAAAGAAAGAAAGAAAGAGTGAAGCAAATAAATAAATGTTTAAACACTTTTTTTAACATAATTTTAAATTATCAAAGAATATGATAACTCTTAAAAGATAGGGTCTTATTGTTATAGTATAAGACTCTCAACCACATTTTCAATAAAAGTTAAATAAAATTTATATTATGCAATGTGTTATCTTTAAAAAAAAACTTTTAAAGTTTGAAAAATAGTTCAAACTAAAGCTCGATTAAAAATTTTTCAAGATCAAAAGAAAACGAACCAACCAACAAGATAAAATTTTTTTTCAAAATAACTATCCTCTCAACAAGTTTTTATCTAAATAAGTTCAAAATTAATCAGGTAATTTCCCTAAAATAATCAAATTGATAAAATTATTTTAAGATGATAAAGCCAAAGACAAATATAGATATTTACAATATATTAAAATCCTTCCATTAAAATAAAATAAACTAGCATTTATTTTAATTTGAAATTTAGAGATTATGATGATTCCACAATCATTCATTTTCTACATGAAAAATATAATTTTATTAGGAAAAAATAAAAGATTCATACTCAATTCCTGGGACCATTTCCAGCTTCACATTTCTCTTGGGGTGACATTGATTTGTTGAAGAAACAGCAATCCCAGATTGACTAAATGCAGATGAGTTGAACTGAATAATAATACTCATTATATGCTACAGGTTTAGAAAACACTGCAGCCTTTTAGACTCATAATACTAGCAGCATATTTTGGGGGTTGCATGTCATTTCCTTAAGTCTTTTATCTCGTTTCTTAGCTCGATCACGATAGAACTCTAAAATACTGAGATGAACTTGGCTCTTTGAGCATCTTGGGAACCAATCCAGCATGGCAGATTTATAAAACAACTGAAATGAATAAGAATATTGACTGAATGAGGCATGATTACTTATTGGTAAAAAATGTAAGCAATATTTGTAACAAAAATTGACACCTCTTATTAACCATACCAAATGTAAATTACATAATTAGTTACCTGTTTTCGTCACTAAATTTGGAGAAAAAATAAATATTCCATGGAGTTCTGTTCAATTGCCTTACAAATTTCATATTATGAATTTATATTATAACACACACATATATAGCATAATAATAACGCGCTTGTTTTAATATTTTGTAATCTGGCAATCTTGTTACGAAAATATTTTAAATCATTCTTGAAAAATTTCCTGTTCATTTGAACTCACTACTTGCTTTATAGATTTCGTTTTATGTTTCATTCTGTTTTACTTTATATTTAATTTTTTGTTTTAACATGAAATTTTTACTTAAATGTGCTTTATTTTATTAGTTGTAAATTTTTTGAGTGTCCTCACATTATTGCATTGATATATTTTGCTTTGGTTATATTGATACAATATTAGAAAGCATTCTTTTTTGTGGACATAATCATGTGAGCTGATGAAAAGATTATATCTTTTATTTTCTGGATTTTTATCATTTTTCTGTAATTTTTTTATGTTTGCTCTACATTTTTAACACACACACACATATATATATAATATATATATATGTGTGTGTGTGTATCTTATTAAAACAGATAAAAAGAATTGCGGCATTTCTTGCAAAAATTGTGTTTTAACTTGGAGAAAAAAATTTTATACATTATTTTTTTACTCAACAAACCGAAATATGCTATATTTGTGGGCTTAACCAGGTTGTTATTTTGTTCAGTTAAATTTGTCCCCCTTTTTGGAATTAACACCATAAGCTGAATCTTTCTGAAGGGAAAAGCAAGTTGCCACCTTCCCCTCATACAAACAAGGCAGTTTAAAAGGACCAAAAATAAAAACCTTTTTGAAGAAAAAGAAAAAACTGTTCAAAATCATTTTGATTTGAAATTCAAAGATTTATTTCATTAAAAGTGTAATATATTCAGATATGTAGCTCACAATAATATATATGGTTTATAATGGAATATTCTGTCCTAAGTTTTTTTTATTCTTTATCTGCTCATTATTTTACTTAGAGCTTAAGTAAATGCAATTCCATTTTAATTAAATCTGTAAGTCTTATTATTATTTTTTTTTAATGTGATATTTGCAGTGCCCTCACTAAACGCTTTTAGAAGGGAAGTCTGCCTTGCTTGCTCTTTGCCCTCTGTCCTTTTTCTTCATATTCCATTTTTAAAAAATTTATTTACTGTTTAAATAATAATTATACCATGGCAAAATAATTTGTGTTCATAGGTTTGATTCAAATTACTATACAAATATTTACTTTGTTAGGATTAATCTCAACCAGGGTTGGCAAGGTTTAGGACAGAATGGATTAATCCACGGTTTAAACCGTGCTGTCCANATAATGTTTTATTAATATTGTTTGAATCTTCAATTTAAACAAAGGAAGATTAATCAGTAATCAAGTTCAATTGGTCCTCTCATTCAATAGTACATAACTGAAGTTTGGCCTTGCCATACAGGTTAAAATATTAGGGACTAAGTGCTTGGTTCGTCATAAACAGGTTTATTTATCTATAGTACTATTCAAGAATACTTTTATTTCATTCATGTTCAATTCTTTTAGCATAGTGGTGATACATCACCAGTGTCAGTAACTGAAACTGACTTTATGCCCTTCAAAACTGTTAATACATTTTTTAGTTATTTTGTATTTTCAATTTAAACTAATATATTTATATCTAAGAACATTTTTTTTAAAAACAGATGTCTTTTTCATCATCCTGTGATGCTGAAATTATAACATTTTTTTAAAAAAATATTGTGAAAAATAAAAGGGTAATTTTTGAACAAATTTAGTATTTTTTTTTAAGAAAAATTATTATTTTTTAATATTGCCATATTTATCCTTATGCAAAAATATTATTTATCAGTATTAAAAGCATATTTATATTTAAAGGATTAGGTATTCACTTTTGTTGTTCAATGAATTTTGGAGCTTCAAAAATTATAAACCTTTTCCTATTATATTATATTATTTTCTTTTAATAAGTTATAGTAGATTGTATAAAAAATATCAAATATTTATTGATACATGTAATTATTAAGTGTACAATGGTTACACCTATAGAATTTTTACCTTTTACCAAAGTTCAAGGTTTAAGGCAGTTTTATCCAGTTTAGGACAGTTTTACCCAGTTTAAGACAGTAAAACCCATGTGTCCTGTCCAAAACCCCAACCCTGATCTCAACTCTTTGTAAGTATTTCTTTCTTTAGGGGAAGGGGATATAATTTTTTTTAAATGGTCCTAATTTTTAAAATTTAAATGCTTATTTTCTCCTAATTTTTAGTTTAAATTATTAAAGTTTATCAATTAAGAATTTTTTTAGTTTACTTTTCTGAAAAAATTTAAAGCCCAGAGATAGTCTATATTAGCATGCCTTTAATTATTTTCATAAACTACAAATTTTTCGAAATATACATGTATTATAAGAGGATAATTTAAATAGTCTTGAGAATCAAATTCAGTTATTAGATGATACATTTCAATAAATTTTCACGGTGTCGAATGAGTGCTTCTTCGAACCTTGTAGTGCCTTATGAGAGGCAGTGTCCTGCCCTTTTTTCATTCCTAAGAACTCTGATATTTGTAATCATTTGAAATAAACCAAAATGCATTAATTTATTGTAAACATGCTTATAAGTTAAGAGTTTTTAAATTTGCTCTTACATGAATAATCCTAATTGACAGTGTATGAAATTAACAATTATAGAACTGTGACTAATGAAAAAATTGTTATCAACTAAAAAAACCAATTCAAATTCTCCAAAAGAATTGTTATCTCAACTAAAAAAAACTAATTCAAATTCTCCAAAAGAATTATTTTCCCATAAATTTTCTTGGAATAAGCTAAGAAAGTTTCTAAAAAAAATTTTTTTTTTTTCTCAAAAAATCTTGTTAAATAATTCATTATGTTCAACTACAATTAAGAGCATAAATGGGAAGGTCTTCTGAATTTTTTTTCCAGTGAGAAGGGAATTCGTTATAATGATACCAAACATTTTTCTAATTATAACAGGCCTTCCCTTTTCTCTGTTTTTAAGAATTAGTGATTAAAAGTCTCTTCCCTTTTTTAATAACGCTATAATGATACATTTCTGTAAAGACATAGAAAATTGCAATCGTGGTTTGAAATTATAAATTTATCAAAACAAAATAAATAAAATTTCAAAAATAACGTCATTAATTTTTAAAGTTCAAGCATTCATTTTTAAGCAGTTATTTTGAAGGAAACTCCGTAGGGAGGGGGAAACAAGAGGTCATACGGGTTATGTTAAAGCCACCTCGCCTTGATTCAAACACATCCATGCATTCATACACAAGAAAGCGCAAACGAGTTTCCGCGGGGAGTAATGGGGATCTACTGCGCATCAGAAGTGGAGAAAATCTATTGGGGGACATCGTTAAATAAAATCATATAAAAATTGACAAGTCTTTCGACGTTTTAAAATCGATTTTCTGAAACGCGGGAATATTTAGAAATAAAATATTCGAATTTCACTCAGAAATCGATACTTGTTCAGTAAAAGTAAATTGGCAGGTAATGCAAAACTCGGTATTCATATTTTTTATAAGGAATACCAAAAATAAAACTATTTCTATGAAGAAAAAAATTAGTCACTACTAGAGTGCCTGTATTTTTACTCTAGGCTCTCTAGTCACTACAAGTTAATCATTATATACATCAGAAATGTTAGAACGAACAGTTATATAAGCCACGTATTCTCGGAATCGTTTCCTCCTTATCAACTTCAAGTTTCTATGTTTGAATAAAATACGAAACACCTAATCTCTATGAGTAGAGAGAGAAAACTTTTTAAACTAGTTTTATTACTTTTCTTATAGAAATCACCGTTTTTTTTGTTGTTTTTTTTTTAAACCATGAGGAAGATTTAAAAGATTTTTTCAAAGAGTAACGATAATTTTAATATATGCCTGTGAATAAGAATTAAACATATAAAATTTAAAGTAATCTTTGTAAATTAAAACCGAAAAATTAATCAAGCTATTAAAGGAAACCCAAAATCAATAGTAAAAGTACTTTGTTAAAGAGATATGCTACTGCAAGACGAAAAATCACTAATTTCAAAAGTAACAAGACTTAAATAAAGATAAGATAGCTTGAAAACAATAGGATTAAAAACATTGGCAGTAAATTCATCCGTCTGAGTAAATCACACAATTTAGAGAAGGAAAAAAAAATTATCAGACAAAAAAATTATCGAAAAAAACTTTTTGTTGATAACGATTTGAACTCCTTGAACTCAATCAGGTTAAAAAATTTCTTTTAATATCAAAATATTTCGCTCACGAGTGCATTTACCAAGGGTTTACACAACCAGTGGAAAATTGCTATCTCCTAAATAAATAGCGAATATAGCAAATTCGCTTTGGCGTCTGTTAATGACATATTTAAAAATAAATAAAATACTTTGGTGCGAGGAGTTCATTTCGGAATGGGTCTAAAGCTAAACGATATCAGCAAATAAAAATTATTAATAAAATAATGTTAAAAATTATTAATTAAATTAAAATATTATGAAAAAAACCGTTACGTTTCATTTAACATATCTATTTTCCGAGTACAGGTTTAAAAAAAAAATTGCTTGTTAGTATATTTAACTTCTCCATTGCTTGTTAGTAATATTTAATCTTTCTCTCTTTTTAAAGGCTCATATTAGGTTAGATAAGAAAAATCTCTGTTCTTTAGACGGCTTCGTGCAAATAAAAAGGATCCTCTTTTCTTAGAATCTTATAACTTCTCATTGAGCCGCGATGGCTCAGGGGATAGAGCGTTCGTCTTCCAATGAGGTGAACCGGATTCAAATCCCAGCAATGACTGATCGATACGATTTCCGCATCCAGCTTGCACCAACCACAGTGCTGACGTGAAATATCCTCAGTGGTAGACGGATCATGGGTTAGAGTCCCTTTGCCGTCAGACTAACTGTAAGAGGTTCTCGTTTTCTACCTCTCCATGTAACGCAAATGCGGGTTAATTCCACCAAAAAGTCCTCCACAAAGGCAAATTTCTTCCAATACTTGACCCAGGAGTTCGCTTGTCTTCTGGACTGGGTTCTAAATTAACAAAGCTAAGTAATTGAACATTATTAGTCGTAAACCTAAAAATTGGGTCGGAGGTTCAAAGACCGTTAGAAAACAAAATAAAAATTTCGCTTTGTTAAAAAAAAAAGAAAAAGTAAATGACTGCCTATGTACGTAAAATCGAAAGTATATGTTACTATTTACTTAGTAACACATTCTTCGACAAATAAAAAGGTTCGTGCTTAGGAAACCGACTGATGGCGATAGCAGAATAAGTTAATATCAAGTTAAAGAAAAGAAAAACTAATCCGTAAGTAAGCCTATACCATAAATTTAATAGTAACAAATACTTATTATATTCAAAACTTAATTTGAAAACCTAGCATAATTTTTTTAAAAAATTCTACTTGATTAACAACGTATATAAGTTTGACTTCATCTCATTTTGATAGCTATTTCAATGCTTTAAAATTCCTCAACTTAAAATTCCTTGTCTTATAATCGCGTTGGCATTTAGATCATTAACTACAACTAGAATTTAGTACTTCGCCCCTAAAACGCAATAGAAGTGGGCGAACCTTTTATCTGCACACCTTCAGTACCCGTACAATTCCTCCTCTCTACAACGCATGCGTGTGAAACTGACGCGCAATAATGGCGAATCTGAAATAAGATGCAATGGGAAAACTAGCCAGGATGAATATCGGCGATTTAACATCTCGGTATGGTGTGTTTGATAAAAATGAAATAACTAAAGGAAGCTGGAAGAATGCCAAATCATATTAGGCTGTAATTTCCTAATGAAGAAAATAAGGATTGTGCGTTTTCGCGATACCATCAAGTTGCTAAGCCTTGATTTTGAAGTAATAACTTTATGGGTAAAAAATAGAAAATAAATAGACTTCTGCCAACAACTTTTACTTTGGCATTCTTGCGCTTCCTATTACCTGAAAATAAAGATTAGCTCATATTTTCATAACTGTAATTGTAATTAATTTTTGATTAAAACATTACATAATTATTAAACCGCTCGCAATATTACATATTTACTAATAAGAATTGGCGCGATGAATATATATAACTATAAATATATTGTATCAATAAAAGAAATTAAAAATAATATGCTACTATCAATTCTGACCAACTTAAATCCACCATAGGCTTAAAATACAAAGAGCTTTAATTTTACTAATGTTCATTAAAGTTTATTACATATGTACCTGTTTCATTTTAGATAATAAGTTATAGCTGCTAAGGTTTGCAACATCAAATTATTATAAATTTTCTATAAATTATGAGCCTAACACCACAGGTAAATAGAAAACATTTTACAGAATTAAACAGATCTAGAACAATATTAGAGTGCAGAATAATAGAATTAGTGAAAGTCCTTCCTTTAACAATAACAAACATTTGCCTGAGTTTGGTTATAATTTCTTAGGTTGCTATTAATTAGAAGAAATAAATATTGAAAAAAAAATGATATATCCTTAAAAATACTTAATGCAATAAATAATATAATGATACAATGTTAAATCCAATAACTTAGTATGTAAGTTAAAAAAATTTCCATTAAATAATGCATGTATAGAAATTACATGACATTCCAGTTTGAATAATATCTTATATGAAATGCAATTTAATCTCCCAAATATTAAATTTAAATGAGAATAACGACATGTATTTGACTCAGTGAATGTTTTATAAAATTTTTTTAAGCAACATTTATTTCAATCCTGCTAAACTACTTATCTTAATATGAGGTGATCTTATAATAATTCGACATAGAAACAATCTACATTTATTAAAAAGAAAATCATTAACATTTTCTAAAAACGCCATAAGTATAATAACCTTCTAAGGAGAGTCGAATTATAGGTAGCATTCTTTCTGACAGTAACCAATGTTGAAATTACGGTGATCAGAAAAGGAAATATATAAATCGATAGTTTACCAAAATACTATATTTAAAAGTTTGCTTACCTGTCAAACCAGTGCCACCAAATGCATCTCTCTTTTAATAGTGAATTATACATAGAACTGGTTTTGATAACACGATTCCGAATAATCTAGTCACATTTTAGAAACACAAATAAGTTTTCGAAAATAAACAATTAAAAATGGCTATTTGACAACTGAGTAAGTTTCAGATTTATTCAATAAAAGCATAAAATTTCCTACAGTTAGGATTACATCGAACTAGATGCTTGTTTCAACTACGCTGATAAAACGAATTTAACTCTGCCTTTTAAAAAGTAAGAGCAAAATTTGTAACGTTCCATCTAAAATAAGTTGCCAGCTACAAAATGTAAACAAAACGAACGAAGTCGTTTTCTAATCATATTTGGAAAAGAATCACAACTAAAAGTGATCTATTACATCAAATATCTTTTGAAGATCAAAATAAAAACTTTTTATGACTTTAATTTCCAATTTATTGATCCGTATAAAGCGAAATTGATGCGCTGAATAACATTGCATTCGGCAGACGCACATACAGCAGCCATTTATAAACTTTTAAATGTACGGGGCCCAACACTTGTTTCAAAACAATGTTGTAGAGCAACTGCCATTAAAATTTTACTAAAACGCTAATTTCTTTTTATTTTATTTACCGAAATATTATTAAAATTTGCAATATACCGTATCAATAATAACGATCCGTACTAAAAATAGTATAAAAATATTCCACTTCAAAAAGCTATAAGGAACTTAAATTTTTTTTAAATTTCTTCGATAGATTTATCAAAAATTACCTTAAGATTTTCGTAAAAATAAATTATTCATTTAATTTTCGATTTATTTCAAATACTTGCGCATAAATGTGAAATTTAACTAAAAACATTTGAAGGTTTGCATAAGCAAAATCAACTTTTGGGTAGTTCATGAAAAATCCCGTGGCAATCATCCTTTGTGTTCTTCTGTAGCAGACTGAAATTTGCAGTTTTGTTTATAGTCGTAGTTGTAAAGTAAATAATGAACGCAGTCTTTTTGAATCCAAGAAAAAATGATTTCAAAACTTAATTATTTCCTTTTTCTGGGTTTATGTGTGCTATCAATAGGAAAGTCCTTCAAATACGAAGACATATCTAGCGAAATATTCCCCGTTAGTGAAGATACAGGAATTATAGCAGCTTACGGGCACTTTAATAATGATGAATTTACAGATGTTGTTACGTTGCAGCAAGGAGGTAACAAACTTCAGTTATTAAAAGGCAGTGAAAACCGTCCCTATTTCGAGCCATCTTTGAATTGTACTTTCGGTAATGGGGAAGTTGTTACTAGTGTGGTACCTGCTGATTTCAACGGAGATTCCTTATTAGATATCTTAATTACTCTATGGAGTGATTCAAGTAAGACCAAAATTAATGACATTAGAGTACTCTGGGGTACTGGATTTGATTCAGTTGATTGCAAATCGGAGTCACTATTTTATCTTAATGCACAACCGTTTATTGCCGATTTCAATGGTGACATGATACCAGACATCATCGGTGAAACATTAGATGGGAAACGTTATGTTTGGATTTCGTCACATGAAAAAAAGTTTACGAATCGCAGTTTGTCCCAAATTGGTGGTAAAACGATAAGTAATCCTCATTCTTCAGGTCTGATAGATTTGAACAATGATATGACTCCTGATATCTTAATGAGAACGAAAGAGGATATAGAAATATGGCTTAATACTGGTCATGATTTTATTCCCAATGGAACAATTCAATATCCTGAAAAGGCTGTTTATAAGTGGCAATCTACATTTATGGATATAAACATGGATGGTAAACTTAATCACTTGTTACCAATCTGCTATGACCGAGAATGCCGTAAATCTGCTATAATGATGTGGAAAGCCAATGACTCACAGTGGGTAACTTTGTTAGATAATTTTCGCAATCCAAAAGAAAATGTTACGTATGGTTTCAGACTACCTATGTCTACATCTCATCTTGAACGATCGGCGTTACCTACAACTCTTCGCTATGGTGATGTCAACATGGACGGTTATCCAGACCTTTTGGTAGTTTTGCAGTCCAGTATAAATTCTGCTCATGTAAAGGCTGTTATTTTGAGAAATATACCTTGTGAAAGTTGTACATTTGGACGAAGTCTTGAGATTATATGGGATGTACCAGGCCTTTCTAACATGAAAAATATTCAATTGGCTTCATTTTTTGATTTGTTTGAAGATGGTATTCTAGATATATTGGTATCAACTAATAATGATGGACAATGGAAAATACAAGCTTTTAGAAATACTGAAATTTATGATTCATGTTTTCTGAAAGTGTTAGTTTTAAGTGGATTGTGTTATAATGACTGTTCTACTGAGCCCTATGGTGTGAACCAGCCTGGACCGTTGGTCCGGTACAATATGACCAAGCAAGATGGCACACCTGTTGTCAGTACCGCAATTCAATTACCACAGTCTGCTCACTTTCCACTACAACTTCCATATTCGATGTTTGGTTTGGGACCAACACCTAACTTTATAGATGTACTCACAGTTTCAATACCTGCTAAATTTAATGGCTCCGTTCACAGTCGTGAATGGCTTCAAATCATTCCAAATTCTCAAATAGTTGTGATACCTTACCCTCCTAATGACTCGAGTAAATGGGTCAAGAAACTTTTTGTGACGCCCAGTCGCTTGGTGATGTTAACTTGTATTTCTTTGGTAGGAACTTGTATATTTATTGCTTTAATTGTTGCTTTACTTCATTGGAAGGAGAAAAGAGAAGACAAAAGAGAAAGAATGCAAGAAGCCTACAGATTTAATTTTGATGCTATGTAAAGTTCCTTTCTTAATAAATTAATATATTTTAAATTTCTTTACTGTTGTTTATTATTTATTCTCTAGTTTTATTAGTTTATTAATTGCTTTTTTTTTTTGTCAGGAAAATCTATTTCAACTTATCAAGTGCAGAAATTTAGGAATTTTGTTAAAAAAATCTGAATATAAATTTTTTTTAAAGTAAAAGATTAATCAATAGTAAATAAAGAGAATAAGTTCCTTTAAAATTAGATTTCTGTATTGGTACTTCAGATTCCATATTTTAAAGATAATCTAGCAGTAGCTCATGAACTTAAAAAACTTCACAGAAGAAACTAACTCTAAGGGTATAACTCATAGCCAGACAAACTACTAAGAACTTATTTTAAAACTTTTTACTTGTATAAAAACACTTTGACTCCTCGGTCTTGGTAGTTGGCGCAAATAAGTACTGATACTGAAATATACCCTCCAGTAACTTCGGAATATTAATATTTTAAACATTTGTCTAACATTTGTGACTGCTAACATTTGTGAAATTTAGATTACCCTTAACATTAGCTAATACAGTTGAACCTGTTTATCTCGAACCTGCTTATCTCGAAAACCTGTATTTCTCGAAATTTCTTAGTTTCCCGACATTAACGATTTAATTTTAATGTATTTTTCCAAGTTTATCTCAAAAGAATTTCTTTCAAAACCTGTGTTTCTCGAATTTTGAAAGAGAATGTACATCATCGTAACCGATGTCTGGACAGCAGAAATTGTTCAAACAAGCTACATTAGAAGAACAGAAAAATTCCCTAGCCCCTTGGGAAGTAAGAATGAGCAGATTGGGGGGTCGTTTCTTGGAATTCCCGGTTACTATCGTCACACTCTCCAACCAATTGAGTGTATTCGGACAATGAGAAGTTGATTGATGAGGGGGGCGTCACCACTGGGCATCAGTTTCCACACATGGATAAGAACAACACAAAGAGAAATTCATTTTATCAGTAGAATTTTTTTAGGAGGTCGTTGGTTTGAGCGTCTCAGTTTTTTTTAAACATTGCTCAATTGAATTTTGATCAAGTATGGCAGGGGCTAAACGTAAATTGAATGTTCTCTCCATTGAAGAAAAAATGAAACTTTTAACATTCTTGGACGGAAATCCATTAATGAAAAAAAACGAAGTTGCAGTGAAGTTCGGTTTACCAGCAAGCACACTTTCTACAATTATTAAGAATCGAGAAGCTGTGGAGCAAAAATTTCATAGCAGCAACAAGAATGCGAAAAAAAGCCGAAAATGCACTTTTCCGGACGTGGATGAATGTGTTTTAAAATGGTTTACACAATGCAGGAGCAGCGGTATTCCTATCAGTGGATAAATAATGCAACGAAAAGCTGAGGATTTTGCTAAAGAGCTTGGCCATGAAGATAATTTTAAAGGCAGTAACGGATGGCTAGAAAGTTTTAAAAATAGGCACGGTATTATTTTTAGAAAGCTTTGTGGTGAAAGAGCATCTGTTCCGGAAAGTGTATGCGAAGACTGGATTAAAAACATTCCTGATTTAGTGAAAGGCTATGAGCCAAAAAATATTTTCAATGCTGACGAGACAGGACTGTTTTATCAATGTTTGCCGGACAAAACTGCTATGTTTAAAGATGAAGCATGCAGGGGAGGAAAACAAAGTAAAGCTCGTTTGACATTGCTCTTAGCTGCAAATGAAGCAGGCACAGAGAAACTTCCTCCTCTCATGATCGGACGCTCAGAAAAGCCTAGATGCTTTTCTAAAGTAAAATCCTTCCCTTTTCCATACAAAGCAAATAAAATATCTTGGATGACGAGTGAAATCTTTGGAAATTGGTTAAAGTCCTTAGACAAATCCATGCGATTAAAAAAAAGAAAAATTATTCTTTTTATAGACAACTGTAGTGCGCATAACAATCTGCCTGAACTGAAAAATGTTTGTGTTAAGTATTTTCCCGCAAACACCACCTCAAAGCTTCAACCTATGGATCAGGGAGTAATCAGAAGTTTTAAAGTTAACTACAGAAAACAGTTGATCCGCAAACTCGTAGATGCAATTGATGAAGGAAGTACCCTTCCCAAGATAAATGTACTGGATTCTATCAGAATGACAGACCACGCATGGAGAAATGTAACACAGAAGACCATTCAAAATGGTTTTAAAAAAGCTGGGTTTAAGAATGAGCGTGAAGAAGAGATGGGGATTATTGAAGAAGAGACTGAAATTTCCGAAAAGGAAGCTGAGGAAACTTATATCCCTGATGAAGAAATGATCGAAATAAATTCACAAGATTGGAATGCAATAAAATCTGGATTAAAAGTGAACATTTCCTTTGAAGAATTTTTGCAAGTGGATGACTCCTTGGCCACATGTGGAACTTTGACAGATTCGGAAATTGTCGATAATGTCAGATGCATTTCCGAAGACGAAAATGAAGTAGACGAAGAGCATATAGAAGCACCGAAAGTGACAGTAAAGGAAGCTGAAAAAGCTGTGGAACGTTTAACAAACTTTCTTGAATGTCAAGAAAACGTTGGACACGAGGGGTTCGCTGCTCTCTCCAACATTCGAAAAATTATCGAATCAAAGAAAATCCGACGTCAGAAATCATTAAAAGACTACCTATGAGGTGCGTATGACTGTTAAAAACTTTTATTAGATGTAATTAATATGTAATCATAATTAAATTCTTTACAACATAAATGATTTAAAGTTTCTTTTAATTAAACATTGCTGCTCGAATTTCATTTTTTAAACTTACCTGTATATCTTGAAACCTCTCTATCTCAAATTTTTTCCCCTTTCCCGCGAGATTCGAGATAGGCAGGTTCGACTGTATTATGAGTACTTATTTTTTATCACTTCTTGATATTTAAATGAAAATATAACAGTATTTTAAAAAATTTAAGCTAATTTATTTAAATAATGAAATATTAAGATAGACACATTTTAAATTTACTAAGTCTTCAACGGTTAAATTTAGTTCTGTATCAGTGGTTAATAATTTTTCTTATTAGCTAGATATAAAAAGTGTACAGTTTATATTTCTGTGTATAAGCTTAGAAATTTTGGAAACTTTTTCTGTAGCTAAATTAAGGACTTCAACTGTTATGTTGATCGACCCTGCTAATAAGTGCCAGTGCTACCATAAGTAAAGATTCTAAAAAACGAAAAATTACTGCAATCTAACTTATTTACTTTTATAGAAAAAAAGTTATGCAACTTTCCTAAATTAAAATCTTACAACTGTCTGGTATTTGACTATTTTAATTTCTCATGTTCACATAATTTTAATTCATGTTTTTTGCAATCTATAGTTAAACAAATTTTTGATCTGTTGTATACAATTCAAACGCAACTAGTGCTCATAGAATAGTATACCATCTTCACATATCTCATTCCTAATATGAAATAAAAGCAAAATTATGAACTACTGGGATTGCAGATTAGTATGACTTAATCAACTGAGCATTTGCAATCACGTAAAATTTATTTTCACCCGATATTTTTCTTCTGGGAAAAGTTTTTACCTTTCTTATTTAAAGAACAAATTGTGTGCCTGAATAGAAATTTATATAGAATATTTTTGAAAATTTTAAATCCTTTAGAATGTCAAATGGTTTTCTTTTTCTTTCTCCTGAATATATAAGAGAGTTTAGTAAGTTTTTCCTAACTGCTTACAATGGCTAAAAGGCAATATAAAAAAATCAAAGACATTGTTTGTTGAAGACCCTCAATTTAAGATGCAATTTTCGACATAAATATTTGCATATTTAATTTTTTAGATATTTAACACATATTTAATTTTTTTGATTCTAAACTTTGTCTACATAGAAATGGCAATTAAAAATTGACTTTTAATAAAATTTTCGGTTTAGCCTCATAAATAAATTCTGCTTGAAAAAAGAATTTTAGAAGTGTAAAAATTTCTAATAAGATTGGCAGTGCAGTTTTTGAGAAAACGTCCACCGATAATAAAAATACAAAATTTGAGAAAACTTTTTTTTTCTATTTTTACTCAGTTGAGTCTAATGGAAGGATTTTCTAAAGATTCTCTTTCATAGAGTTTTACATAGTTTGACTTAAACTGTGGGAAAATTTTTGTAACTCATTGACAAAAAAAATTAAATAAGTTAAACCGGTTAATACATTAAATGATTAATATTTAAAGCAACATTTAGCGCTGTGAAAATAGTCACCTTTATGAATCCTGAGGGGTCACGTCCCAGAGGCAGACCCCCTACCAGATGGCTCAACGACATCGAAAATAATTTAAAAACCCTAAAGATTAGAAATTGGAAGGGAGTTGCCATGGAAGAACAAAAGACATTGCATTTAATCTATTAAAATTAATTAATGTTAATTAATAGAATTAAATTATATTTTAATAATAAATAAAATAAAATCTTGCGTAGGTAAAATTTTCATTTAAAAGCAATTCCAGATTCTTTTTACACTAATTTTTATTTTGTCAAATTAATCACTTCACTGTAGGTGATAAATATCTCCCCTGCCAAGAATAGATTCTTCTGGTAATGTATGCACTGTTCACTGTATAAGAGGGATAAATATTTTTAAAATATATATTTCTTTACTTAAATGTATTACATTTAGTCATTATAAAAGTAAAGCAATCCAAAAAAAATGCATTAAAATCGCATAGATATATCTCCCATTTGAATACTGTGTTAATTTTCCTATAATTAAATTTGCAAAAAGCTCATCATTTCAAAATTCATTTATAAGACGAGCCATCCCACATGGAGATTTATTGTGCAAGCATAAAATGTTAGTTTGGATGACTTTTGAAATTTGAGCTGGATGTATGAAACCAAGCAGTTTTAAAAATCTATATATCTTGACTTTTCAATGAGTAAAACAGTATTCCATTTCAGATGCTTTTCTTTTTATATTTCTTACTGCATTATGATACAAGGCCTAAAAGAAGTTCTTATTTATACAGATTACTTATAAAGGATAAAATAAGATTTTATTCTTATACCTTCGTACTATAATAGATAAAGTAGAAGTCAAGAAATAATAGACGCCATTGGGGAGAAGAACGTTGGGTGTGTATCTCTCAAAATAATTAAAAAATTTTAAAAGCTCCCTCAATATTTCAGACAAATAAAGAAAAGTTTTGTTACTTATTATCAATTTAAATTCTTTACAATTAAAAACAAGAGAGAGGTAAAACTAATAATTCTTTTTGCCAGTATGTACACATTTAAGAAAGATTTTTGTTCTTGTGAAATTTAGAAAACTATTGTGATTGAAAATTAATTTTGTTCCCGTCAAAAAATCGGGCTCCTGTGACACCTGTGGATAGAACTCAAGATATTTAGAATTCAGGATACACAATGTTTTTCGAAAAATTGTTTTTACTCCTATTTTAAATATTAGCCTAGCCTCTCATTGCAAATGCTCAGAAAACTTCACAAATGTGCGTTTTTTTAAAAACATTTTTGAAATTGGTAGTTCTCATAACTAAACAAATCTTTATAGACTGAAAATTTAAATCGCAATTCATCACAGAAATTTGTATGTTTATTAATTTTTTTGTTATGAACAATTTTCTGTTTTTTTTTTTAAATTTCTTTTTAAAAAGTGCCATTTTTGCAAAAATTAGGATATTAAAAAAATTTTATGTATTTCTGTAGTTATTTGCATAGATAATAAATAAATAAGATTATCTAATCCTTACTTAAAAATTTCTGTTTGTTGAGCTGTACTCACTTCCAAAAAAAAAAAAGCTTTTTTTAAAGAAAAATTGTGTAGCTGCATCTTTGTCTTGTATCACTTACAAAAAATTAATTTTTACAGATTGCTAGTTATTTGGAAAAATATATTTTTTTGAATTTTAATCTTTTACAATGATTTGCTGAAAATTTTAAGGAAGCTAATTTTTGGACTGTTAAGAGAGGCCAAGCCCTTGTTAACCCCTTGCCAGTGTCGCCCGAATCCAGTTCGGGCAATTACTATGTGCAGTATTTGTGATGCCCGATCTGACTTCCGGCAGAGAAAAATTAACGTGTCCATCTTATGAAGCCCGAGCTGTGTTCATTTCTACTTTAGGATACTTAATCCACTACTTTCCTAATAGATGGCATTAGTGGTTCTAGTTTTCATCGACTACGACTTCAGGGAGGGAAATGAGGGTGGGGGTTTTGAGATATACCATACTATAAAGGATTTGTAAAATTTATATATTGAGAATCATATTGTATATTATACTAGTTATATTATATTTAACTTCAAAATTTTGTTGAATTTGCTCTAATAGAATAAGATGTGTGTGCAATCCATTACTTTTTTATGTGTATGTAAAAATTATAAATACAGTAGTTATTGCATTTAAAATTTTATTTTTGTAATAAAAAACCATTTTCTAACTTTTATAATAATATAAAAAACAAAATTAAACAATCAAAAAATTTTTCCATTTTTGGTCCATTTTTCTGAAATATGTGTCACTGTTAAGGGGTTAAAAATATGATTATGTTTAGCTTTATAAAAAAAATATATATATATTTATGATTTTCATATCGACTTGTGAAATAATAATTATTTTGTTTCATTTGTGTAAATTATAATTAAAATATAAATTCCAAAAAACTACTTCTTAAAACTCTATTTTTCACTTTTACAAAAATGAGTTCTTTTCCTAAAANAAAAAAAAAAAAAAAAAAAAAAAAAAAAAAAAAAAAAACTGACAGATTAGGGAATACACCATTCTTGCAAACAGTTTATTAAATCTTTAAGAATATGCCTTGTGTGGGAAAGATAAAGGGAAAAAGATTTCTTGAGCCAGATGATAGACACATCTAACTGTTAGGACTGATTGTGGCTTTTTTTTTTTTTGTCTCAGAAGCAAGTGCAATTGTAATAGGTTTTGCGTAAATATTTGATGCAACAGAAAAATTATTTATTTTTTTATTACTCTTTATTTTTTACAAATACACAGAATATCAGTTCCTATAATTCTAGTAGCATTAATCACGATTGTAAGCTTATTCTCTGATTTGATAGATTTGTCCAGTTTGGGGGGGGGGATAGGTGGGAAACAAGCTTGCTCAGTTCTGAAAATCAGATCACATCTATCATCCAGCTAAAGTCATCTCTTTTCACACCTTTTTTTATTGATTTCATCAGCCTTAAAATAAAAGTTTTCTTTCCCGCACAAGGCACATTTTTAAAGACCTGACACAGTTAATACGAAAGATGAATCAACAGGTAACATTATTAAATAAATATGGTTCAGGAAATTGTTGCAGAAAAATTAAATGACTAAAATTTATTGGGTAGCATTATTCATTTATACAAGCATCAAGAAAAGAATTATACATGAAAGTAATAAAACTAAATATATTTGTAGACATATTTATTTCAGGAAATGTGTTTTTTTTTCCACATTGGCAAGTGCCTTAAAACAATACTGGAAGAAACCAATAAATAATACATGAAGTAGAATATGTTATGGTATTAATAAACTTTCAGATATGATTTGATCAACAAATTCAGGTATACATTGACTAGAAATAATATTATTAACAAATGATAAACATTAAAATCATGAACAATGTAAACAATATGAAAAACAAAAACTTAAAGAATAAAAATAATCTCCA